GTAACAAATGTATAAATAACCCAAGTGTCACCAATGAGGCGAATCAGAGGTTCTATTAAAGTTGCAGAAAAATCCAAATTTAAGTGCACGGCGAATTGGAGCAGAAACTGATATATGCAGAACTTCTTTCCAAAGGATTATTCACATGCATAGGTACCATCCATATCATCTATGCTTGCAGCAAGGCCTTCGTCCTCAGGATTTCACAGCTCGAATGGAGTTTAGTTGAATAATGCTAAATAAAGTGAGTGAAGACACTACTTTCCTGGATAAGGTTCTTTTTAGCGATGAGGCAACTTTTAACAGCATAGGTGTTGTAACAGGCATAACATGCACTATTATGTGACGGAAAACCCTTACTGGGTTAGGCAAATACATTTCCAAAATAAATGGAGCTTGAATGTTTGGGGAGGAGTTATTGGAAGACATGTTATCGGGCCTTTCTTTTTAGACAACATATTAACAGGTACAGAATGCTTGAATTTTTTGATCTTGCCGTTGCCATTGCTTTTGGAAGATGTCAACCTGCAAAGTCGTATGCATATGTACTTCGAACATGACGGCGTACCTACGCATTATCATAATCGTGTGCATAACTATTTGGACACCTGGAGTAACAATCGTTGTATCGGTCGTGATGGGCCTTTATCTTGGCCTCCTAGATAACCAGATATGACACCGATGGACTTCTTTCTATGGGGCTACGTTAAGTAAGAGGTTTATAGATATCCGCCATCTACCCCGGAAAATATGAACGAAAGGATTAAGGATGCTTTTTCTGAAAATAAGGTAACATATGCTGAGGGATGTGCAACGATCATTTATCCAAAGACTACGGCTGTGTATTCAATATGATGGAGATATTTTCAAGCAGTTTTGTAGATTAGGTCTTGAGTAGTGATAGTTGTTTGTTTATGTTGTTGTTATAGTTGTTTTTATCTATTACGCTTGAAGCTGATTTATACTGTTCTGATTAGTTTTTACGTCAAATCTGTACTCTTAGTGGCAATATGGAACTAGCCCACTGTTTGTCTTTTGTTTCCATGGATGATGGGATTTTTTCCCTTAATTTTGGTTTGTTGTTCTATTAAAAGCTTAATAACTCAAAATCTAGTGATTTTATCTGAATCAAACCTTATACCAAACAAGGTTTATAAGAAATTGAATCCAAATTTGCACAAATATACAGGGTGATGCTTTGAAATTTTTGAGAAAAAGTATAATTCGCGTTTTTGACCACTCTGTATGAGCAAAAATGAAAATTCGAAAAAGTAACCAATAAGATAAAAGCTGAGGTATGTAAGTTTTTTTGATACAAAAGTCAGCACTCCAAATTTCAAAATGGTGGATGGAGGGGTTGCCGAAGGGGACGGTTTTTCTGGACAAAACACCTTACATCTCAGTAGCTAATTACCAAAACCCCATTGTACGTTATATCAATCTTCTTTTGAATTGGTTTATCCAAATATGCAATAAAATTTGAGGCATTCCATTCAAAAAATCACAACTTTGATATGTAGGTCAAAACTGGGACACTGTATAATTGCCAATATTTTAGAAATGTACCCTCAAATGTCTTGTATAACATGCCATGAATAGATTTTCCCAAAATGTATTTGTTTATGAATAATATTCCTTCCACACATGGATGGGCCAACCTGTATATATATATAACTTGAGACGTGGTCATTGTCGTCTAGACCAGTTAGGTGAAAAATTAAAGCTTCCGCCTTTTGTTGGGTACTTCGACAAAATTTAAGCAAAGAGGACTCTTTATACTTTGTTAATTCTCTCTAGCTTTCAATGGACTTTGCCATCATCATCAGGAGAGTAGTATGTGAGGATGTTGCTAATTGTTGTTTACGTATAGGATGAGGGAAACATCCAGTAACATGGTGAGGTCTGGATAGATGGTACAATGGTCAAAATTATATAAAATCTGTTTTTAACTTGTTCTTGTCATATTTTATATAATTTTGACCATTGTACCATCTATCCAGCTCTCACCATGTTACTGGACGTTTCCCTCATCCTATACGTAAACAACAATTAGCAACAACCTCACATACTACTCTCCTGATTATGATGGCAAAGTCCATTGAAAGCTAGAGAGAATTAAAAAAGTATAAAGAGTCCTTGTTGGTAGAGAAGTGGACTGTATTTTTTTTCGGCTTTTATTTTACTTTTACAATCCTAGCTGGTATTATTTGAATAACAATAATTGTTTTGTACGGCGTCGTGTCTGTGTGTCGACGGCTCGATCATGTCATCTTGCAATATGGCGGCCACCCCTTCCTCTTCTCCTCGTCGGCGTTGCCACGTTGTGGCTGTTTTACGTGATCTGGCGGAAAGGAGCTCAACAGTCCTCTTTGCTTAAATTTTGTCGAAGTACCCAACAAAAGGCGGAAGCTTTCATTTTTCACCTATATATATATATATATACAGGGTGTTTCAGTTTATTATTGCATAACTTGCTAAAATAGTTTTTTTTTAATATTTCGAGCAATATTTGATGTATAACAGTGAAAATTGGTATACAGGGGTTTTTTGGTACGAAAAAACGAACCATGGGCATAGTTTTACTGTAGCCGCTAGAGGGCGCTCTCTACTGTACCTGTAGTGTATTAAAATGACCGAAAAAATTTTCTTAGTACAATTTTTTGCTTTTTGAATAAAAAAACTGATTCTTCGCACTTTTCAACATAAAAAAGCTCTCTTGTGAATTTTCGTTATAGTTAGCCGTTTTTGAGATATTTCGATTTTTAAGGTTCGATGCATTTTTAATTATCTATGATAAAATAACGTTAAAAAGTCAGTATCTCGATAATTTTTAGAGGTAGGCTGTGCCTGCAAATATTTTTGAAATTGAAAGCAGAATAAGGTTAAACGTCAATTAGTTGACAGTTAGTTTTGTTGTCTGTTGAAACCTGAAACGTTTTTTTGCAATTGTGAATGCACGAAATTTTGTTTCTTTTACCTGTTTTATAAAAATGCCATTTTTATTCTCAAGAGTTAGCGGATATTCATTTTGTGTATGGCTTTGTAAATGGAAACGCAGCAGAAGCAGCCAGATAATACGCAAGATTTCCAAACAGACGGCATCCAACTCGCTCAGTATTTGTAAGAGTGCATCGCCAAATAATTGAAAATGGTTTTGTAAATCTCCAAAGGGATCAAAACATAAATGTTCGTCAGCGCAGATTTACCTGTATGATTCTGCGTGAGTTTGATAGAGATCCGACCACAAGTGTTAGGAGAGTTTCTGGTGCCTTGGGAATTTCAGCACGCCATGTTCACCGTGTTCTTAGAAATGACCATAGACGTCCTTACCATTTGCAACCTGTGCAAGGACAACAGCCAGGCGACGGAGAACGAAGAATCACATTTTGTAAGTGGATTCTTGATAGAACTGATAATAATAGAGAGTTTTTAAGTAACGTTTTATGGACCGATGAGTCATGCTTCACTAGACGTGGAGTGGTAAATTTTCATAATCAACATATTTAGTCGCATGAAAATCCGCATGCAGTTCGGGAAAGAAATTTTCAGCATGAATTTAGTGTGAACGTGTGGATTGGTATCTACCATAATCGACTATTTGGACCCTGCCTTTTGCCTGCAAGGTTAAATGCTGCGACCTTCTTGGAATTTTTAAAGGCTGAACACGAAAATATGAGGGATGATGTTATGTTAGATTTAAGAAGATTGGCCTGGTTCCAGCTTGATGGTTGTCCAGCTCATTATTCGAGAATAGTTAGAAACTGGCTGGACGAAAATTATCCAGAAAGATGGATCGGCCGTGGAGGACCATTCGCCTGGCCTCCACGATCCCCTGACCTAAATCCATTAGATTTCTTTGTGTGGGGATTTCTAAAAGAAAAAAGTGTACCAGAATCCCGTAACTACAAGAGATATGCTAATAGACAGAATCAGGAATGCATGTGATGAAATAAGGCCTTATTTGAAAAATGTTATACCACGTTCGATCATTCGTAGATGTGAATTGTGTATTGAACAATTGGGTTTACATTTCGAGCAACTACTTTAGATTTTGTATGTTTGTCCTAACTATCCAATAGCATTTTAGTTGTAAATAATTAATTTAATTTGTTAAAAATAATATTGGAAAATTAAACAAATTAATATTCTGTTTTTTGTGTTTATTTGGAGTTAGGAATTATTGCTGTGTTTAAAAACACAATCTAAATGATCATCTTAATTACTTGTAATGCCCAAATCGAAAATGTAAAAAAAATATTATTTTCCCATAAATTAAAAATGCATCGAACCTTAAAAATCGAAATATCTCAAAAACGGCTAACTATAACGAAAACTCACAGGAGAGCTAATTTATGTTGAAAAGTGCGAAGAATCGGTTTTTTATTCAAAAAGCAAATAATTGCACTAAGAAAAAATTTCGGTCATTTTAATACACTACAGGTACAGTAGAGAGCGCCCTCTAGCGGCTACAGTAAAACTATGCCCATGGTTCGTTTTGTCGTACCAAAAACCCTTGTATACCAATTTTACTGTTATACATCAAATATTGTTCGAAATATTTAAAAAAACTATTTTAGAAAGTAAATTTAAACACCCTGTATTTCGGAAGCCACGCATTTTTCGACCCATGTTTATATAGACTTTATGCATTAATTTTAAAAGTTCTATCGAATCTTAAAGTTATGCAACAATAAACTGAAACACCCTGTATATATAATTCACTACTATTTATTTGGTTGACGGGAAGAATAGTAATTTTTCTTAATTACAGCACTCTTCCCCCATCTGTGGCGTTCGAAGTAAATAAAGCAGTTGCTAAAGAACTCTGTCAGAATTCGGTTTTACTGGTTATATTTTGAAAAGCATGTGATTTTAATCGTCTATCATCGTTTTTAATTTTTTTGACTTCTTTGTGAGGTTGGTATATGGTCTGATCACAGGATTTTGAATGTTTTAAAAATAGAATAGACTATTTTTTTTCAATAATTACCGTGCTATAGGTTGGGGCTATGGAAGGCCAGATTTTCCTCAAGAAAGGGTCTCTGGACTCGCTGAGTCCCCAGAACCTAGTTGACTGTGCCATTGGCCAGTACCACAATGCTGGATGCAACGGAGGAATGATGGATAATGCTTTCCAATACGTCATCAAGAATGGAATCGACACTGAAAAAGAATACCCTTACAGGGGTGTAGACGAAAAGTGCCAGCAGAAAGAACATGCCCACAAATTCAGCAAATATGTCGACATCCACCCTAAGGAAGAAGATATTTCTAAGGCTTTGTGTAAGTTTATTACCTTTGAAAACGTGATCATTAAAATAAAACTGTCATTCTAACGAATTCGAACATTAAAGGGTTTTTGCGACTTTTTGATGGGTACCAGAGCATTTTCGATAAAATTACTAATCTACTAAATGACAAAAAAATTAGTTACGCGAAGTAGTACTTTTATATCGTCATTGTACCGGATGACCTAGCACATCGGCTGCATCTCGGCAACCACTGAGCTAGGGTATTGTTAAAAAAGTAGGACAAACATAGTAAAGACAAATTGACTGTTCGAGTATCATAAACAGTTTGCACCTCAAGCTCAAATAAATTTTTATTTATGAAAAAAATATAAGACACTCATTCACATAGATGGCATACATAGTCATGATTTTTTCAGTTTTAAACACCCCCCTGCAAGTTTCATTGAAATTTAGTCCCTTTAGCAGACGTATTGGTCTTTTTGGAACAACAAAATTTTTTTGAATAAACCTATTGCATCCCCAAAAAATAATCCCATACTTTAGAACACTTTCAAAATTAGCATGGTACAATATTTTCATACTCGTATTATTTAGATATCTTGATATCACCCTAATTTGAATTGAGCCTCTTCAGCAGTTCGAATACATGTGTTGTCCAATCTAAAAATTCATCAATATAGATGCCTAAGAATTTTACACTTTCACTCAACTGATGATGATCATCTATATCGATATATTGAGGCTTAACGACTTTACTCTGCTTAGTTCTAAATAATGTTGCATCAGTTTTGGATTTATTCAGCACTAGTTTGTTCTCAGAAAACCATGTATTCACACTTCTGAATAAGAGATTCCCATTAGCAGTTAGGTCCTCTACACTTGTCCCACCCAATACTAAATTTGTGTCATCAGCATAGCAGATAATTGTATGCTTGCTCTGATCACCACTAGTAACAAAACAGAGATCGTTTAAAAAAACTACAAACATAATGGGCCCAAGTATACTACCCTGTGCTATGCCGGTTGAAGTCAACTCAATGTTTGACTTGTGGTGTACTGCTTCTGAAAAGATAAATATAATGGTCAATATCAAGTGGAACATGATATTTGTCAAAACAACTTTACCTGCTGTATTTTCCTAACCCAGTTCTGATCTGAACCTTTATATTATTTATACCTAACATATTAGCCTATACTATCTCATTTTTTTAACTTATTGCTGCTGTCAATAAAGTCAAATTTTATCAAACATTTTGAACGACTATCTGGTGTCTTTGGTGAGGTTTGGCCGATATAGGCTAAAGAATATTTGTTTTGGGACTCATTTATATCTTTAATCATAATTTCGGACATGTTTTCCAACACTCTTTTGGGTAGCCAAACCCTTAACTGCTCAGAATCAGAATCAAGAAGTGTTGCTACTAGACATTGTCCAAACTTTGATTGAATACTTGAAATATTCTTACTAGGATAAGGTTTGTTTACAATTAATGATGATAATGTTCTAGATGGTATATTGTTGTCAGATTCGCAATTTATTTTATTGTTTATTTCATGCAAGGCTGAGGTAGTGATAGACATTATTAAAAAATGAATATTGTGTTGGATAAATAATATAAAAGGATGCTCACCAAATTCTATCTGTTAAGTACTTCAAGAATATTATTTAGTCAGTTGTCGATGTTAAATGAGTGAATTTGAATGATCATAGTTGTTGTTCTTTCACCAATTACATAATAACTATCAGAGTTAGATTACGTTACAGCACCGGCGCATACAAGGCATTTGAACAACCCCGATAAATTTTGGGTAGTCCACAAAAAATATACAGTCAACATTTCTATTATACAGCACCGAACTGCTCAGAGGCTATACATTCGGCATGGCCATTGAGAGGACAACAATACCTTAACCACACCTTCCATCGACTCTTTTTCTATTATAAACGCGTTTATGATCGGGAAGAGAACCGCTAAAATGTTTTAAAGTTCTTGATAGGGGACTGAGACGTATTACAATTTGAAGGGGGGGGGGGTCAAGGTTGGCGGGAGGACGTGTATCAGATAACCACATCTTTCATCGACTCATTTCTATTATACAGCTAAGAGGATGGTCACACAAAAACTATACTGTCAACATTTCTATTATACAATACCGAACTGCTAAGAGGCCTTAGGATCGAGAAGGCGATTGGGAGGGCAACAATGCCTTGCACCGTCCGTCGACTCTTTTCCATTTTAGAATACGTTGATGATCGGGGACCGAACCGATAATAGGCTTTAGAATTAGCATGCCCTTTGAGAGTCGACTCTTTTCTATTATACAATAGGTTATTGATCGGGGTCGGAGCGTCAAGAGGTTTTACAATTATATATTATATACCGCTCCCTACAGGGTTGCCGTGTAGCCTGGATGTCAATAATTAATGAATAACGTTACGAAGAGATCCACTTATGGTACGGACCACAATAAATACTGAAATTCCGTTTACCGTTTCCGAGATCCCAAAGGCGAGGTCCGAATTTGAAATATACGCAACATATACGGAGCAACCTCACCATTGGGATCTCAGAAACTGTAATAGATACGAAGTCGCTCAAACAGGGGCAAAGTTGCGTACTTAGATAATCAACAAAATTCCGCTTAGAAGGTTCCGAAATTCGGAGTACGTCCGGAGAGTGACGGAAAAACAGAATTTTCCCACAATCGTTTTAATTTTTTTTATCAATTTATTTGTAGTTGGATTTCAAAATAAATTGCACATCAACGTGCCACTTTTTCTCCTCTACAAGATGGCCTAACTAGAATTTCAATATGACGTTTCGTATCTTTTCCAGCATCAACTTTATCCTTTCTTATACATGGTGTTAATAAAGTAATTATTATTTAAACAAACTTTAACCATCGAATCCTTGGTCAATTTGAAGACTAAATGTTCATATGAACATGGATCCGTAACGGCTTCCTTTTCAAGCTAGAGCACTATCACTAAAGAAATACGAGTAATGTTCAAATTCTTCTATGAATAATGAAACGTATTTATTGAACAGTTGGTATGACCTATGATGAATTTTGCATGTTTTAAAAGTTGCTGAGGCTCAATATGAACTTGGATAAAAATAATATTATCCTGTATTTTTGGAAAAAAAAATATTTAGAAGGTCAATAGTTTTCAACAGTAACATTCGAATAGAAAGACAACAATAGAAAATATCTAATAGTTTTTTTAAATAAATGTTCAAAGTGGCCACCTTCGACTTCAATACAGGCATCTAGTCTGTTACACATTGACTGACGACCTCTCCTGAAAATAGCCGGAGTATTTTGTATAGTCAGACATGACTCGACAATTCTGACTCTTAAGTCCTCCACGCTTTGAGCAGGGGTCTTGTATACTAACGATTTCAAATGTTCCCATAAAATGAAATCGATAGGATTCATGTCATGCGATCTACGCGGCCATGGCTGTGGTCCGCCTCTTCCAATCCATCGATTTTAATAATTATTATCTGTGGATTCTCGCGCAACGACACTGAATTGTGGCCAAGCACCGTCATGCATGTACCACATGCGACGTCGTTCTCTAAGAGGAATTTTCTCTATAAATCCAGGTAGGTCAAATTCCAAAAATCTTCGGTAGTACTCCGCTAAGTTTAAGGGGAAGGAAATGACGGCCAATCAAGTGGTCACTAACGATTCCAATCCAAATATTGAAGGAAAAGCCGTGTTGCGTATTATGTTCAATTATGGCATGGGGATTTTCTTCACACCATATATGGTTATTATGGAAATTTATTATTGCTGTTCGAGAAAAACATGCTTCATCCGTGAATAGTATTCGTTTTAAAAAATTTTGGTTTAATGTTACTTTTTCTCTTTGCAAAAATCAACTTTTATAGGCAAATCTCGAGGCACTTGTAGGCGCTTGTATACGTTGTATATGATATGGATAAAGTTGCTGATCTTTCAAAATTTGCCATACCGTTACATGATTTACATTTAGCTGGTACGCAATTTTTCGTAGTACTTGTTGTAGGGTCCTCTTCGATTTTATTAAGCACAGCTTTTTCGATTTGTATGGTTCTTACACTTGCGGGTCTTCCTGCAACATGTGTGGATCTCTTGAAACTGCCTGTGTCACATAATCTAGCGTGAATGTTGATGAAAGTTTGTACATTAGGCACCGGGCGTTGTGGAAAGCGATCACCATACAAACGTCGTGCTCGTCGAGAGTTACCCAGACCTATTCTGGAAACGAAATGCATAGCTTTCATTTATTGATTACTGAACTGGACCATTATGATAATTAGTATTCACCAAAACCTAGAAATATTTGGAGTCTTAGAATGACCAGACAAGAAAACAAATATTTGACAGCAGTCGAAATATTTGAGAAAATAAATTAATTCAATTGTTTTCGTGTACGTCATAGTTGTCTAGATAAGCACAATGCTTAAATATTAAAAGAATTGCGATCAAAACAAATCGACGTCATGCTATTTTTTCAAAAAATACTGAATAACATTTTCCGTATCTACGTACATGGATGGTCTGAAAACAACTGTAAATCATTTGATATTACCACAGGGCATACATAATTAAAATACGTTCCATTCTTTTATAATTTTTAGAACAATATCATCATCTCTTTTAGTACTATATGATCTAGCTTGAAAACAAAGCCGTTGTGGACCCATGTTCATATGTAAATTTCGTCTTCAAATTGACCAAGGATTCGATGGTTAAAGTTTGTCTACATACTTTATTAACACCCTGTATAGACTCCGTATTAGATATTTGCACAGATGAATAGAGTTATCAATTCTGATGCCTTCTTGGCAATGTTAATGTGCAATTTATTTTGAAATTCCACTACAAATAAAGCCAGGAAAAAAATTAAAACAATTTTGGAACATTCTGTTTTTGGTCTCTCTCCGAAAGTACTTTGAATTTCGAATCTGTCTAAGATGCATTTGGTTGATTACCTAAGTCAGCAACTTTACCCCCAATTAACCGACTTCGAATCTCTTACCGTTTCCGAGATTCCAATGGTGAGGGTCGAATTTGGAACACCCGTATAGTGTTTTAAGCAAAATCAAGTTTATATCTAACATAGGTTTCAACCAATCCTAGTTATTTCTCATCTAATAGGTATTGATTTAGTTTGTGGAGGACCCTTTACTTGACTAATTTTTATAAAAAATGTTCTCTTTATTTAATGTTTGCCGAGCTAGGGAAAAGGGAGTGCTGCCTCCCTTGCCTCCCTGGGTGTGCCCTTGGTGCACGCTTATCTAGAGGAAAGGAAGCGAAGGGAAGGGAAGCGAAACTCTTTCACTGGATTCCGCACCCGTATTACGTAACTGAAAAAGTGACATTATATCAATTTCTAACATTACGTAGATATTTCCCAAAATGTCACCTTGGAACTAGCTGTCATCCACTTCATGTCCACTTTTGTATCAGCTATGCGTGTTACATAAACGTCACGACACTTGAGCTATATGGTTTGACTCCTTTAGAGATGCCACTAGTGGAGGCCATTTATAGCTTCTACGGCTTTAGCTGTAAATTCTATATTATAGGACGTTGTACCGTTCCTCAAAAACTAAAACAAGGAAAAGTTATTGCAATAAAACCACTAAAAATCTGACAATTTACTATTTACCTTGATCACCTGTATTCGCATGACACTGACTTCAAACCCTGTAACGAATATGTGCTCTGACACACTATCAAAGTATAATAAATTCCAAACCAAAGTATATACCTTGGATTTTTATTTGTATTGCAGTTTTTGTTTTGTAAAAAAATGTTTTCTATAAAAATCTATTCTAAGACTCAGGGAAGTTCAGCAACTGTCGGCTGGTGCTTATTTTGTAGAAAACGTACTGCAGTGGGATGATGGTAAAACAGAATTGTCGTACAGTGATTTAAAAAATATAAAAAATTATTTCTACGAGCCCCTTCCCACTTCAGTTGACCCAACTATTGAAATCTTAGTTTTTTTCTTATCAAACAGAAATAATAAAAATGTAGCAGGGTGTTATAGGTTTAAAATATTAACAATGAATATTTTGATAATATATAGTAGAAAACACCAACTTTATCACTCCCTAATCCAATTTGCAGCATAAAAATAACACATGTTGCAATTACAGCATATCAACCTATTTTCATTTCAATGCAAAATAAGTCTCTAACGCATAGGTGGCTGTGAAAAATAAACGCCATGACAATAGTTTTTATTAATCACAGCTGTCAGAATACGTTTAAAATAGTTTTGGGTAGTTAAGGTTTTCAAAATGGGTAGAGGAAAGGAAAGCAACAATTGAAAGATTACCATTGAGTAACATCACCTTAATCTTTTATTACGGCTGAAATTCTTTGGGCATAGTGTTAACCAAGTTTTGGCAAAAATTTGGTGTAAAACAATCCCATATTTCTTGAAGCTTTTGTCTCAGTTCGGTGATTGTACGAGCAGGATGTTGTCGTAGATCCTTTTTCATCTCGTGCCACAAAGTTTCAATAGGTGACAGATCTGGACTGCTAGAAACACATTTCAAAAGTGGTACATTATTTTCTTCAATCCATGCACGCTGCACCATCTTGCTGAAACACAAAATCTTGGCCGGATGTCAAACATTCTTCCATCACTGGTAAAAGAGATTCTTCTAAAAGTGTGAAATATTTGTTTGTATCCACATTTCCATCAATAAAAGGAAGTTTTCCTACTCCTTCTGATGACATACTGCCCCAGACCATAATGGATGCTGGAAATTTCACTTTTCTCTTCAGACAGTCAACATGGAATGCTTCATTTTTTTGCGAATAACTCTACTGCGACTGTCACCAACACAAACTTCGAATCGGGCCTCATCACTCCATTGTATTGCACACCATTGTTGAGGTGTCCATTGTCCATGTTCTTTAGCCCATCTAAGCCGATTGTTCTTTTGCAGTGGAGTTAATAGTGGCTTTTCTTTGGCCTATAAACAGGTTGTGCAACTTTAGGGTTTTTACTTCACTTTTTTTTATAAGAAAACTTACCTTGCAAGTACTAAATCCCAGTTTGTGGGCCTCTCTATGAGTTGTGGACCTCGAAATTCTCCTTCCAACACCGTCACTCCACAGAGCAATTAATTGTAAATAATTGGCACGCCTGTTTTTCACGATTATTCTTCTTAATGCTGTTCGGTCGGCATTTGTGATATTACTTTTTTCGACATATCGTGGCTTGATATTAACTGAGTCAGTTACGTTATATCTTCTAACAATATTTCTCACACTGTACCGTGATAAAAGTCTAACAAAGTTGCAATTTCTGAGTTTGATTTCCCAGAATTAAAAAAATTAATTTTCAGTATCCGAATTTTCTCACTAATAACCTTTCCTCTACCCATTTTGAAAACCTTAACTACCCAAAACTATTTTAAACGTATTCTGACAGCTGTGATTGATAAAAAAAATTGTCATGGCTTTTATGTTTCACAGCCACCTATGCGTTATAGACTTATTTTGCATTGAAATGAAAATAGGTTGATATGCTGTAATTGCAACATGTGCTATTTTTATGCTGCAAATTTGATTAGGGAGTGATAAAGTGTGTGTTTTCTACTATATATTATCAAAATATTCATTGTTAATATTTTAAATCTATAACACCCTGCTACATTTTTATTATTTGTGTTTGATAAGAAAAAAACTAAGATTTCAATAGTTGGGCCAACTGAAGTGGGAAGGGGCTCGTATACTGGGGTTCAACACTTTGGGTCCCCAGAATGTTAAGGAGCTGGGACTCGGGGCTATACTCAACTTCGCTATTAGTGCAAAGATTGAGGCTTAGGGTATGTAGGGGTGCATGAGGGCCCGTTTAAGCGGTCTATGGGCCGGCTTCTCATAGTGGCCGGTATGCCGCTAATTTTGTTATTAATTCCTTCGTTCAATAATGGCAAAGAGAAAATGCTATTTTTGTCACATCTAAAACCCTAACCCTGGCAAAGAGATGACCATATTCTAAGGATATTGTGTGGAAAATGCTTATAACATCGCACTTGGACCCATGTCACAACTTTGATAACAAAATTTAAAGATTCTTCAACGTTTCCCACTCATATGGCACACTGCAAAAAGTGACAACGAATATCAGTTGATCATTTAATTATTTCCTAATGATGCTGACGCTGTGCAAGTTATTTTTCATAAACTACATTGGATAGATTCGATATACAATTGGAACGAACGATCGAATGGCTACTAATTATCCTGACTATATTTCAAGCCGGCGAAAAAATCCATAGATTTTATATAATACGTAGTAAAAACAGTTTTGATATGATACTGATTTCCATACGCTACTAAATGTGAACAAAATCTATTGAGATGTCGTTGAAAATACTTTGACCAGGCGTAAGTTCAGTTTAACCCAATTTGGGGCTAATATTACCATTTAAATGCCTTATTTTAACTTGCTATCTTAGCAGAAAATTGAAAGTCACAAACTGGTTGTTGGTTGTTGAAATTTTTAATGTTGAAAACTGTGTAAGTATTGTTGGAATTTCCGTTTCATGGACGACTGTTTACCTCTGAGCTACAGATAGACACATTTTAGAAGCAGTACCATTCTCGTTTGAAAATACCCCATTCTGATCATCACTACTAAAAAAATTACTGTTGGGGTGACCCATGGTTATACCCTATTTCACGAATATACATCACGGGAGAATGACAGCTGATTATCTAGTAATATCTCAAAATTCCCCATATCGGCACAGGACACATAATTCTGACGGATCAGTCAACGTCAGAGCCGTATTTTGTTTTGGTTTTCTGAACGCTACAGATTCATTTTCTACTTGTTAACAGCTCTTTTATTTAGAAAAGTTCATTTGCAAACAAAAAACAAAACGCTGCAAACAAGTTTTAGTAGATTTACACCCGACTCATTATTGCCAACGTCGCAGATTAACATAAAGATGTCACTCCCTAATCAGCTGTTCACCTCTGTAGACGTTATAGCGTGATGAATACTCGTGTAAAAGCTAACCTTCAATTAAGCGGGATTTTTCTATCTCCTATTGGTTACTTATTTCATAGTTTTCCGTTCATTCCAGCTGCTAATGGCCCAATAGCTGCTGCCATGGACGCCAGCACGCTTTTATTCTACAGTCATGGTATTGTTGACCACAAAAGCGGATGCAGTGACGACGCCAACGATCTCAATCACGGAATTCTCCTTGTAGGTTATGAAACACAAGGAGTTGATGACTATTGGATCGTCAAGAATTCTTGGGGAACACTTTGGGGAGAACAAGGTTACTTCAAACTCAGGAGGAATATCAATGCTTGCGGCATCAAGCATGTTACTTCTTTCCCTCAAATATAAACTGCATAGATGGCTCTTGGTAATAAAATATTTTTTTACGTTTTGATAAAATAAATAAATCTTATTAGTATTCGTTGTTTAATTTCAAGTACATACACAATTTATATGACTGAAGAAAAAACTTTTCTCAATCTCATAAGAACAATAGATAAATCATATACGAATAACCTATATTTTCAACAGGAACTAAGTTCTAAAAAATGGGGCAAAAGTAAAAAGAAGAGTCAAGCAGATTGCATTAACACTTCCCACGCATTGATATAAATAAAATATATGCAATTTCGAATATTCATTGTAGTGATAAGTAAACTATTTCAAAATTTTCGACCGCACAGTGTGCCCCAGAGGCAAAGTACGTTAATTTTTGCCATAAATATGTTTTATAATGTTAAAACCAATATTGCGAATTTTCATTTGCTACTTGCAGCACCCACCTATCTGTGATAATAAAAAAAATCCTACTTTATAAATCATGTTAAGTCACACAATGTGTCCGCGTCACACTACATCAAGTGTCCTTGATAAACCACATTATGGACGTGACATATTCAAATCTTTATGTTTCAGAACGACTTTTTACATTGATCAATATGAAAGAGAATTGTTTTTATCTTAAATTATTTAGTTTTGCAAGCTTCTGGTTAAGATATCTTCTGCATAGGAGGATTACTGCAAAAAAAACAGAAACTACTTTATTCAGCCATAATCCTAGCACTTAGCAAGTTTATAGACTTACCAGTCTTTTGGATATACCGATTTGGATGCCCGAGAAAGAATTAACGCATCTTATTGGTCTATGGAAAACAAACTTGTGTTAACGCTTTTCCATTACTCAAGCTTACACAGTATATTACCTGTAATATTACATACTCGTCAAACACGATATCATACAGACTATAATCAGTATAAATGTTGGTATCAGAGGTGTGAGCTATTATTGCCATTTGCATTACCTTGGGATATCTAATATTAGTGGTAACATTCTGTTATATTAGTTGTGCACACATCTGAATCGGAACTTTTTAATAAAACAGACAATGCAAAAATCGGTATCTAGGAGCGTCAGCAATAGTCTATATAGAATTCCGACTGAATATTCATTGCTATTAGGCTTTGTTACTTGTTTTGTAAAATTATATGCTTGATACTTTTCTAACTTATAGGCAATAGTAGTAAAACTTTAAGAATATATTTCCTAAGTCGTTCTTTTTCGCATAAAATAGTCACGAATCAATTTATGATAAGGCCTACTGCTTCATACTCGATGAAAGCATTTACGGTCAGCAGGGTAATTAATTTCGATCTAGTTTGGTCAAGTGACCTAAGCTTCTCAACATTGTATGGTTGTCAACAAAAACTTGCCAACTCGTTTCTTCTAGAATAATGAAAGAATTACTACTATTCTATGATGAATCAAATTTGCATTATATGCATACGATAAATGCATCATATCGAAAATTACACTACACTTTTACAGCTATAAAAATAGTCTAAGAGGCGAAAATCATCAATTATATGAAAACATTATTCTCTGTTGTGTTCTGCCTTCCGAAACAAGTATAAATCGATTGCCTGACCTAATTGAGATTGGTTCAAACTAAAACTGCTCATCACTGTGACCCATGGGACCAATCAATGTGACACGGGTTACCCGAATTACTTCAAACTTTGACGTAAATTATTCTTACTGCAATGGAATAATTTAGCGGGATGAGGCTTGAAAAATACGCCAAAAGTTCACCATTTATGTCATGCGCCACCATAATTGATTATGTATCAGCCATCAAACATTTTTTGGAGAGCAGGGGGTAGCAAATGTCTTGAGAATCTTAAATATTGCCAAAACTATGCTAAATATTTAACTTTTAAGGGGCTTGGCCAGAAAACTTTGTTATATATTTTTCCAAGAAGGGCTAACTAATTCCAGACATAATCTTTTATGAAGTGATGATAATGTTGCGTGGGAAGGTTAACCTGCATGACGCCAGTTTTGATATTGTGCCGAATCATACTGTCGGTGCCATCTGTTGGTCGAGTCTCCTACTCGCTAGAGCTTCATGGCCGATCTCTGCTTTTACGCGAATCACGACCGCACCAGCCACCTGGCGGCGGATCGCCATCTAGATCGACGCGAAGCAACTTCGACTATTCGGGAAGGCCGCTATGTGGCTCCCGATTCTTCTAGACTCGACGATGTGGACTATATAACTCGGCGGCCGGGAGATGGAAGGGAGTACTGAATACGGTAGAGTAGCAGAGCGGAGTGAAGCATAGTACAGTAAATGGTGACATAAGAATTAGTCAGACATAAATAGTGGTGCATATAAATGATTTATCAAGTTAAATAAATTAGTGCATTTCTTTTTGTGGAATCCAGTGTTTTAATCCACACCCAAAAGAACCCAGAAAAACGCTACAATATGTATTTGTACTTCCTTCCTGCTGATTATTCCTACACTATGTGCGTACCATAGCCGTTGGAAAATAGATTATGTATGCATTGAGGTCCTGGTCATATGACTTTACTCACTGTACTTGCTAAAACTATTGATATTAACATAGTTTCACCATCTAAAACACAAATTCACAGTGACCTAATAATATATATATATATATATATATCAATATGAAAAGGAGCAAATCACTTTATCTTCACAATAGAACAGACTTATGTCAAAAAGTGTCGCTCCCATGAAGTGAATATTCTTGATGTTGAGGGGACGACCTCTACTTTGCAGATTCAGTATCACGTAATAGTAATTAATATACTAGCAATGAAATTAAAAAGCAAGTGTCAACAAAAGTGTATGTACTAAACAATTCAAACTACAAATAGAATGTAATAAACAAAAAATTAGATAAATTTAAATCTGCGGTCTTTGTACGCAACTTCTCCTCTTCTATATTTTGCTTCTTGTTCTGCCTTACTTTTTTGTACGAAATAGCCAAATGTAAACATAGGAGCCACTATAAAAATCAGACCATATAGTGCATTCTTTCCCGAAGGTTTGAAGTAGTCCCATCCACTAACAGTCATAGCCTGGTATCGCATCATTGCAGGATCAAACTGAAATCCGAATAAAATCTCTGAAATATCCCATTAAAAAAGTATGTACTTATATTTCAGAAATGCAGGTTGTCCAAGATTAGGTTCGTCGTGTCGAACTTCAATGTTCCTATGTTTTGATGCCTGGTACTAGAATAGTGATTAGTATATCTCACAGATATTTGTAGCATGTATGTACTTTGTTTAAAGAAAACCAAAATGGAGAAAGAAACAGAACTACTTAAATTCATTTATTGTCTTTGAGCAACTAGTTTAGCATGTTGCAAAATAAAAGTTTCGGCACCATAACCACTGCTGACTTAACGTATGCATGATGCTTCAATAGTCTTCATAATTATACATGCATTAAAAAGGCAATATATACGGTGACGGGCTGACGGGCTTGAGTTCAATGTGTACGAGAGAGAAGCCGACTGGATAGCGAAGCTCATCGCCACGTTGCCCCGCGACGCTGACGCGGAAATCAGCCGCGTTGTCAATATTTTATGATAGGTCAGGATCGCCACAAATTCTGCAAAACTGCATCATTGGTTCGCTTGACAACAACGCATCGTGTACATTCCGAGGCAAGGTCTCCACCTCCATGATTACATTTGAGCGATTCTGGACAGTACCCGTCTAGCGCTCGCAGGGGTGTGCCGTCCTGGGTTGACATTGCTTTCACCTGCGTACATGAAGGGAGTGATAATTTGTATTGCGTAACGGTATTTGTTACATTTTCCAACCGTATCGCTGTTGCAAAATGTAACAAAAACTCAGGATGTGTTAATGGAATCACCATCAGTGGGAATCAAATATAATTCTAATCAAAATGAAAACGAAATATTAAATTAAATGTTCGAACAGACCTTCTTGAGTTTGACAGTAACCCAACCTATTGCAGAAGCCTGTGCGAACATTTTCTAGCATGGTAGAAGTCACCGAACAGCATGCTTCTATTATTTTCAGCCGCAACTCTTCCAAAGTGGTAGCCCTTGCATAGGAGTAACCGTCAATTCGATTCTTCACATATCCCCACTAAAAGACACCATTAGGCGCTAAGTCAGGAGATCTCGCTGGTCATTGTATGTTGCTATGTGTAGAGATCAGGCGTCTGGGAAAAATTGTTTGCAAAAATTCCAGAATTTCCCTTGCGTTGTGAGCAGAACAGCAATCTTTTTGAAACCTTCGTGCAGTCGGGATAATTTCGTGTTGAAGCAGTTCCAAATAACGCGAGGAATTATGGTACCATTAATTGAAGAAAGGTCCAACAATTTTTTCCCCTAAATACTCCCTAAACATTTACTTTTTGGGGATACTGCGTCCTTAATGGTAAACTTAAATGTTTGTTCTCCCTTGACCAATACCTAAGACTTTGGGGATTATGATTTCCATGGAGAGAAAACAGGATTCGTCCGAAAACAATATGTTTCGGTGAGATCGGTCATCGTTGTCGATGATGTCTCTCATGTCATCACAAAATTCCATTCTCCTGGTATGACCAGCGTGAAAAAGATCCTCCGTTTTTGGGTACTTAAATGGCTTGTAGCATGCTCCTTCAAAATACGCCTGACTGTACTTACTGGGACACAGACTTCTTCTGATACCGTACTACTGAGGTGCTTTCCAGTGCTTTTGAATTGAGAGTTGTATGCACCCGAGTGTGACGCTCCCGAACTACTATAGCAAATGCGCACGGGAACGCGACGATAAACACCTAACCTGTTTGACGTTGACACTGCCAAACAATGAAAATGTAAACACATTTTGTCTTTTCATTTTCAGAAGATAGTCCGACTATCCAACTGATGCTTGATGATGGCGCAACACGTCAGAGATCTGCTTTTTTAATGTACATCTTCTGGATAAATGTGTCGAATTCATATTTTAGTGTTCTAAATTATTTTAAGTGTCTAGTTATAGATGAAGCCAACTACAAGCCGCAATGAACCTGCATTTTTGCACTCTCTTCTGATCTTTATTTTTCAGGAACATCTCAAATGTGCGTTATCAATTTTTTACCATCCTCCTTTAATACAAAAAAAATGATAAAACATAACCTAACAATCTTGACACATTATAATTTTCGTTATCCTCACTATTTCGGAGCGTATAACATCAAATAAAAAGCTGGTGCGTGAGGGGCAGGGGATTTCAAAAATGAGTAGCTCAGGTGCATGCCACTCTAGAGCAGTGGAACAGTATTGACAGGTTATGGGTGAGCTCCGAGTTACTCCGAGTAACCCAAACGAGCTGGAAAGCACATCTGCAACAAGATTGGGGTTCCTCTCTCTGAAGCGTCCTTTCAGCATAACCACAAACGGCCTCTTCCCTGGCAACCATGTCCTCTGGAACATTTTTTTCTTCTTCAATCTCCCGTTGACATGCTTCATGTCAACAAGGGTTGGAGCAGTCACGATTGGCGAAGTTTCGGAAAATGCCTCTAACCGTGGTCGGACTAGGGCAAGGTTGCTCAGGGTACGTAAAGATAAACCGCGCAACGACAGCTTCTTAACTTGTGTCCTTACTGTACCATAGCATCAGATTCACTTTTGTTCGTGAGTGTTGCCAAATTTAGGAAAGCCTATGCCTCCGTCGAGAGTGATTGACCTCAGAGGTCATTTGGAGGTCAAGTTTTTAAATTCAAATAGCAACCACTATTTTTGACAACAGAATCATGTCGAGCTCGCAATTTTACATCAGAATGCATTTCCATGTATGAGATCAAGCGGTCATAAGTGGCTCAATCAACATGACCTACTGTAACGTCTGAAAAGTACTCGAAAACCCCGAAGACGTGACAACCAAGTATTTTTGGAACGAAGGTCAAGGTTTTGAGAAAACTTTTAGGATATCTAAAAAGCAACTTGTCGATCACCTCAAAGATGACCTAGAGAATGACGTCAAAGGTTATTTGGTAGTCAAGTTTGTGAATTCAAATACTAACCACCATTTCTGACAGCGAATTCGTGTCGGGCTCGATAGTTTACATCAAAATTCATCTTCATACATGAGGTACATTGAAATTTGACCTAGAAGCCGTTTCGAAAGCTTTAGAGACATTATACTTTTTTTCAATTATTCGAAAACTATGATGGTGACATTTAGTAGGATTACACTGTCCGAAACCATGGTTTAAAGATGTTACTCACGTCATATTCCATATTTCATACCAATCTCCATACAACAGAATTTCAAAAGGAAATGGATCTTGTTAATACATGATACACCAATTATTTTATTTACATATCAGCGTAAACGCGTCCTCATTGAAAAACCTTGACAGGAATGAAAATATGAAATACAGCGTTTGTTGTGAAGTGGTTAACGAGAGTGGTTGGCATACCAGTGTTCAACTACTTGTTGGAAAAAAAAGAAACACACTGCACTATCATGGAGGTGGAAAGACGCGTTGTTGTCTAGCGAACCAATGATGCAATTCTTTATTCTAAGATTCTGAATATTTTTCTGTTATCCCTGAACTTGAAGCCTCATCACCTGAAATTTTAATTCAATTATATAAAGGCAAGTTTTGATTCCGCTATTGCTTGTCCGGTCATGCGGTAATGACGGTGATCTACCAGTCTGAACCTGTGGTACGCACAAAAACCAATATATGGAAAGCGGAATAAGGGATGTGCGTACATTATTGCAAGGGGCACCTCGGTTGGCCGCGTGGGTCAGAGTGTCGTGCTACTGATCAGCCGGCCGGCCGGGCCGCGAGTTCGAATCTCGCCTTCGCCATGGATGTTGTGTGTTTGTTTTAGGCAGCAGCGGTGGCCGCAGTAGTAGACTCTTCGGTCTCCTGATCAGTCGCCGTGCGCTGTGCGGGTTCGAGTCCCGTCCCAGGAGAAATTTTTCTCTTGGCTATGGATGTTGTGATTGTCCGTAGGTGGTAGATGGTCTCTGACTGTCGAACGCGGAGGTACCACCCGGCGGTTCTCGTAGGCGGAGCCAGAATGTGTGCATGTTGCATGCACACGTGTTCCCTCGCCAGAGTCCGTGTGGCGTCCCCCCTTTTCCCATGTATCCCCCTATAGCCCCACGGTACCCAATGGGTGCTTAGGCCTTAGGCCTTCGTGGTAGTTGGAGTATAAAAAAAAAGCAACCCAAATCTAAGACCCTCGTGTGCCCGACTGCCTAAGTGTGTATATGGTATGGAGCATAAAACTGCTTAGACTACATACACTTCATTTTTTAGCTTTATTTTCGGTTCCACCTCTTTTTCGGTCAAATATCTGGAACTATCTGAATTATTTTAAAAGGTCGTGGAAAATGTGCACGTTTTCGGTAAATAAGGTCTTATATCGCTAGATATACCGAAATATCGGTAGCTTCAGCAACATTGCCAAAATCGCTCATCTATGATGTATGGAGGTGGAAACCTGGCCTTGAGATGTACAAGATGGGGTGTAGTCAGGCGAATCAATGATGCAATGTTGCAGAATTTGTGGCGATCCTGATCTTTCATTGCGATCTAAAATGGACCGCCGTTAGGACCGATAGGAAATCAATCCTAAACAGATTCGACACAATTCGCAATTCTAAAATAAAACCATTATTTGAGCGTAAGGAATAAACTAACGCATATTTTAGATATGCATCTTAATTCAAGGAACTGGTGTAATATACAGGGTGTCCGCAAAGTTGGGGTTTTCCTTTTCAGAAACAACTACCCTTGAAATAACAAAGGTAATGTGTAGTGAAACGAGGGCGACCAAGTAAAAAAAATAAAGGAAAAAGTACTCACTCTCCAGTTGACGAGAAGGGCTAAGTACGTCTCTGCCCGAAATCATACCGCTCCAACAGAAAATGAAATCAGCTGATGCGCTACCGAGCAGACGCAGAAACCACATTGATTGTCTTACACTTAATAGCACATCTTCTAACAAGGAAGGCAAAATGTTGCGTAAAAAGTCTAGGTATTGCATCCCGCCCAATCTATTTGGGAGAATAAATGGTCCAATGAGCATACCGTTCACCATGCCAGCCCAAACATTCACCGAAAATGTTTGTTGAAAATGTGCCCGACGGACAGCGTGCGGATTTTCTACTGACCAAACATGAGTGTTGCGAAAGTTATTCACCCCATTACGCGTGAACGTAGATTCGTCTGTCACCAATATGCACTTCAAAAAGTCCGGATAATTGTCATGTTGATGCAACAACCACTCACAAAACCGCACTCTTGCTGGAAAATTGTCAGGTTGAAGGGCTTGTACACGTTGGACGTGAAACGGATACAGCCCCTCTTCAGGCAGCGTTTGCCACACTAGTTTTTGATACTTGCACTTCTCTAGCCACGTCTCTAGTGCTTGTTGAGGGATTCTCGTCTAAGCGATTACCTCTACACGCGTGACAGTAACCGTCGGTTGAAGGTTGCATACTGTCCTGACACACTGACCCCGACCCAGTTCTGTCGTCGGGTTGAGCCAGTGACCTTGTACCAGTCGGTGATGTCGCGGCTACAGGACGGTATTCAGATATTTTTGATGTTGCAGAGCCCTTTATCTCGGTTCCCTTAAGACATTGGTGTATATGGTACTAAGAAACATTGCTTATGTTTTCAAGATCTACACGTCGTGTAAAGGAAAACCCCAACTTTGCGGACACCCTGTATAGGCAACGCGTCAGATTGCCGTTTCAGGGTTGCTAGGCAACGTGGCGATGAGCTACGCTATCAAGCCGGCTTCTATCTCTTTTTAACATATGTGCCTATTCACACTTCTCTCATACACATTGAACTCGAGCCCGTCAACCAAATTTGTACCTCACCGTATCTATATATCTAATTAAAACAGTAAAATTGTCAAAATACTTCTACACTCCTACCATACTGTGATTTTTACAGTAGTTTAGGATTTCTTGATGGAGAATAATCTATCAAACAGTTCTCATTCAATCACGATCTTTGTTTGTACTTTATGTCCTAGAAGAGCTGCAATTCAGTTAATTTTCATCACATTGTACCTTAACGCTTTGTTAAATATTTACCCAATTCCCATTTAAGGATATCAGTAAAAGAGCTTGTCTTAGATAAATAATTTATTGTAATGTAATTTTGTCTCATTTTCAATCCAAGTCTACGTTCATTATATTTGAGATGTATTTCATCTGTCAGCATGTATCTTCTGTAAACATGCCAATAAGTGATAGTGCAGATTTTGTTAAAATTAGTGAATTTATTTTATATTCCATTCTATATGTCTTGACTGTATGTGATATTATAATTATCTTTCAATGTAATTTTCTAGTTGCCCTGGAGTTCAATTTTCAAAATGAGGGAACAGAATAACTAAGAGAAAGTGTTTGTGGTTCTGTTACCTTTCAGGAAACTGTAATGAAGGACGCTCATAGAAAAGTGGCCCCCCGAATCATTCTCGGGAGAAAAAGTGCAGAGGAATGGTCATTCGTAAATTTGAGGTAGGACATATTATGAAGAACCCAGGAACTTATTATTTTGCCGAAAATGGATACATTTATAAATTTGATTGACAAATGTCAACAGTTTTGTTCTCAACAATAGGAGTCCTGGTTGGAAACCAAACCAGTGTTTTCGTCAGATGAGGGGCAGGCATTTTATTATTATTTTTATATGAATGAACATGTTCCATAATAGAAATCTATTATAAAATTAGAAAATAAGACATCAAATTAAACAATGACTATTTATTATTGTTTTTTCTTGTGTAAAAACCTAGACAAATGCTGTGTATCTATCCAAAATCATATTATTAAAAGAGAAATACATATTTGGTATTCATATATTATCCAGCAATTTGCTAACAGAAAAATATTTCTAGATGTAAACTTCTATACTACAATTTTCAATCACATATTTTTTTAAAAGCCTCTTGAAGTTAACAAAATTTGTACTTTTTATTTCGATTGGAATAGTATTAAAATCTACAAGGCCCTTATAAAATACACTGTTTTGGGCAAATGAAATCTAAAAATTAAAATAACAATGTTGTATTTTATTTTTGGAGCTAGAGGTCTTTTTTGAAATGATAATATCAACATACTTCATGAAGACTAGAGACAGGAGTTTAAACTCATGGAGTGGGGGTGAAGACTAAAATGTCCATGATATAGTGAGTTAGTACACTGTGCAAGAAATGAATGTCAAGGGCTGCAAATAGGGCATCTCCCTCATGTGCACACTGCACAAAAAATAAATTTCAGCTTCTGCACATGTAGTATGTATCTGTTGCTGTTACCATGACAACTCCAATTTGACAGGTTGCAAGATTAATAAACCATGAAGTAACAAACCTACAAAGCATGTCAAAAGTTAAGTGATATGCATATAAAGATTGGAGTAGGTTCTGTTGACCTTTCTGCAGATGCTCTAGATTTCTAACAGCTACACCATCTTTGGCAACAAGATTGGCTTCAAACATTTTCATGTATCCTTTATGCAGTTTGTCCTATAGTCACAAAGTGGTCACAAAGGAGACACTCACATGACCACAAAACAGTTTTATCAATACAAAGCAATTATCTGGCCTGAATGCATTTGGGGAAATAATAAACACAAATTTATTCATTCTGTAGCTTGACATATGACATTCATGACCTCAGGCTAATAACAGGTAACAACCCCTAAGAAAAATCCTCAGGACGCTAATGAGACCACAGCAGGTGTCGCATCTGTATAATCTGTGCTAAAGTCTCCATGGCCCCAAGCAAGGTTGGAAAATAATCAAACTGACCATTACCACAAGTTGGCTGTGTAAAGTCTTATTTTGAAGGTATTTTCATTCCCAACAGTTTCCTTTGACCACTTACACTAATAATTCATAACTCTTTCAAGTGTTTTTCCAACTTTGACATTTAATAAAAAAGTTATCCAGCAAAGCTTTTTGTATCTCTCGAGGAGGGGCCTTTCTGTATACCCTCAAAAATATAATTCCGTTGTAAAACAGTTTGTTACAATTTTTTCCCCAATTCTAGATACCAAGATCTAGGGATACATTGTTATGAAATCTGCTTCATAAAATGACACAACTTCTTTCAGTTACGAAATTGAATATTGCATTAAAGATCCAGTTCAAATCGTGGAAATAATCTATAGTGTGAGTGGAATGGTTTACATTAAATAATCCAAAATTAATTTAATATAAAACAATTGAAAATTTATGGCACCCTATTATGAATTGAGGTTAGGGTTTTAGTGACGTAACTTTGCATCAACTTACCACTGTGCCACCTCCACCTGAAGCATGTTGGAAGGGGTTGGTTTTTTGTTTTATAAACTCTTCGCGAAGAAATGCTCGCCTTTTGGCCTTTTCTTCTATAATTTGGCGAGTGTTGGAATCAACGTCAAACTGTTGAGATGCCATTTTTCTGAGACGCGCGCGCAGCACGCACACGCCACAGAGCACGTAAAAAAGTAGTTATCCACTGAAACACACAGATTCCAGGGGGGTGAAACGTCTTATGGGCGAACTGCCGACACCAAGGTCATTATCTCCAAGCGAAATCTAGGAAGCTGCATTACCGGCATCACATGACGTACTGCTTGCCGTGATTATTTTTATCTAAATGTAAAAATATCAAATATGGCGTTTGTTTTGGTTAATATCCAAATTATCAACTCTGATGCTTTCGGAGATAGTTCGTTAAAAATGAGTATACAATGTAAAGCAACATTATCAGTAGCTGGGTATGTATTGTGGGAGATGCAGAAGTTCAGGAAACTCTGTCATGTAAGTGCTACATCTAGGCTGTGAAACTAACATCTCGGCATGATGTAGTTGGTAGATTATTTAAAATTGCATGTCTGGATTCAGCCTCGTTATAATCGTTGTAGTTAGGACCATGGTATAAAAAATATTTTTTTGTATTAACTAAGACATGGTAATATCGACAGAGTACAGTCACAAAGCCCTAAGCTTTTTAAACCACCATTACGCCCATCTAGGCAGAAAATTAAAGGCATATAACTGAGCAAGCCAATAATTAAAAATGACTAGCTTATTTACAAAGAATTATGAATCGCATTAGTGTTTTCTGTATTGTGCCAGAATTATCAAGAAGCAATTCAATGAAGTGAGACACCTGTGTTTTGCAACACAATATGAATTTTGGAAAAATCTATTTATAGGTACTTTCATGTAATACACTTTTTATACCATTGTCAGCATGTGATTATTTTTTGAAACTAAATATATATTTTGTGCTTCATTAATAGTGTTGGATTTTAATATTATAAACCTTGTTCTCAGCAAGACTGCTGAAAGAGATATTACCCTTATTAGGGATATTTTATGAATATATGTTTATCAAATAATCCTTCAGTATCGGAAATACGAGTATAATTTTCTGCAGATTTCCAATTATGAACAAACAAAATCTCCGGCATATTCCTAGCATTCCTTATTCCAGGGGCATTCTCGGCGTTCTTTCGATAGTTCCTCCAGATCTCCAGGCAAGTAGGCCGGCAACCTCCTGACAAACGTCAACGGTGTTACCATCGTTTAACGTGCAGCTGCCTCTTCTTCAGTGTTATGTGTTTTGTGCATATAGCCGTGTATGTTTTGTGGTGCAGTGCAAAACAAAAGTCGCTGGCCTCTTATAAACGTGTATTTCATTTATTTATGTATTTTCTATTTTTATTCCATAGTATTTTCTACGTTCTGCCGTAGTGCTTCCCTTCTCCAGGTGATAGAAGTATACCATACGAATCGTATATTAATTTTGAATAGTGAAGACAATTTGAGAATTTATGGCGTTTCCACAACCGAATGCCCAGAGAGGTAACTATGAAATTGTTAAATACCGACAACTAATTTTGACTCATTGCAGAGATAGCAAATCGTAAAATATTAGAAGAGTTGCAACTGAAAAAGCAACTGCTGCTTAAACAAGGTGTTGCATCAACTTTGAATACATCATCACTACCAGGTATAGCTTCTGCAACAGCCCAAAGTGCCGATGGGCATTCCATGAATCCCTTGCAACGAACAGCACTTCAAACAGCTAATGCGCAGTCAACAGGGTACTTCATATCACAAGACTCATCATTCGGCAATTTAATATTACCAGTACTTCCTCGTTTTGAAACTAAATAGGAATATGTTCCCTTGTTTGAAATTGAAGAAACTTGAAGAACGTCTAGGAGCAATTGCACAATTTGATAACCCTAAGGTTTTATTAGAGCAATACATCACCCCTTCACATCTGGGGTCTCATATGCTATATACAATTCAGGTTAGCAATTTGTTTTGTTTGAAGCCCAGTAGTAACTGAAAAAATACTTATCAAAATAATGTAACTATTAGAAACACTTTTACTAATATTAAAAATAAATAGAATTGGTTTTTTTATTTCTGTAAATTTATTGATTTTGACACAAAATTGACAGTTGATGACTGTCATTGTTGACATTTGCGTTAACAAAACTTTACATTGAGGTTACGTTTCTAGTCGAGCATCTTTGTTTTTGCGTTTTTAAAAAATCGGCAATTTTTAAATTGCGGTACATTGTAACAGGTTTTATCTTTTAGAGTCAGTATGGCGATATATCCGGAAAATTGGTAGCTGATTTAGGTAGTGGCTGTGGTGCTTTGACCATAGGAGCTGCTGTATTGGATGCTTCATTGGTCATTGGGTTTGAAGTAGATTCTGATGCCATCGAAGTATTCCAGCAAAACGTTGATGAGCATGAAGTTGTTAACGTGGATTGTATACATTGTAATGTTTTGAATGATATTCCTCCTAGGTGAGTAGAGCCAGTTACCTTATTCATTCAGCTAATGTACAGCCAGTTAAAGCACCATATATCTTTATTATGGCTCAGAGTTAAAGCTTAAACACAGAGTACGGCTCAACCCAGGTCCAGTTTTTATTACTAGGATAACATTTAACTGTTGAAACACATTGTGGGTCTTTCTGGTACCATACATTTTTTTTTTCAGCTGCCCTATACTGTAGTTTATATGAGGATTTGTCTTCCCGATATGAACTATCCTGCTCTTTTCTGCATTGAGTGACATTTGCTGTTTCTTAGACTACTCCGCAATGACATGCCCTTTTTAATTTTGACCTCTTGTAATGCATGGTTTCCAAATAGCTTGCTACCATCTTCATATAATGAAATGTTTGTTTTTATATCCATTGATAGGTCTAATGTGTAAACAAGACATAGAAGAACTCTAAGTATAGAGCCTTGTGGAACACACTCAGCACTGGGTGTGGGTCACCTAGAACCCCAAAGCCCTACTTGGAAGGTTCTGTCAGTAAGAAATGCCTCTATCCAATCTAAACGCTTACCTCATACACCAAAATGCTCAAGTTTATAATTCAAATGTTTATGCGGAACATTGTCAAAAGTCCATCCATAGTTGTCCATTGTTGTAAAGCAGAGAGCAAGTTGGTAAGCACAGATCTGCTGTGTGTTTGATATGACGTTATTTTTAAGTAAGAATTGTGTGAGTTCCTGTGTTATGATTTTTCCCATCTATCACTTTTATATCTATATATGCTTTTTCGTTTATTTTGAGCTGAATTCTGGCATTAATCACAATATACGAGGGCCTCGCTATATATTTTGAAATACATGAAGACTAAAAATTATTTTTTGAAAACTAGTTTATTTATGTTTAAAGTACTCATCTAGCATCAATGCACTTCTGTAGCCTGACCTTCCGCAAATGAAATGCTTCTAACCAGTCAGTTTTTGGAATGCCTTCAATAAACTGATTAATTGCTTGATCAATTTTCTCTTCGGACAAGCTGCAGTGCTCTCTCTCTCTCTCTCTCTCTGTCTCTCCCTCTGTCTCTGCCTCTGTCTGTCTCTTCTATGGTAGGTTCGGTAATGCTAAACTTTTCAGATAATGAAGAATTTGGAGTACTAGAAGATTTTGCCGAAATCTCTGTTATCAACTGAGTGATGGTTAGCTTTACTTCTGCAGTATCAGTTTTTGCTTTTTGAGCCATCTCTGCATATGCTGGAACCTCTTTTACTTCCTGTTTCCATTCCCTAATGCTTTTTGAGCTCGTTGATTTCACCTTCAACAATGGCAAATCCATTTCCTCCATTCTGGGTAAAATAAAAGCATTACCCTGTTTTGTAAGAGCTCGTTGATTTCACCATCAACAATGGCAAATCCATTTCCTCCATTCTGGGTAAAATAGAAGCATTACCCTGTTTTGTAAGATCAGTGCTCTTATTTCTGTCATGCTGTATCGCCCACAATCTTTTCAAATAATCTTGTCGCAACAATTACATGGAAACCCAGTGGCTTCATCTTAGGAGCACATTTGCTCTTTAAATAGCATTTATTTGCATTTTTTGTATCAACCCGGTCATGGATCTACATTCGTTTTCTGCTGATGGTGCTGATGAATTTGTTTAGGTAAACTAGACCATTTTTTTTCTCTTAGAGTTTCTTGTATGATGGAATGTGATGGTTTTTGACAATTTATATACACCTTTAGTATATAAATGCAATTTACCACAGAAAAACAAGAGTATATTCACTGCCGAAAATCTAACGATTCACCAAATGTCTTTTGTTTTGTTTTCCAATTTTTTTCTGTAGAATCGTCTCTCCTCTCTACATGCATTTATTGTGCCCTCATAGGGATAGTTGGTACATGCCCTGTGCTAAGATATTTTCAGTAAGCCACTCTTTTCAGAGTTTTCTTTTCCTGTCCTGCTCTGACTGTTTTCACTGGAGGGCTGATATTGTTGCATTACATGAGGGTATCAATGAAGTATTTAAAGCTTTCTTCCATGTCCATACTATTGATTACATCCCATGAAGTTTGAGCGACTAATTGCTTGAAATAATTTATAATATTTGCTGTTATAATCCTTCGAGTATAGGTAATTGTCTCTTTTTCTAGTATGTCTATTTGGGTCAACTATAGCGCGAGAGCAGTGTTGGAAACTCGGCAACTCGTTTGATCTCCCTAGTTGTTCGTAATCATGTAGTCAATGCCTGAAGAACTTATACACGTATTTTAGATAACAAATACCATGGTTGGTTCCCTCATTGTAATGTTTAAGCCAAAGGAATCTAAAAATGTCAGTTAAAATCATTGTGTATTGTCCATTTTTCAGCAAGTCAATGTTAAAATCTCAACTAACGACCACATAATTGGCCATATGAATAGCTAAAAGAACTTCAGTTAAATTGTTTCCATTATCCATGAGGAGGGCTATATATTGATAGTACCGCTATTTTGACCATTGGCAGACTTATTAATGTACTTGCTATTTCAACCTCTTATTCTACTGACAGGTTTTGTGCTTTGATAATAGGTGTGTATGATATATGATTTTTAGTAATTGTACCAGTATCGCTATTCATAATAATAATAAATAATCTTTATTTCAAAATAACAGTGCACAATTACAATGTAATATCCACTGTCAGGTGAAATATATGTCACATAATGCCATAATAGCAAACAAATGCAAGAAACAAAAACAGTATCTAAATATTACAATATTACACAATGTTTGTTTCACATTTCTAGATATTCATCAAGCCCATATGGCTCTAGATTCATTAGTAACTTGTGAATACATTTCTTGAACTCTTTTATATTCGACAACTTTTTAACTTCCTGGGGTAACTCATTGTAAAGCTTTGCACAACTGTAATGCACGTTTTTTTTCGGTAACAGTTAGATGATGAATTGGGTACAGAAGAGTTATATCTCTGTTCCTTATATTGTAATTGCCTGGGATTCTTATAAAGTATCCAATATTTTTAAATGTAAAAATCAATATTTCCTGAATATATATTGCCACTATGGTGAGTATTTTATTCCCTTTAAATTTTCCTGTACATGTTTCTCTACGCGGAATTTTTAACATGCATCTCAATGCTCGTTTCTGTACCTGAAAGAGCCTGTTTATCTGGCTACTGTGTCCGTAAAAAATATATTAAAACGTGCAATGGACTCAAAGTTGGCATGGTAAACAATTTTTAGGGTCTTAAGGTCTAGGTACTTACATAATATCCTAATACTATAACAAGTGCTGTTTAACCGTTTTTCTAGATATCAATATACACTCCTAAGAATCTACCAGAGTCTGTCAGCTTGACTTCTATCCTATCAGCTAAGTGGATCTTCGTAGCATTTTTTCAAAAAATACATGCATATTACCTGATGGTGGTCTGTATATTGACAATATTATAAAATTCATACCATTCAGAGAGCATTTCACAGCCGCGCATTCAAAGGAACCAACCACTGATAATGACCTTATATCTGACCTTTCTAAACACTGAACTGCTAGGCTCACAAAAACTGCACTTTCTCCATGTTTCCCTTCTTTCCTGCAAAAACAAGATGCAAGTTTGAAGTTTCTAATTCCATAGTTGATGTCTTGGCTCTTCCAGTGTTCTGTTATGCAAATAAATTTACAGTCGTCGTGGTCCATCAACATCTGGTTTATCTCGTTTATCGAGTTTCCAAGAGACTGAACATTTTGATGGAGTAGGGCTATTTTGGCGAGGTTCTCTTTCTGTTTGGTAGTCTTATCTTTGGAGCAGCTTTCAGATCTTACTGTATCAATTGATACATTTATTACTGAAAATCCGGGGCATAGTTGATACTGTTCCTAAACCTGATAATTCTTGATTTATAAACAGGGCAGTTTGGATCACGAGCAGAATGATTATGATCATTATACTTCATTTTTTGGCAATCGCACATTTAACATTTGACAATTTGTAGCTTCATGACTGCCGGAACATTTGTAGCAGACTATCTGCTGTTTACAATACTTGTCAACATGACCAAAGTTTGAGCATTTGAAACAAATGGCTAAATTTATATGCTCTTTAACGTGGACTTTCACTAAATCGAAGTTCACTAGACCGCGTTTCAAAAACCACTTTGCGATATCGGGTGGTGCTTGAAGTATCCAGTTTTCTTTAGCTGGATTACGACAATCCTTTTTGTGATGACCTTTACTTTTTCTGCCACTGTACAATTTAATTCATCTTCCATATCGCTGTTCAGTCTTATAAGTACTTGTATGAAGTGTTTAGCTTCGTAACCTTTTCCAATGCCAGTGATCATGAACATTCGATTCATTTTTTCATTTTCTCTAATTTTTATATCTTTTTTATCTTTTATAGCTTTCCACAATAACTGCCCCAGATTGTAACTGTGTAATACTTTTAAAGCCTCCATCAGTGTCCTTCAGCATTAATTCTTGTTTAAGCCTATTTATCACTATTTTCGGATTTTCTGTTTCCTCCATTCTTATAATCGTTTCGTGCTTCCTGTTTTCTGGTGGAGTTTCGCATGGTTCGTTTATGTTTTTCTTTTGTTCTTCAGAGAGACTTGCCGAGTTCGCTCTTACAATGCATAACTTCTTGGTTCTGGTACTTGTGTCCTTACTGTTGCTTGGTTACACTGAACTTCAGTTGAGCTTACCGTTGCTCCACCAGACAGTTGTCTCTTCTACTTTAGCTGTTAATGCTAAATTTTCTTTTTCAAGCTGACTGACTTTATACACTACTCGAGTCAGTGATTTATGTAAATTTATGGTTGCATACATAACATACAGATGTCTTATCTTGCATGCTAAATGGGTTTTTTGTCAGATCTTTATCAGCAAGTTTGTTTATACTGTCAATTTCCTCAAACAATTTCTGTATTAGTTCCTCATTCATAATACTCTGATATTGATAGCATTGCCGTTTACTAATAGTTTCCATCCCTGGACTTGTCAGTGATCGCGATCTTTTGCCCTTTCCATTTCCATAACTAGTATCATCATTTTCTGCTCGTTTCTGTTCCTGTTCTTGGATCCATTTTGGTGGAGTGCGAAAAATTGACGATTTAGTCTTAAATATGTCAGCGTCCTCAGACTCATCATTTTTGTAATCCATAGGTTTAGGAGTGACACCCTGTTTATTTCTTCCATACTGGCGAGTGTATTCGTCGTTCTCACAGTTTTTTGCTCCATCTTTTATCTTGGCCTGTTTTTTGCTCTGCTCCGATTTGCAGCCAAGGATAATTTTATTTATTTCTTCTTTTTCTAGTTCAAGCTACCGAGGGAACTGGTTCCACTCCTTTCCATCATTCTCTCTTCAATATCAAATTCCATTATTGCATCGAATGGAAATGTATGCAATTGCACACCTTCCCCCCACACTGCCCCGAAACCACTAGATTATTCACTAGATCCACAATTATACCAATGAATAAAAAAGAAAAATCTAGGAGCAACTAAAAACACGTCCGTTTACTACCAAGGTTAAGTAATACATGTGTAATTCTCTAGAAAATTGAGATATTTTGTAGAGTGGATATTTTCTATATTATTATTAGTAATATGGTGTTATGTCAAGGTGAGCACATCGATACAATATTTCTATTTGACCAAGCTAGGTTGTTTATTCCCTGTATATTAACATGCAATGTTACGAAATTTTTGGTAGATTGAGGTTGACATGGTAAGGGCTATTTACTTGAACGAAAAAGCATGTATTTTTGCAAGTATGCCGTTGGGCCAATTGACAGTACTAAATGATACAATTGTGCTTCGTAGAACTTGAGTCTTTCCACAATAACTGTGTTTAGACTATCCATAAGCGCGTATTTTGTTTGTTTTCATTATGTATTTTTTCAGTTTTTTCTTAGTTGTTTTCTTTTTTGAACTTTTTTCAGAGCTGTAAACTGAATTATTTTGCAATTCAATGTAATTTTTTCCTTTCCACGCAGATAGACATTCAATATATATTAGATATGATAATTTAGACGTCAAGAACATAAAAGGCAGCAGCGGTGGCCGCAGTAGTAGACGGTCTCCTGATCAGTCGCCGTGCGCTGTTCGGGTTCGAGTCCCGTCCCATGAGAAATTTTTCTCTTGGCTATGGATGTTGTGATTGTCCGTAGGTGGTAGACGGTCTCTGACTGTCGAACGCGGAGGTGCCACCCGGCGGATCTCGTAGGCGCAGCCAGAATGTGTGCATGTTGCATGCACACGTGTTCCCTCGCCAGAGTCCGTGTGGCGTCCCCACTTTCCCCTGTATCCCCCTATAGCCCCACGGTACCCAATGGGTGTTTAGGCCTTAGGCCTTCGTGGTAGTTGGAGTATAAAAAAAAAACTTGGTATTTCAAATTACAATGTTTTATTGATTACTTCCCTCGTTTATGTATGCGGAAAGTAAAATAAGGCTATCCCAAAATTCTACATTTTTGAGCTCGTCAGAATTTTTTTATAACGCGTTTGGGTCCTGGGCTTAGTCACAATTTATTTATTATTTATTTATTTATTTATTTATTTATTTATTTATTTATTTATTTATTTATTTATTTATTTATACTCTACCCAACAGCTACAAAGCCAATTACAGAGCCAATTACAGATAAGTCGGACATTTTTACATGTTAGCTAAGTTGTAATGAAATCAACCGCTTTGTTCCTGAGATAGTCTTTACAACATTAACTGATGGGCATTAAAATATGACCTCAAAAGGAGATAAATCGCCTTTTCGTTTTTGAAATATTTGCATTCAAATATGATAAATTTCTGTGTATTAGTATTATGATTTTGACCACGATTAAAACAATACTGCAAATTAGGTTTTTGAAATAGTTATAAAGATTAAATCTACAGTTTCCAGCATATTCGACCTCTCGCATGGATACAGAATACGATCTATGTACATTCCAAATTTATTGCTGCCTCACACAAATTACATGAGGCAGTAATAAATTGCCCTAATTTACTTGTGTCATGGTAAGTAACAATAGTTATATTGTCATTATTTTTTCAGGTTTTATAAAGCCTTTGACACTGTTTTGATGAATCCACCTTTTGGCACTAAACATAATGCAGGCACAGATGTAAAGTTTTTGGATAAAGCATTTGATTTATCAAATAATGTGGTTTATTCCCTTCATAAGACTTCAACAAGGTAGGTAGTAATCTTATGAACAGGGTGGCTAACATAACTTGACCCATCCGCTTATGTCAGAATCCAGTTGGTATACACAAAATTACTGAATGCAAAAGGTTTTTAATTCAAATAAGAAGTTTATTTCTTTATATGATTGGACATACAAGGTGTTCAGTTTTGCTGATAATAGATTGATAATTTCCAATATATTTTGTCTTTGGATACATGAGGTTACATTGTTTGGTTTTTAAGATACCGCAGATTTAGTTTATTTTTGAACAAATGCTGTCGTGCTCAAATTGGCTTGTTGCAAGGAGTGGAAACAACCTTCATTGCGAATATCAGCCTATATTCTAAATCATTTCCTATACCCCCTTACTACTTGAGAACATACAATGTGGAACAGTGTAGTGGGCATAATGGAACAAATTCATTATCATTGCGTGCAATTTTCAGCCTGTAAAACTTTCATCTATTATGTATCCATCGAAGAAAGAAACCAAACCTAAACATATTCACGTATACTCCACGTGATCGCGCTCCAGAACGCAGAGCACGTTACAGGGCCATACTAAGAATAAATGATTTGTGGTTCTACGACACGATCAAAAAGTATGCAAAATTATTGCAGGCACGAATTGCAAACGTAAAGCTTGGAATTAATGTATTTTTTTTTATTTAACTGTCATGACCAAAACGAAAACAACTGTCTATTTTTGTTTTTAGTAGAAGTGTTTTATCAAGAAATTATACTCGAAACGTGTCGTAGGGCGCATTTATAAAGCAGGCTTTTAAAAAATGTCTTGACACATTAAAACGATAATTGCATATGCATACGAGTATACCTAACCACCGCTTGAACAGGGACGTCAGTGTGCAAACAGTTAATTTAAATATTAGACTAAAAATGAATAGATAGGTGAAGTTAAAAGAAAAAGGATTTGAATACATATTTTACCTCTACCGGAAATACATATATTTGAAAATGTAAATCATTCTAGATCTGAGGCCGTGGAACTGCCACTGTCATCAAGATTTATGATTAAAGGGGCAACGTGCGTATCAATGATACCGTCTAATTCCCACATTTTAGGTTCGACCTTTTCTTTTACATGCTGAATACAATTTTCCCACTTATTCGGTGTTATTCTTTGTATAGGATCATGAAAAATAATTTTAAGGTCAAAAATTTAAAACATTTATTTTCTGCTGTAACATTGTTTTATGTCTGCCCAAATGAGCTCAATCGGATTGAGCTCACAATTGTAAGGAGTCAGTCGTAAAACAGTTTTATTTTGTTTTTTTTGGCCATTTCATCAATTATGTTCAGATTATATTTATTTTTATGCGTCTTGACAATTTGTAACAATTCTGCCTTAACCGTTGTATCATCATAATGAATCTTTTTATTTTTAAGGCATCCTTTAATTTCTAATTTTTTTTTTTTACCAATTTTCGAACGAGGCTCCATCCATTTCTTCATGGTAGTTTCCCGTTTTTTTGGATTCAAATGCCCACAATTCCTTCTTCATTACCGATGTGGCAAATTATCAATCGCTTACCTTTTCCTAAAAATAATTCATTTTGGACACTTTAAAACGGCTCCCATTGAAAGCATTAAAAACCCAACAAAATGATTGCTTGACTTCTTATCTCGATATAGTTTAAGCATGTACAAAAATAAAATATAGTTTTAGTTGAAATTCCTCGTCTTACAAGTATTGAAAAATATGTAGGTGTCAGCTTTGCAAACAATGTCCTGAACACTTGAATCACTCCTTCCTTGCATTTCGTATTTATAAATATTGATAATTATTTGTTTTTCGCTAACGCTAAAATGAAGCCTTTTAGCTCTTTTTTTTGGCAGTGTGCAACTTATATCAACAACTTCAGCTGAATCCGTATCAGACATTTTGAGTTCTATGAAATTAAACTGACAAATCTAATAAGCACACAGTAATACCAGTACAAATCTGATGCCAACTCTGTACTGTACGGCCAGCCACCGGGACAGACGACATGCACGGTCGTATCGTCTCCCACTCCACCCTCTGGTTTGTCATTGGTTTTGTGTAAGGGCTCGACCTATTCTGCCCAATAACAGTTGTGCTCCCTCTCTCTTGAAATATATCAGTGTACTGATCACGCAATAGTCACGCGATGATCTCTGTTTTGGTTTAGTCTCTTTCTTCGATACATACATAATAAACTCAACTCTTTTGGGGTGGGGGCAGCAACTCCTGAGCTGGATAAGTAAGGGCTTGCGACATATCATATGTTGTACAAATAAGCATTAAAAAAAGTAGATTCTCCTAATTAGTGAGACTTAGTCTACCACGATTGGAGCTTAACCAAAAGGATACATAATTCCATATACTATGTTATGTTTCTACATTTTCCAGAAGAATTAGAATTAAATTCACTTTTAAGCTTCATATATCTCTTGATATTCTCAAAATTCATGCGAATCTTTGGCGAATACAAATAACAGTAAAAGATAATATGAAAACGATATTAGGAACTTAAATAAAACAAGAGAAATATCAGTTTATTTCTTTACAAGGAAAACGTCTTAACTAACAAACAAAAACACTATTCTATAATACTTTTTTCTTAGTATATAAATATACAGTGCTTTTCAAAAAGGTCGCCCACTTTATTTTTTTAACCAATGAAATTTGGGGTAATGAAATTGAGGCACGACTATACAAATATTCTAGCATAAGAATGATAGATGAAAATTTGAGGACTTTAAGAAACAATTAACAGCAAAACCCAAGGCATACTCTAACCTCAAGATTCACTTGTTTCGAACATAAACAACTCTCAGGATACATTCGGATTAGCTATTTCAGTTGCGATTTTAATTTTTTTAAATACAAAATACATAGTTGAAAAAACCCGGTTGTGGATTTGTTTGACTCTCTGTGTCTCTCTCGCAGTATATTTTCATTACTTCTAAGGAAATTACTCAAATCCCATTGGGCAACATCGCTGTTATACGGGTAATTGTATGTAGACGTGGGTTTGCTGAAGGAGGTTGGCTATCTTCAGGTTGAATATGTTAATCAATGATATACAAATACTATAGCGTTTTGGATGATTGGTTGTTGAGTTATAAGCTACTCAGTGTACCGTAATAAAGCCTATTAATATACTTCCATAACAAATAAAGATATTGACCTGCAGTTTTCACTATTGTGAAGGGCTTTTTATGCAGTTTCCGATCAATATAAAAGATCATACCGTAGTATTTGACATGTTAGAAAACGCTGACACATCCAGAATGTGCCATCTACCGGCCACAGACAAATCATCTGACAAGATTTATTAGGAGCGCAGGTGAATACTCTTTCAAACGAAATAAAATCATCGGTGCAACTAAACAGAAGTGGAGACTTTTTCTGAAATGACATCCAGCCTTCCCCTACCCTGAACTAACCAAAATATGAAAACAATAACATAAACAAAAGGGTTTGTAAATGGAGCGTCAACAAGACAAATCTCTTTAATGGCTATGTTAATTAAAAGTTTTTGCAAAATAATGGTGTTATATTTTAGGGTTACCCAACTACCCATTCCATTTGAAAAAGGTTATAACATGGCGCCCAGCCGTCATCTTGAAATATTCTACTGCCACTTTTACGCTTAAATATAGTATTCATGCGTCAGTTTCATTACCCCGAATTTCAGATTGCGTAGACGACCCGTTCAAAAAATACGTATGGGGAGGGGGCGTTTTTAAAAGACTGAGTAACATATACTAAGTGACATATAAATCCGAACACCCAGTTTAAATGGTTTCATTTTAATAAAAGTTGGTGAATGTATTTATCTTACTGTAAATAACAAGTGAAAAAATTTTCAGTTGGACATTCCGGTTTTTATACTGCTTTTTTTTAATTCACTAACGCTCTAAAAATGAATATTTCAGCCGCAGTAAAGAATCAACGTTGGCGGATTTTGGTTCTTGACATCCTTTACGATCGGTTACGATGCCTAGAGTATGGAGACCTGTACGATTTCGTCAACTTAGTGAGTTTGATAGGGGCCGTATAGTGGGACTTTGGGAAGCTGGACTTTCTTTTCGGGCAATTGCAGTTAGAGTGCAAAGAAGTGTAGACACTGTGGTTTGGTGTTGTCAGGCATGGATTCGAGAAGGCCGTACGCAAAGAGCAAGGGGCACTGGACGCCGCCGTAGAACAACAGACTGTGAAGATCGCCGCCTAAGATTATCGGCCTTAAGGGACCGTTTCTCCACTACCAGGTCCATTGCAAATGAATGGTTTGCAGAACACGGAAGACCTATTGGCATGCGAAGTGTTTACCGACGAATGAGAAGTTTTGGCTTGTTTTCATACCGGCCACACTGCTTATGGTTCCAGGTCACCTTTAATCTTTATCAGAGGTAACATGAACGCGCAGCGTTATATCCACGAAGTTCTAGAACCCCATCTTTTACCCTATCTTGACACCCTGGCAGATCCAACTTTCCAACAAGATAGTTCCCGACCACATGTTGCAAGAGTCACAATAGACTTCTTTCAACATAATGATGTCACATTGTTACCATGGCCACCAAGATCTCCCGACTTATCCCCAATTGAGCACGTGTGGGATATGATGGGTAGGAGATTGCTCAATTTGCAACGTCCTCCTCAGACTCTAGAAGCACTTCGAGAGGAGTTGGTGGTTGCCTGGAATGAGATACCGCAGGAGGACATTGACCACCTGATCAGAAGCATGCCTAGGCGCGTTGGAGAATGCGTAGCACATCAGGGTGCATCCACACATTATTAAAGGTCAAAGGGCTTTAAAGCAGTGCAATCATTTTGGAATTTTTATCATTTACTTATTATGCTTCATTAAGTACTTATACAAAATTTCATTAAAATAAAACCATTTAAACTGGGTGTTCGGATTTATATGTCACTTAGTATATATCGTATAACTATTTGGCTGGCTTGGTGCAATAACTCGAATAATAAATTCAAGAACTAATATTTATACTAATACTAAGGCTGTGTTTAATTTTCAGGAACTTTATAATAAAACATGCGGAATTGCTAGGAGTGAAAGCAGAAGTTTTGGCGAAGCTGAGATATGATCTGCATTCAACATACAAGTTTCACAAGAAAAAGTCTGTAGACATAGAAGTCGACTTTTATAGATTTAGTTTGTGAATAAACTCCATTTTGTGAATATATTTCTATACTAACAAAATGAGTGCTCAGTACAGTAGAGATCACTGCAAAATTGCAGTGGCTAAAATTATGCAGCTAATAGGATGGCATTCCATCAATTCTACACCATTAGAGGTACTTACTGACATTTTAGTGAAGTACATGCAACATATCAGTGGAATCACGTTAGATTATGCCAATGAGTTCGGTCAAACGGAGGCAAATCTAGACCATCTGGCATTTGCTTTCCAAGAAATGGGCATAAACGTAGCTGAATTGGAAGAATACACAACTTTTGTGAATTTTGCCCCACCTGCTACTCCTACTCCAAAGTTTCCACTACCCAAGGAGGATAATTTGAATTTCCTTAAGCCTGGTAGCAAAGAAGTAGTCACTCGTCCAGTTCATATACCTGAACATTTGCCTCCAATGTTTCCTCTTTTAGAAGGTAAGTTTGATGTAACATTGCTAAGGGTATGTTTCATTTGTTAATAAAATTCATGAATCATTGCTTTGTACACTTTTTGCCTTTCACAGTTTTGAATATGGTCATTTCGTTAATCTTTTTAGGCGTTTCGTCTGACCTTCGTCTTCTGTATCGTGTGGTGGTTAAGGGGTCCGACACTGGTATATATTTAGCGGAATGAGGCTTGACATGGAGTCATTACCTTTCATTTAAGTAGTGGTGCCCATGCGCCACTGGAGGAGGGTCCGATACAAAGGCTGTTGTATATCACAAAGGCACAAATTCGTGATTTCTATATTTTGATGTACTCGGTCGCTTCTAACAGTTTTTGTGTCACATTTTGGATTCAATTTGCCAGTACTACCCATGTAGTAGCTATTAATGTTTGGCTCTGATGTGTTGATGCATCTGCTTCAGAGATGCCATTATTGGAGGTTTGAGCTGTAAGTTGTATACTATAGCTGGAAGGAAACGGCAGTGCATGTATGCATAGAGAGGATTTGTGTGATACTAATCTGTATTGATGATAATTCCATTGGTTTCTTGTCTCCAATACACTTACATGAGAGAGATAAGAAAAGAAAATCTCTGGTTGGTGAAGTGTGTTATGTGGAATCTTATACTTACATACTGCCACATATTGGAATTTTATTCAATATATACCGTCGATTTACAATTCATATACATGCTAACATTGATTACACACAACGCGGGCGCGGTGGTGATTTTCCGTAATTTTCTCACAGCAAATATCAGTGATTTCATACACATGCAGGCCAATACGCATAATCATCCAGATGCGATCTTGCTACTCAGCCAAATTTCTTTCACATCTCCTCAGAGATAAACACTACTTGGCTTTCTGCAACCAACAGTGCATGCTTGAGCCTGACGTGTCGTTGAGTTCTTCCTCCATGGATCGACGCTTTTGATGACGTTCACAACGATCATAGCGAGCAAACGTGGAATGAACTATTTACACACTAAATACCTTGTCTGCAAGTTGACATTTTGTCGTATTTTATTGATGTTTTTCGGGTTTTTCTACATAATACCCCTGCAGTACCTCACTTTTGAAAAGTGAAGCTTAAGAGACCCCACTTGGAGATCCTGGTAACGGGGGTTGCATATCTCGTACGTTTACATGGTGCTTGAGTCCATCTTCGGAGTGTGGAATGCATCAAAGTACGCGTTTATGTACTGAGAACAGGAGTTTTCGGCATAAAGTAACTGAATCATTTACCGTCGGTTTAAACAATTTCCATCATCACAGCCATGCTGTTACGTCGAAGCATTAAAGACAGACTGACTCCAGAAAATTATTTATTCTTAAACAATATATGAAGCTTGCAATGTGCGATCAGCTTTTATCCTCCCGTCTAATTTTATCCGTAAGATTTAGTATTCTCAGAAATTCTCAATGACGGAAAAGGAAATCACATGACCTGTGACAACAGTCCGATAAAGCTGACCATGCTGATTCCTAAAAATGGTGGTGGACAGGTACATAGTTGTAAGCATAAGTGGTTGGTGGCGCCACGGTTCGTAGGGTTATTTCCGTGCAAGCTTTCAATTGGGTTGGGTATTTTCTAGTGGAGTATGTTGATTAATGACAAAACACAACTTAACGCATGATGGCAAGCGCAATTTCGATAATCTGATTGCCTGTCCCATGCATTTACAGTTGCATCGCCGATAGTGTATTTCTTACTTTTATAGGCGCTGAAAATGAAGAGGAGAAAGTGGAAATTAAACAAGAAGTGGAGAGCGAAGAGGTAAAAGAGAATAACTCGCTAGACTTCAAAAAACCAGCAGCAATCTCTCCTGAGTTCCGTAGGCCCAAACGAGAAGACGAGGGCGGGAGGCCAACAAGAGAGATCAGTAGTGTCATGATGACCACTTCAGGGTATGTACTAACTCGTATTTTTTTAATAATGTGCTGAGGCTGTTATTCTGACCAATTTAGCTTTAGGGGCATAAACGAGAGTTTAATGTGTCGCGCTGTCGCGATCCTTTGGGTAAATGGCGTTCCGATAGTGCAAATTATTCGAACGATATTGCAACGCGCTGACCGAGCGGTAGGTAACATACGAATGCTAAAAGCGCATAGAATATGGCGCATTTTTTAATGTATTGGCAACGCATTGTTGTGGCGTCATAGCTGTCGCTCCATTTACATTTTTGATTATTGATCGTTAACGTGACGCCGTGAAGCCATATTTGAATTACTTGACACTGATGACGGATCAGAAACACGTGGCTATATTATCTTTACATGTAAAATTACAGCTACTGGAAAGGACAACACTGTCAGATCAATAAATCTCAGATGTACTATAATATTTTTCCAATAAACATTTTTATGTGTATATTTCATTGTAACAAAATTCAAAGTCACTAAAAGTATCTACTACGGTCCTGAATTTTATCAGATACCAGATTATTACCAACGTTACAGACTAATACAAATACATATGTCACTTGCTGATCACCTGTTCATCTCAGCAAACCCCAAAACGTAATGGATACTCGCGAAATAGGGTTTACCTTTTATGTGAAGTGAATCGGCTTGTGCTATTTCCCCCAATTTATAATTATTTGAAAAAACTGGTTCTACTGTTTTCCTGAAATAAAACTTTTGACAATGTTGCCATATCTTCATAAGAAAGCTGGGTGGTGACAATGATGCCATATCTTCACTGGTATTGTGGAGGTTATACTAAAGGATACTGGGAAGTCAATGCACGTCAATAACAAGTACACCATTGCATTTAAATTTGATGCTTCCGAAAGTAATGGTAAATCTGGCAACAACACAGTTATTACTATCTGATTGCAAATGTACGATTATCCACCTTTTCCAAGTGTTTCGAATGTGGCTCCAACAGTTTTGCATATTTAGTTTTGCGATATCTTTTCACAAAAATGCTTACTTTACAAGTATTTCCAATATATAAGTAAAATTTGAATGAATTATGAAATTAGAGCCACCATGAGGAGTCGGCGCATAGGCCACTTAAACGGGCCGTTATGCACCTCTACATTCCCTATAGACCTCGAGCCTCGCCATTCTACCAATAGGCTCATCATGTTAACAAATTTCCACGACATAATTGTAAAGTCGAGTTTTATTGATGCAAGTTGTTCAAGGAGGTATTTAAGACATGGACGCATAAAATGGATACACCAATTTTTGTGAGCAAACTTTGTACGTAGCCCTTCATTTTTCGCATAAAAATAACAATTATCTTTCAGAATAATTTGTGATCAACGTCGGCTAGGTAAATTCGTCTACTTTGCTATAAAATCCCCTTTGAACGAACCCTGTATAATGCTCAGTAAACTAGCAGCGATGGCCAGAAGACAGGTTATTTAGAAATATGAAGCCTACGGGTTTGAAGAATTCCAAGTAGCTGCGTGAAATTATCGTCGCATTAGCAACAAATCCCAAAACCTGCATTTTGCCTCGGTTTTCGGCCAAAACTTTTTTACTAGTACAAATATGATTCGACTACAAAGTTGAGTATGTCCTTGAGTCCAAGCTTCTTAACGTTCTGGGGCTGCAAAATGATGGACCCCAGTATAGTCTGCCTGTAGTAGTTCAGACAAGGGATGCCCAGCCACCCCCATGACGTGCAGGTGGCGCCTCAACGTTTTCTGGCCAGACAACAGTCACACCAGTTCCCGTGCCTGACGGAGATGTCTGGAGATGATCCATTTTTCTCCTAACTCTTTGCGCGGGCACCTCTAAAGCTGGCTCAGGGCCAACTAGCTTGCTGGCTGATCCTGTTTTCGTCATAGCGTCCGCCGTATCATTGTCTATTAGCCCAGCGTTCCCCGGTACTCAGACTAACGATACCGGATGCATCGCTTGTAGACAATCCAGAGCCTTCTTGCATTGCAATACAAGGCTTGAAGTAATCTTACAGGCACTTAGTACCTTCATTGTAGCCTGGCTGTCGTAGAAGATTGTTATTCTTCTCCTAGGCCCTCCCCCCTCCAAAATGCGCGATACACAAGCCAGAATCGCAAAGATTTCCGCCTGAAAAATAGTGGTGTATCGACTAAGAGGCAGAGGTAGCCTAGTTCTAGGCCCAAACACTCCGACACCTGAGCCCTCTTCAGTGACCGAGCCGGCCGTGTACCGGACCTGCCCACTCACTCCGGCGATCTTCCGGCTACCGGAGTCCCACGCCGCCCTCGTTGGATACTCCACAGTAAATTTATGGTTGAAGCGATATTTAGGGGTGATCAGACCACAAATGCTCAGAAGAACAGAATCCTCCCTTTGCAGTTCTACTAAGATGGCAGTGTCACCTTGGACAGGATTCAAGAAGGGTCAGGTGCCCTGACTCCATAGTAGATGTGGATCGCTAGATCCAGCGGTGGGAGATCCAGCAGTACTTCCATTGCACTCAATGGCGTTGTCCGCACTGCGCTTGTACTGCTAATACAGGCCAAAATTTTATTGAGTTTGGACTTAGTTGTCTCGGTTCTAATGCAAGGCCACCAAACCAGGGAGCCATACAAGAGAGATCGTCGTGTAGAGCCTGTTTTTGGGTTTAAGCCCCCACCTCAATCCGACAGCACGTTTGAAAGTCCACACTGAATTGCTAGCCTTGTTAACCTTATATTTAACATGCTCTCTTCAGTTCAGTTTGCAGTCCAGGATAATTTCTAGATATTTTAGTGATTGGGATAGAATTAGTCTAGTCCCAAAGAAGGTCGGCAAGGCAAGCCCGTCAAGCCTTCTTCTCCTAGTGTCTTTCCAACTGCTATGCTTAAACATAGGCTTGCACATAAACACCCGTAAGTGAAGTTTACAAAATAGGCTGACCTGTGCAGATTCAATCGATAGCCAGCTATTTTCAGCATCTAAGCTGAGTCATACTTGATGGAGCGCAAGCTCGTAGCAGCTTGGTGCAGCTGAATGTAACTATTCAAAAATAAGAGTCTTAATTTTTGTTGTTGTCTATTATTGAAAATTATACTTAAAGATTGACTTACTAACATGTCGTACGTTTCGATTGTGTATGTTTCAATATCTTCAAGGTACATCATATTTCAAACATCCTCATCAAATATGACTCAACTGGTTTTTGAAATGAGCGATTGAAATATGTAACCGGGTATGTAAGTATGGGTGCTTCTCTCTCTTCAAAATCCGAATAACTTTTCCAATATATTCTTTTGTTGTTTCAGTTTTCTATCTCCAGCCAGAGAAGGCAAGTTGCCAGAGCCAAAAGCACCTGTACCCCCACCTCCCACTGAGCCTCCGCCCCTCATCATGACAACCCCCATCGAACCGGTACTGAAAAAGAAAGTCGAGAAGCGCAAGGAGAAAGTGGGCAAGGAATTGTTGAAACCTCTATCGCAGGATGAGAAAGTGATGAAGAAAACGCCTACTATGAAGGATTTGGTCAAAATGAAGCAGAAAATGACGTCTGGGTTACCTAATATACCGCCGAATTTAGCAATCCCTCCATTGACCAGCATTGCTCCACACCCCCCTGTAAGTGGTATCTGTTTTATGAATAGTAGAGGGTAATGATTTGAAGCATTCTCATGATGATGAAATCTGGCAGTTCCAATTTTTTACATATTAAATACGGTACCTGTGCCGGCCCGGTTTAGTATATAATCACGTTGGTTTGCATAGTGTACATAGTCATTACCACCTAGCTTTAATTATAATTGTTTTGTATTTTGTGCAGCAACAATGAGATCTTGTTATTTCCAATAAAATGCTCAGCAATGGCTTTCTGTCAATCTATTGTATCAGGTTTGATCCATGTGTCGAGTAGGACACAAATCCTTCTTTTTAATTGGTGGAATTTGCGTCAACTTTTGTGTGATGTGATATATGAAGTATTTATTGATTTAATATCATAATTAGGATCCCATCTTACACAAATCTTATAGTTTTTTTCGAGTTTGAGGAGCATTTCACAAGAAATCTACAAAATTCATTAGATCCATTACTTCAAAGACGCCTTCTAATTGGTCCATTTTGTGTCAGAGGAGCAAATTTTGACTCCCGCAGATCAATAGTAAAATCAGGCATACACAACACATTACCTTGATGTCATTATTACATATTATCTAATATATTTCTTATCCCTGTTTGCATTGGGTCGTTTTGAACTGTAAATGTTTTGTATTTGTGATTTATTTTCTTAGCAAGTACTCTTACATTCAATTACATTTTTGTATGTGTTTATAGGAAGGTAAATTAATAAGTAATAACATATAATAAAAAAAACGGGTTTTACAAAAGTTGAGTTTGATGAAGTTTTGATTTATCTTTGTAACTTGCTACCACTGCAGCCAGCTTACCTATTTTCAAAAATACACCGCCCAATAAATTAGTACCTTTCCATGATAATTGCCGTTATGTTATTTTGCCGCCTGTCCATTGTGTATCGTTATGATCTGGATTTCAATAAATAATAAATTTAGGTTTCATGAGTCATGTCAGGTACATTTTTTTCTTGCAGCTTCAACAGCTCACACCACAAGAACCCAAATTGAATCTGATCCCTAATGCACAGAAAATGATCAGCGAAAAGTTCGATAAAGCCTTGGCAGCCGCTAAAGCGAAAACCGAGAAGCTCAACACTACGATTACACCTATACCAAATAATATTCCTCCGCTGCCGTCATCAATAACTATACAACAGGTTGAAAAGCTCTTCAATCAGCCGGATAAAAAGAAAGTGAATATATTCAAAAAAATATCGAATGTAAAAGACGGGAAAACCAAAAAAGACTCTAGATCGAGTACTCCAAGTTTGATGATGGACGATCATGCTGATATTGTGAATAAAATATCACTTTCCAGCGACATAACTATAGAGCCTATTCACTCCGCTCCCCCGCTCCGAAGAAGCCCCGAGAAATATGGTATTTTTGACGATGACCTCCCTATTGGCATACCTTCCACCCCTAGGACCCCGGATATCATGACGCACATGTAAGAATAATATGTTATCAACGTTTACTTACGAGTTTACTCAATTATAAATACATAACATATAGTTTGTCCCGGCATGTGTGCGGAATAATGGCGCAAACACGCTGATTAAGAGAAACTTAATGCTTTGAGTGAAAAAATGTACTATGGTAAGGGTAAAATGAACCGTTTTAGAGACAAATACTGTTTTGTTTTGAAATTATTTTCATTGATTGTTTTCACTAACAAACTACAAGAATTAATTAAAGATATACATGCTTACTGTCATGGATGGTACTAACACATTGTAAATTATTTTTAAAAACATGTTCTATCTACGATGAATAAGCTGGGTTAGGTTAAGATATTTGAAATATCAAAAATATCTTGCAAGACTTTGTACTAGACAGTCCTTTTCTGAGCCACAAAAACTTTCTTGCGATACTTTATACATGTCTCAAAAACGCCCAAGGTAATGAAGAATGTTTCTCACCAATGGAAAATGTAACCATTCGGTAAAGCAACGTTATTTTTTATAACGTGCACACGATACTTTGATAACTCCGAAATCATTTGTATATAGAGACTATACATCAAGATAAGTGGTAAAAATAAGATAACAAATGAGTTGCTCTTCGTTGAACACGCGATGTTTTATTGTATTATTTTGTTTTTTTTAGGATTTCTCATAGCTTCGCGAAAACGCTTCGACTTTTTACTGAGGTATATGTGGCTCAATATGTATATCTTTATTGTACGACGTTTCTGTCCCAACAGTGACCTTTTTCAAGTACAATAAACACTTTTGGGATGTCTCTTTACTTTCTATGGAATGTTCCCCAATAGCATTAAATATTTTAAAAAAAAGTTTGTTAAATATTTGTAGCGACAGATTTTTTAATATTTAATAAATATATTTCTTATATATTCGTAAAATATTTATTATAGATATTTGTAGTATATTTAGTTCATATATTTTTGCGATATTTTTTCAAAATATTCAGAAAATAGATGAGGTTTTTGATGGAGATTTTTAAATATCAATTTTATATTTTAATGAAATATCTAATATTTTTCGTAAATATGTACTTAAGAAATATATGAGGCAACAGATTTTCAAGCGTTTATCTGATACATATTTTCAGTGCACATAGAAAATTCTTCACTGGTTATTTTAGCAAAATCTGTAGGAATGCTTTTATAAAATTGGGCTTTTAAAGAAAATTCATTCTAGCTATAATGGTTCAATATGCTAGAAAAATATCATTAAAAAAACATTCTAAGCCTCTTCTGCATCTTGCAATTCCACTCCTCTGAAAAAAAAACTTAATAATGATGAAGTATTATTGAATACATAAGCTGCTTTCCAGTGGTCTTTTGTTTGAGAGAGATATTCTGCTGGACTACTCTAGAAAGTGTATTTATGGGAATGTAAAATGCAGTGGAACAATATTGGTGCTGAGCACTGCTGAGTCACTATAAAGCAACTCTGTAATGCACCTAAAAGGACCCCAAATTTACTTCCTGTGAGAGTTCAAGATTTGATTAAATTTTGCAGTAGTAAGGGGGTTAATTTAGCCATAACCATTTTGTGATTTTATAATTCAAGGAACAAAAATATAGGGTAATTCTCTAACTTAGCTACACCAGCCTTTTTTGTTTCTCCATCAGTATAGGCACTAGGTTTGTGTTGTAAAGGATGGAAATGAAATTAAAAATGCCAGCAAATGGGTTAGTTACAGAATGTTTGATATTATTTTGGTTGTAAAAGGTATAAACACCTTAATCACGACATTTGCAGAATGGAACGGATCCTATACATAACACATGTTGCCATATTGAAGAAATATAAGAAAATTAACGAAAATACGCATTTTCACGAGTAGCAGTAGGTTTCTTCCTAGTCTAGAACCTTTTGCTTTTAAATAGCGGGAGCGCGCCGCTAGTGCATTAGACGTTATTTAGGGTTGTGTGGAATGCGTCATAAATACAAATTTAATTATGAAGAATATCGATCAACACGAAATTTGACAACATCGCGCAGCCTGTGAAAACAAACATGAATATGAATATAATTTTCGTATCCATTTTCAGATAATTCCACCAATCCCAAATCGCAAATAACTGTTACACTTCAAGGCTAGTTATTTATGGTCTTGTAAATACCTCTATACTCAATTGACACAATAATGTTTACTAGTCAGATAAATTAAGCTATGTAATTATCGCAAAAAAACACTTAAATAATGTACCACTTGGAGGTACACGGGAAGCGCGCTATCATAGTGAAACTTACAGGCAAAATGGATGCCTGAAAACGGGTTGCTTTCCATTATGCCATTTGTCGCTCGGGGGTCTCACGCCGTAGCCGAAAATATTTAGTGAATATTTTCTAAATAATGGAGTTTTAATATTTCCCATTGATTGAAAAGTAATTTTTTATGAATATTATAAAAGAAATATTGTATTTAAAATACTTAAAAGATATTGAATAGATATTTAAAAAAATATATTCCAAATATTTATTGTATATTTGTTTAAGATAAAAAATATTTAAGTAGGATAAAAATATTATTAAATATTGAATAAATATTTAATGAATATTTCGTGCTATCAGGGTTCATCACCGTTAAATAGTAGTACAAGGTTATTAGTCACATTCATTAATCTTTACTATCTTCTTCTTCTTTATTCCTTATGGCTTCTGTACACGTGTACAATCCGCCAGCTCATTTGTTGTGATTGTACTTTGTCTGGCTCTCGGCCATGTACGAGTCACTGTATTGTCTCGAATTCTCGTGAAGAAATGCTGTAAAATATATCTATATCTTCTGCTGTATTATTTCTAGAGCTGGGATGTTGCTATTTATGTTTAATGAAAACCTTTAATTATGCTTTCTAAAGTGGTGTGGGGAGGTTAGGCAGACAGATAGCACAACACAGATATAGACTTTTCTCGTACCCGGGCAACGGAGGTACATTACACACCCTAAATGTTGCATCGGAAAAGGATTGGCACCCAGGGTTTTAAAAGTTGGGGACAGTTATAATATTTTGTTTGCCTGAATGAAGTAGGTTAATAGATAATATGACTTTCATGTTTATATTTGCAAGTATTAATTGAATGTTGGAGGGGGCATTGAATCCAGCTTTTCTTATCTCTTCATATAGATTAAAACCTAATATTTGATTTATTGGGCATTCAAATAGTATAGTTGCATGCTTTGTTAATCGCTGCTACTTCCGCCGCGCAGATGTTTAAGAAGTCTGGGAGTCTGGATGTGTAGTTATGTCCCAGTTGAGGAATGTGTAGCCCATATCCCACTTTATAGTCCACTTTAGATACGTCAGTGTATATGAGGGTATGGGTGTCTCTGAACTGTTCTATAATTTGTAGAAATTGCAACTCTATATTGTGATCTTTTTTGTTTATGTTAAGGGGGAGGACTTTCACTGCCCGAGTTTGAGTAGTATAATCAAACTCGAAGTACGGGAGGGCTCGTCCCGAATGGATTAGTGGAATGTATTCCTCCAAAATGTTAAGGGCTTCTATGGTGATGGTGGGTGCTCTATTCCTCCAATAGTCATGACCTGACTTATATTGAATTTTTAGTTTTTTTAATATTATGATTAAGGGGTGGGATTGAATTCTAGTTTTTTTCGCTAGGAATTTAGTGCATAACCAGACCCATCTGTGGTGTAGCTCCATTTCAGCGGTTTCTGCTAGTAACGTGTTAGTTGGTGTTGACTTCATGGTTCCCGTTATGATCCTAAGCCCTTGAAATGACGTCATCTGGAGTTTATTGAGGTATTTTTGAATGCAGGGATTTAATAGTATGCTACCATAATCCAGATGGGATTTAACTAGTCCGTTATACGCCATGTGTAAGGTTGCAGGGTCGGCACCCCAGGAAATTCCCCTATTAGCTTTATTTATCATTTTAAATTTTTTTGTAGTATGACCCCTAAGTATTTCGTTTGGTTTTTGAGCTCTATATTTTCATTGTTTACCCTTTCCAGATACTCGTTTAATGTTTCCGCCATTTTTGTCTATTTTGTTACCGTTAATCATCAGCGCCATATCGTCTGCGTAACTGAGTAAATGTATGTGTTGTGGTAATATTGAATATAATTTATTTATGTATATGTTGAACAGTAGTGGGCTTAGAGGGGACCCCTGAGGAAGACCTAGTGAGGTGACCTTTGTAAATTAAAAATTAGATTACAAATTTGTTTAGATATTCCAAGTTTTATTAGTGTTTCGTATAATAGAAAAATGTTTACGTTGTCGTATGCTGATTTGATGTCTAGGAAGACTTGCTAACGTGGTTTCTTTTTGTGAAAAAGCCAATTGTATGTAGGAAACTATGAAAGCAAGGTTGTCTCGGGTAGAGTATGCTTTTCTGAATCCTGTCTGCAGGTGGTTAAAAGTTTTCTTACTTTCGAGTTCCCACTCTAATTTATTTTTGATCAAAATCTCTAGTGTTTTCCCTACGCAAGAGCTTAGAATCAGAGGTCTATAGTTGTTGGGGTTGTTTGGGTCTTTATTTGTCTTAAGTATGGGGTATATCAAATGCTCTTTCCAGCTGTTAGGAATTTGCATACCCGATCGGCAGTTGTTCAATATGGTTAGTAGTGAATGTAGTGTTGAGACTGGTAGATTCTTCAGCAATAAATATGGGATATTGTTCATTCCTGGAGCACTATTTTTGCGGTTTTCCAAAGCGATACATAAATCTCTGAAGTAGAATTGATGGTTTTCATTTTTTGAACAATGGAATGTGAATTCAGCTGCAATGCACAGTCAGATTTTTTATGATATTTGCGGCAATTTGTGGGTTAGGGGATGAGTTTTTATTGTCACTAAATTTTTTTAATGTTTTCCATATGAAAGAGGGATTCATATTTCTGTTTATGTTGGAGCAAAATTTTTTAAATTGAGTTTTTTCTTTTTTTTTTCAAGAATCTATTTGTCTGTGCATTGATTTTTTTTCGCCTCTATGTAATTTTCTAAACTAGATTCTAGTTTAAACTTTCGTATGGCCTTTTTCCATTGTTCAATTTGGGCTGTGCATTCTTCATCCCACCATGGGCTCCTGGATAACTTTCTGTTATTATCTTGCTTGGTATAGGTATAGGAGATTGAAAGATCAGCTGCTATGTTTATTGTTTGAGCAAGGGTTTGGTAGTCTACATTATCCGTATTAATCCTAAAGAGTTCGTTTATCAATTGTTTGTATAAACTCCAGTTTGCTTTTTTATAATTTCTTTTGGGTCTTTCGTTCGTTGATCTTAGTAAGTGTTCATATTTACAAATGATCCGGAAGTGATCGCTATTTCCGCAGTCCTGCAAAATACCCCAATGTGTGGTAGTGGCTAAGTTGTTCGACACAATGGTCAGGTTAAGAGGACTCGGATTCTCCCCTGGTCCTATGAGTCTGGCTGAGGAACCATCATTCATTATGATGAGGTTGTTAGATTCTATGATTTCATAGAGAGCTCTACCATTGTAATTTATCTTAATGCTACCCCATGCTGGGTGATGGGCAATTAAGTCCCCCACCAGCACCACTTCGCCCATGAGCGATTTCAATACTTCATTGAACCCTTTTATTGTGATTTTGTTGCTTGGAGGGCTATATACATTAACCCAATTAATATTATGGACTTTAGTGACAATACATTGTAGGTTTCCAGTGTTAAATGTGTTAGGGAGTATGTTTTGATAAAAGATATTATTTTTTATAAATGTAGCTACTCCACCTTTCCCATCTTCTTGGTCTGCTCTAATGCATTGATAGCTTCTCATATGCGAACTCTGTTATTTCTTTAGCCATGTCTCATTCAAAAAAAATGATTTCTGGGTTATGCGTTTCTAAAAATTGTATTAAATTCACGCTGTTACTACTGTAACTCCTTAGATTCCACTGTAAAGTGATTAAAGTGCCTTTTCTGTTCATTTTGCAGTTGTGTCTGTTTTGTACTACTGAGACTATGCTATGTAACACTTTTTATTTTTTTTCAGTAAAGTTCGTTGTCAGTCTGGTCTGTATCATTAAGTACTATTTGTTTAATTTTACTTAGGGTTTCAGGTTTAAGGTATTTTATGTTTTCAAAGATTTCATCACTTGTTCTTTAGTGTTATTACTATGAAGGGCACTAGTAGGCGTCTTAGGAGTGTTGAATGGTGCTTCTGTGCTTGAAGAGTTATTGTGCACTTGTGCTTGTACTGTTATTGGTATGTTACGGTTTTGTTCTCTACCGTTTCTGTTTAGGTTCTCATTGTAACTGTCTCTATTGTATCCGGTATTTTGTTCAACTATTCTTTCTTTTTTTTTTGGTGTTTGTGATAGTGCTTGTTGAAAGGTTCTTTTTGTTTTTATTGTATTCGCGAATTCAAATGTTCTTCTTTGTGCTATATTTATTTGACTTGTTCCGGAGGTAGAAGGTGTATTCTGGTTTCTGATTGATGGGAAATTTCTATTATGTTAAGCTATGTCGGTTGTGTTTATCATATTACTTTGCGATTTATACGTTTCAGGGCACAGCTCGTTTGCCTCAAAGTATGAAATATTTTCAAATATCATAGGTTGTTTTATCTTTTCCTGCCTCTTGTACTCTGGGCAGTCTTTCGAATTAGATCTATGTTCCAGACTATCGCAATGATAACATTTTCTATGACAGTGAAAGTCTTCAAACTCTTCATTATGTTCAGGATTACTGCAATTAAAGCATCTTCTCTTTCCCTTGCAATGGGTCTTAGTGTGACCATAAGTGAGACAAAAGAAAAATTGAGTGACAGGTGGTATATATGTAAATACGAGAAAGAGAAGATAGTAAATAGAAACATCTCTAGGACGTACTGTGCCTTGAAATGTTATTGGTATGGTACCAGTGGGCGTGTATTTTGTAATGCCATCTACTATGGTTTTTCTATTGAGCCTTTTTGCATCTAACACTTTCATTGGAGATTCGATAGCGCTAATGATCTCTTCAATTGGGAAACTTGTATCTACTTGTCTTATGATTCCCTTGCATGTTACTTTGTTGAATGGTATATATATATTGTACCCATTGAGTTCTTTATTTGCAAAAGAGTTTGCTGACTTGTAGTCCAGGAACTCTACTCCCAGCCTATTCCTTCCCTTGACTTGTATGCGTTTAATGTTGGTTAAATTTAATTGAAATAAATCTTTTGCTAGCTGTAGATACCTTCTTTGACCTACTTGAATCCCCGTGCCTTCCATTGCTTCGACAAAAACTATGAATGGTCCCTGTTCAAAGTTTTTGTAGCATATTTCTTTTTTATCTATAGTGTTTTTTTGGTTGACATTTTCTTTGTGACACCAATTATATTTTCTAGCTCTGCTTGTGTAAGGTTTCTATTATCTATAGCACTAGTTTAGGGGGGTGTCTCCCCCCGGAGTCCGTTTCCATGCCTCTCTAGGTTTGCCTTTTGTCTATGGTTTTTCTGTTTTTGCTCGACACGCGTTCCACAGCGTAACCAGAAACGTCTTTACTATCAATACATTTTCCTCGAACTTCCGTTTAACTACCAGTCATATTGCATAAATATAAACAGTTTGGTATAATTGCAAGTAGATTTACCTGTAACTTGTACTAACATTTAATTTAACAGTTTCAAATACTATTTGCTAGTACTAATCCAAAGCTTACAACTTATGAGTCCATATTCACAAATTGGATATTTATATCCCATAAAATTGCTAGTAGTAAAATATGTCCTGTTATTTCAAAAGTCTTCGCTACAACTGATTCTCGTTTCGTAGAAAAGATAGAACAAGTCTCTTGGTCGTATTGTATACAACTTATGTGTATCGGTGATACCGTCACGATTGCGACTTGAGGCAACTTGAAGAGGTTGTTCGGGGCTCAGTAGACTCGCTTTTGTGCGATATTTACTTGTACTTTTAATTTGAAATGGAAGAATGCATTCTTGTTTACAGTGGTCCCACGATGCAGAAAGAGAAGCGAAAACGAAAAGACACAAAGAAGGTGAAACGCGTAAAGAAGAGCCATAATTTCATGCCAGGGACAGAAATCATTGATCTTGTAGCGGGTATGGGCCGGCCAAAGACACCTGACGCACATCTGCCAATGGGACCAAGAGGTGGATTAGGGTTGCCCCACATGCCCTCCCATCTACCTTTCCCCCTGCTCCCGAATTTCGCCGGTCCTGGATTAATACCCAAAATGAATACGCCGATGTTCCCATTTTCTCATCTAGGAACATTTGGGAAGAATCCTTATTTCCCGTCTGTTCCACCATTCCATAGCATGCCACAACAAGTGGAACCTGTTTCTTTGGTTAGCCCGAAGGCCAAGGATGCCATTGAGATCAAGCCTGTGGAGGTAATCAGTACTATTATTATTATGCTTTTATTATGTATATAAATCAACTATTCATTAATGCTACTCAAACATTGAAAGAAGTGTCCGTAGGTTCATTTATACACTTACATACTGGTGTCAATGCAGGTAATCAACACGATCATCAGATATACATCGTCCTACAGGGTGTATAAAAGTGGTCCTAAAACATTATCATGGATAAAACTGCAATAATGCAAGTTTGTTTCCAACGGTATATCGCATTTATCAATGATTTTTTCAAACAACTCCTGTGAGAGAATCAAGTATGATCACTGTGCCAGTTAGTCGATAGTTGGCTAGTTATTGGCATTCTAAATGGTATTATTGTTATTTGCAGTATGCTGCTATTTTCTTTCAATTGCAGTTATACATCATTAGTAGAATTAAATTACCCAAACAAGCCTGCAAGAGGCCTAACATTAATTTTGCTTATTATTTATACCGGTTATTCAGGAGTATAAATTACATAGTGTGGTCCTTATAATATGGAGAAATAAAAGACGGAATCCGACCCTAGAATTTTGAGTTATCAAATCACTTTCAGCACTAAGCACTATTTTGCAAAATTTTGATTAAGTTAAGTTAGTAACGCTTTAACAACATATTTGAATGAATAAAAAAATTTATGAAAAACCCGTCCGACTAGTTTTGATTTATTACTGGATAAATGTATTATTGTGCAAGATTTCATCAAATTCGGTTATCTTAGATTGCCCAGAGATATACTTTTGGTGATTCTACATGCTTTCGGGTCGTTAAATGAAATTATGTACATATTATGTAGGCTTGAATGTTTACACGTTTCGGCCACCTTTGTGGCCTTTTTCAAAGTACAGATCAAAAAAGTAAGTGACACTGTAGATTAATGGCAAAAACAAATGAACTGTATAATGTCAAATTTGAGGTGATTCATCTTAACAAAATTACAAATTTAGTTTAGTCGTAAAGTATAGATAAAGAATGATAAAAAACATAAAAAACTCTAAACTATATTTTTGTGTATGAACATTTCAGAGTTTTTTTAGTTTTGTATTTTACTTTCAAGGAGAAATAAAACACAATAAGTTTTTTGTACAACACTTACCGAAAATTAAGTTCCTTCATCAATGTAGCCAACGTCGATCTTTTGAAGTCTGGCAAGTCGTCGTCGATGATCCTGAAAACAATACATTTTGCGTACACAGAAACCGACAAAGCTCTTTTTGTCCGTTTTCTTGTTAATTGGCCCTCATGTCGAAATATCCTTTTAAAAGTTGTATTACAAAAATAAATGAAGCACACAAAAAAATTCAACCGCACGTCACAGACCTTCGGAAAGAATTAAAGTGCTATTGTGAACTTGGCGGCTTATCTACCGAAAACGGACCAATAGGAACGCGTGCCGGTCAGATGATTTATTACTACCTAGGTTCGTTGGATAAATTATAGGTAGCCGCTAGTGTGCCGTTAGATATTTCCGCGCCTACTACAATTGAGGATGAAGTGAAGGTCAGCTAGTTCAAAGGTGGCATTTTATAGGAAAACCTACATAATGTCATAAAAAATCTACAAAATGTCACTTTTTAAGAAACATATGTAGGTATTGATCGACCAGCCAAAGATTGCTAGGGACGAAAGGGGGAAATGCGATGAAAAAACCTTACCATTAGACGATTTTATATGGAGTCATAGGCGGAGATCGGAGAGACTTGAATTATTAATTGAATTTATATTTTATTACAACTGGTAGTATTAATATTTTTTTGCGATTCATAATGACGTGATACCAAACATACATTATAAGAAATAAATATACACAAACACTGAATATTGAGAACAAAATAAATATATTTTTTAGGCAACAAGTAATATTCCTATGTACGCATTATGATTGAACAGCAAAACAAATTATGCATTCTTCTAAAATAGAATACAACAAGTCAAAAATATCTGACTGAATAGAAAAATATAGGAAAACAAAAAGTAATTTCTTGATGAAATAACCCATAAACAACACATAGAATTAGACTTTCTACTGAGATACTAAAAGCCACAAACCAATAGTATAATAAATGAATATCTAAAAATTCTAAAAGGTAGCCAATCTAGTATAGTTTCAATCCTGATTAGAGTCATGATCACTGTCTGAGGAACTGTCATTGCTATCACTTTCACCTCCTATGTTGATTATTATTTCTTCCTGTATTTCTTGAATGAGACTGTCTTTTTCCCAATATTCATCTTCAATTTTTATAACATGTCCAATAACCTTTTGCCAGTCACTGGCACTTACTGAAGCGATGGCCTTATTAGAAATTTCATCTAGTTTTTTTATAGTAAATTCGCCGCTTGTATTATGGCTTCTAATGAAAAATTTTACTTGTGCCCAAATCATCTCTATGGGATTAAACTGACACATATAGGGTGGCGTTCGAAGTGGGGTGTGTCCGAAACTTCTTATTAAATTATCTATCTTATAATTTTTCTCATCAGATGGTGGCCTATGTAGACAAGCTATTTCATAAAGCTCCATTTTTTTAGCATTAGGATCATGCTCTATACCTTTTTTGCTCAACCACGTGATGATGTCTCTTTTTAGAGAAGATCTAGTTGGAGGCTTGTCTTCCAAAGCTGAATGGTAAGGTGCATTATCCATTATTATAATACTATTAGGAGGAATGTTAGGAAATAGTTTTTCAGTAAGCCACTTCGTGAAATTTTCTTGGTTCATTTGACCGTGATAATCACCAGTGGCACAGCCAGCCTTGAAAATGAGACAGGCTCCAGGAACAAAACCATCTTGCGAACCCGCATGAACAATTATAAGTCGTCCTGGAAATGAATAAATAGCCTCATTTTAGTGTTATTTTAAGTTTGCCAACACCTTTTTGAATCACTATGTATAAAAAACATATTTTTGAGAAAAAAATACTTGCAAGGGATTATGTATTCAATTAGACAAATTAAATGAGCACTTATTAAGAATATTCCAAAATTGAGAAAAATGTATAATAAGCAAAATCGAGGTGAAAGAAACTTTATTACCTGTAGAACTTATATTGCTCAGGACACCCATAATTTCTTCGCTTTGCCAGCATTTCTTGAAAGTGAGGTCATTATCAACCCAAGTTTCGTCCAAATAAATAATATGCCTTCCTTCTTCCCGGAACTTTTTAATAGACCTAAGATACTTGTATCGCCAATGTAAAATACTGGGTCTTTCCATTAGTAATTTCCTTTTGTTGTGGCATTTACGCCAGTAAAATCCTTTTGCTTTTAAAAGCAGCCTCAACGATTCTTTACCAAATGGAAATTCCATTTCTTCCTTCAGTTTGATTAGAAGTTTACTACAAGTAGGTACCACTTTAAAATCACAGTAAAATTTTTCTATCATTCTCCGAATAATGGAAAAATCGACTCCATCAATTTTTTGGATCACAGAAGGGCGTGATCTCTTTTTTCCGGGAGAAGCTAAAGGCTGTGTGGAGGTTGCATTTTGCCTGTCTTTATCTTCTTTTCTAATTTTACTTATAGTTCGTTCACTAACACCCGTATAATATGCCGCCCTTGCATTTCTAGCTACCAGTGGATAAACGAAAGTATTGTTAGCCGCTTCTGCATCGCAAGCACGTATCACGTTTGCTATTATTTCCCTTGCCTGGCTGTGAATAACTTTCCCATGCTTGAATTCCATTATCACCACTAAACAGTAAATTATATTTTCAAAGTATTTGCCAACTGCCTACGCCTATGGGAGTAGGTTTATAAATGACCGTGCCATCGGCACGTTATTCTAGTTTCAGATAAGATAAGAGTTTTGGACCAATCAGCGACCGGATGTTTACCTGCGGCCTGGGTTTTCCAGCTACATTGCCAAATTCAGCGGAACAATTCTATATCTTAAATATGTTAATATGTATGGACCGCATTTTATGTAGAACATCTGACAACTTCGCAATTTTTTGTCCGCATTCTTTCGGCTTGCAATCTTTCGCTGGTCCAACATTAATACAAATACTCGAAGACAAATATCAAATTTATCACTGTAACAGGATTTCTTACAATTAGACATGTTCTACAAAACATTGGATGTCTAAAAGGGGGTAGTTACATAAAAATACCTATTTTCGGAAAAAATATATTTACATATTTCGTTTAGCATCCCATATAGAATTACATGTCCAAAAATTTGTTGCACATGCATTATCAATAAAACAGCATCATCAATACAAACAATAATTTTTTTACTAATTCGTAGCACATTAGAGGCTTTGGCCGTTTTTCGTTATTTGGCCCCACTGTGCGTCGCCAGCTCTTATTAAAATATATGGCAGCTCGATTTTCGCGTCCAGCAACACTAGTTTTCACGTCTGTGAGCTACGATATATTTCAGTATGTTAGTTGTGCTACCCATGTTGACGACATAGTCTTGACGTGTCGGTGAGAGATGATTCTATGTGTGTATCGCTTACGAAATGATTCAAATCAACGAAACAAGGTTTTGTCTCATACTTTTGTTGGCACCTGATATGTGCGTAAATGAACGATTTAAATTGGTGGGTTTTAAATAGATGCCTACTTCACTATTTTTTTCTTCACAATTGTTAGGTAGTACAGAAACCTAATCCAGCACCAAAACCAGTGCAACCAACTCATCAACCAGCACCGATGGAGGTAGCACCGCCTCCAAATGTCACGCCACCTTCTGTCACGACAATCAAAGAGGAGCCCTTGCACCTCAGCGAGGAGGTGAAGGACAAGAAACCAAAAGAGCACAAAAAAGACAAAGAGAAGAAAATTAAGAAGAAAAACAAGAAAGATAAGTTGAAGGATAAATCAGAGAAGAAAAAGCTGAAAGACGCGAAGAAAGTTGAAGCGAAAGAAAAGGTGTGTGAGAGTACGTTTGTTGGGATATTATATTTAGTTCTTATCCTCTACTAGTGCAGTATACTTAGAAGAAATTCCTAATAAGAACGGGTCGGTGCTCGAATGAAATACAACAAAAAGGTATTAACTAAATTCTTTTTATTGGAAAGGCTCTCATATACCATTTTATGATGAAACATGACATAAGTTTAGTATTCCGCGCGGCTCCGCACAGTGGCACGGACTCAAGAGTTTCAGTTTTCAGTGGATTGGTGCATTTGAATGATGTCATATTTCATACAAAATAGCAAACATGGAACATAGACCTTTCAAATAAAAATCGTTATAAACATACGAGGTCTGTAAATGATGTGATGAGACTGCTTTTTTCTTAATTTTTTTATTCAAATATCATCACAATTTTATATTGTCACCCTCAAAATAACTTCCTTCTGAAGCCACACAGCGCTGGAGACGGTTATTTCACTCCTCATAGTGCTGGATACAGTTGGTCGGGTACAGTCGTTTGAATATTTTCGACTGTCCCAAAAGGTGAGGTGAGTTTTTGTCTTCGGCAAGAGAACTCAAGGAGGCTGAGGAGCCACAGGACTGTTTTTATTGGCCAAAAACTCGTTTATTGACATTGCTCTGTGACAAGAAGCATTATCATGTTACAGCACCCAGTTGTTCTTGATCTGCTGAACGGTGGTGTGAGTCAAGTTTACCTCGTCACCGATCATTCTGGCTGCCAACCGACGATCTGAACGTATGCACAAGATCCTGGATTATGTTATCTTAAATGCCTTATGTTTTCAATGACTACCGTTTAGATTCAGCTCATTTTGGGCAATGGCCTTTGAGTTGTGCTCTGTGCCCAAGTCTGAAGCCCAAATTTGATAGCTCACCGTTGCTCGAATTTGATGTCTCATTTTTAGAACACAATAGAAAAACTTTCACAAAAAAATGTTACGGACAACCAAATGACTCGAGCGAGTTCAGACTTGTACTGAAGGCGGGTCCCATGTTCCCCAGTCTTCCCTCCCCCAAACCCGGCGCCTCCAGTGTTGCAAGATCGAACGCTACGTTGCCAGTCTCACCACTTAATTTATAGACCTAGTTCGTTTTGTTCCATTTGAACTTCGACCGGAACTAGTGAGAAAACCCTTTATAATTAGCATCTTCGAACGTTTTGTCCAATGGAACCGGGGTCCATGTTATTCGTGATTTTGAATTCCTTGTCAGTACTTTATAACTTTTAAGAGTGTTTTACGCTATGTCATCACCCTGAATTTGAGCCAGGGTCTATCTGGGATGATTGACCAAGATCGGGTAACCAACCCCGAAAGAGGGCAATCACCACGCGAGAGTCTATCTCGAAGCGGGTGGGTGCGAGAGCGTTACGTGAAGGATGCTCAAACAAGTCAGCAGTGCATCGATGGCGACCGGGCAATGAAGAGGACAATGTGAATTGTTTCAGCGTTGCGGCTCCTACGGAGCTTTTGTGAGCTTGCTGTGCTGACGTGTGATTTTCACGCTGGAACAGGGACCCGCCCCTTCAGGCACTCAGCAGAAAGTATCCCATGGGTGCAAGAGTTGAAATCTTGCATTGGTCCGTGACCAGTTAAGCGAAGGCTGGGGTAAATATCTGATGGTGTACCTGAACCTGGCTATAGCGACCCGCCCCTTACGCGGGTTTCTCAATTTATGGATCACACGACAAATAAAACAGACAGCATAGCGGAGATTTCACCGATTTTATCGAACTCTAATAACGCCCTAAAACTAAACACGTAAACATTATTAGTGGTACCATTCATTAACGTATTCAATCAGAAGACAGTCAGAATGAAAACTTTTTCGAAAAACCATGGAGTTGATGTATATCGTATCTGAGGGCACATTCTAAAAATATTTAGCATTCTCCAAAGGTGTATTTTTTTCAATGTACGCCTCATATTTTATTGCACATTCGAAAAAACGTTTCAGAAGATGAGGATTGATCTAGCATACTATAGGATCCTAATAATTATTAGTTGTATTATAAGCTACTCATTGTACAAACACTCACTTCTGACAGCTCACAACTTTGATATGTGGCTTTGGGACAACGAAGTATGCCAACCCATAATTAGATTTTTTTGGAAAGTTTTCGTCTAAGGGCAATCTGCCGTCAATGCACTATTAGCCAGTGGCGACGCTTGACTTTTCCTAAACTGTTACCAAAGCCAGATGTTAAAAATCTTATTAAAAAAATTTATTTTGACCTCCCAAATATAAGTTTTTGTTTATCTTAGGTATTTTATTTAAACTATTTTTAAATTAAGGTAAACATTCCTGGACTGAGCGTCTGGGGCACTTGATATACCTCATCTTTTTTGGCAACTAATTTTAACAATTCCCTGTAATTTCCTCTATTGTCAGAGTCATCCCCTTCAAAATGAACGGTAATTCCTGTTTTGCCAAAAAACATACGGTATCTAGAAGTGTGCTGCCTAAAAGCTTGGTTAAGACAACTTTCGATTCTTGCTTTGCCAAATTGAATTAAATTGGCTACACATCTCACATGTAAAGGAGAAATTTCATGTCTTCTCTTTAGAGCCCTAAAACTATTTAAACCGACTCCGCTGCTGGTCCACCCATTTTTTTCTGTATAAAACAGAAGACATCGCCACCAATACAATCTGTTTTTGCAACCACATAACCAAGTTTCCATATACCAACTTAATTTAAAATATCAAACTACGTTTTTTTATTCCTTTTTAAAATTACATTAAATAGGTGTTGGTCTTCCATCTTCAATGGTCTCCTTTTTTTTCTTAAAAATTATACAAGGAGAATGATTTTTCAAGTAGTTGATCGATTACGCAGCGACACTCATCCATGTTTAATTGCACGCACACTACAGCCGGTAACCAAAACGGCTACGAACGAGTGAGGCTGAGAAGTGAGTAACCAAATCAAAAAATGGTAACAAGCCCACATAATAGTCGCAGCGCCCCACGCACTCGGGTGACCGCGATCAGACACGAGCCGGCACCAAAGGTTCCCGATGGACTTCTCAAGTGTATCCATAAATGAAAATGGTAACAACCGACAACCAAGGCAGCTTCATCGTGTTCGCAAAACCTAGACACTATAGGGCGCATTATTTTCGTGGGGCTAATTTACTATTTACTGAATTACTATTACATATCGCTGTTGATAAACAAATAAATGAAATTATTTGACAGTACTTCATCATAAAATATTTATTTTTAAGATTTGATGAACAGTGTTACGTTGTTAACTGGATTCCATAGAGATTTGTTAGTTATTTTCCCACTTATCTTCTTCCGGGACAGATGAAAGCAGATAATTCAAATAAATATTTTAATTCACATAATCTTAAAGTTTATGAGAATGAAAGGTAATTTAATTATCCACAGCATTTTTCCTCATAATTTTTTCGCTACAGCTTATAGCTTCCTGCACATGACGATTGATAAATCTACAAACATTCATCTGATAGCCCCTATAATTTATCCAACGAACTTACGGAGTGATAAAACAAGTGACAGGGCAGCCCGATTTACACGGCACAACTACCTGCAAAACCGATGATGCGCTATCGCCAGTGGCGTGTAGGTTTTAAAATTAGTTGAGGTACCATTTAATTTATTTTCACTGTTTCTTCTATATTTCCATTACTTTCAAGGTGCTATAAGGTTTGTTAAATTGATATATTAAATATGCTTCCCCAGTTATGATTCATTAACTTTACATATTTTTTATATTACACAAATAATTTTAATACATGGGAAAAAATAAAGAAAAGGGCTCAAAACTTAAATTCCCTGTTGGATTGGATTTTGGATATTTTTAATATAATACCTAATAAAGAGTCTACCTGCATTCATTACCACGTTTATTTCGACGGCTATATGCGGATAGACTTTAAAGTTGATTATCCCAATCATGTGTAATCCTGACCGTTTATTTCGGCGATCCACAAGTCAAACCAAAACTGATAACGTCAAAATCTTGGACAGAGGGCTCATTCGAAATTAGCGGTCAGGATTAACACAGGATTGGGATAACCTACTTTGAAGTCTATCTGGATAGAACCGTCGAAATAAACATGGTAATTATACAAGTATGTTTAGGGATATAGGTCCTTCGTCATTATCCAGAAAATATACAAATTACATTTATTAACTAATCGCTATCACTATCAGTATAATCTGAAGATTCTGAATCGTTTCCTAAGTTAATAATCACTGGTTCAACCACTCTTTCCATACAATGGTCAGTTGTCCACATTTGTTCTTCCTCCTCAACATGTTCGATTGCTTTTTTCCAATTTTCCGGAGTTACATTTTGACCGCGCTGTGAAAAAGCTGCTTTGCATCTGCGATCTTGAAAGCTGTGTTTTTTCTCGAAACTTCGTTTTTAATTTGCGCCCCAATTAACTCGATTGGGTTAAACTCGCAATGGTAAGGAGGCAGGTGTAAAATAGTCTGATTGGTAGATTTAGCCATTTCGTCGATGACATACTTATCAGCACTTTTATTGCCCTTGACCAGATTTAAAAGTTCTGCTTTGACCATATCGTTGTCAAAGGGAACATTATGCCTTCGTAGCTATTCCTGTATTTCCCCTTCTGTTTCCACTGTTTGGTGCTTTATCAATACGCCTACTATGGTATGAAGCATTGTCCATAACGCTGACAGCGTACTCTTCTAGACAGCTTCTAATATTTTCAAACCATTCTTTAAATAAATTGGCATTCATATCGACGTGGTAGTCATCTACTTGTTTTAATTCAAATACCAATAGATCGTCTTCCACAAAGCCATTATTAGATCCAATGTGTAAGATAATTAGCCGTTCTCCTTTCGCTGAAATAATTTTTAATCCTGTGGAGAGACCTTCCAGGAAGGCTTGCCTCGGATGCTCAACTGATGAATCCACCCATACTTTGCTAATAGTGTGCCCTGCAAGCCTCGTCTAGGTAGTATATCTTCCTGCCTTCTTCTCTTGTCATTTTCTTTCAAGATGCTATTTCGCTTCCTTCCTACAAAACTAAAAATTACAAATCTTTAAATTCGTTAATTCAATGAACCATATTATATGAATAAAGAATTTCAGGGGATTCATATTAACAAAATTGCAGGTTTAGTTTAGTTTAGTCATAAAGTATAGATAAAGCACAAAAAACATAAAAAACCCTAAACTATTTTTGTGAGTGAAAATTTTACGGAATTTTTTAGTTTTGTATTTTACTTTCAAGGAGAAATAAAAAACAAAATAAGTTTTTTGTACAACACTTATCGCAAATTAAGTTCCTTCATTATTGTAGTAAATGTCGATCTTTTGAAGTCTGGCAAGCCATCGTCGTCGTCGTTTATTGATAACACAATCTTGTCCAATCTGGGTGGTTCGTTTCGGACGAAAAATTAATCGATTTTTCTTCGGATTACTGCCTTAGTTTCTTGTAAAACGTTCTCCAAAACTACTCTGGCTCTATGGTAACCCTTTGGGAGGAGAAAGACTGTTGCTTCTTTTGTGTTCTGCCAAAATTTTATATACAACTGCTAATTGATGCTCCTGAAAACAAATTAATACATTTTGCTTATATTATATATAGATGCATTAATAAATAATGAAAATAAGCTTTAAAAATCAAAATGTGTGCAATAGAAGTAGCTATCATATTAGTGTGTAAGATATTTAACAGAAAATAACTATTATTTAGAATAATACATCAAACTACAAAACATTTTTAAACTATACTTCAAAGCTAAATCTTGACCTGATGCTCTTGAAACAAAGGCTACACGTTCTGTCTGAGTTTCATTTGGATAGCGCTCCCTCGTCTAATAAGGCACTCATGTCGAAATATCCTTTTAAAAGCTGTCTCACAAAAATAAATGAAGTACACAAAAAAAAACTCAATCGCACGCCACACTCCTTCGGAACCAATTAAAGTGTTATTGCGAACTTGGCGGCTTATCTACCGAAAACGAACCAATAGGAACGAGGCGCGGTCAGATGATTTATTACTCCTTACGTTCGTTGGATATATTATAGTTTAATATACTTAATGTCCATTCATGCAAGTTTACTGATCTTACAATAAATTATAAATTTCTTATAGGTGAAGAAAGATAAAAAGATTAAGAAGAAAGAAAAACTGACCAAAGAACTGGAAAATCCTATACCGAAAATGATTCTCAAGGTAAATTCACCATCACCTAGACCTGAGACCCCTGAAAGCATCAAGAAACTAAACATCAAACCGATAGTCAAGAGAGATGAGGTTCTTCCACCTGAAGGCCGCCACAGAGAGCCTTCACCCGCAAGCGGACTCGCAAAGATCTCGGCGCTGGTAACAGGTAAATCTGTTTGCAATTTAAATGCTCCTTTATCTAGCCTGAAACAACCTCAGTTATTAAATTTATTTAAAAATGCAGACCTCACCTGTGTTAAAAAAAATAAAGCAAATGATAAAAAAGTAAGTCAAAAAGCGCTTCCACCATTCGCGATGGGCTTGATGAGAAAGAGAATCGATCAAAAAGGCACCTTCATCATACTTGTCACGTACGTGAGCTAGGGCTCATGAGTTGAAGAACTCGCTGAGACCCCAGAACAGGATTGCACCACGTCCATTTAGTTTTTCCGATATCACCCTCTACATCGGCGGCGAACAATACTTATTTGCATATTATGCATTATTTGCCGAATACGTGCATACGGATATGCTTTATGGTATCTATCGACCTATAGTTTATACACTGAATCAAAGCAGTTACGTCGCAACGTTCAAATAATGACAGTAACGCACATGGTTGCCACATTAATTAAAACTACTAGATCCGAGGATGTTTTACAAAGTCTACTTTATGCCTTGGATGCCGCAACCAACATTACGGAGCGTATGTTTTGTAAACACTAGAGCTAGTATATATTCTATTTACTAGCTAATACCTCTCTTACGGACAGAAACGGCAATAATGGAGCTCTATCATCTCGTTCGGCATTTTAGCAAAATGCTTAAAAGGACACATCAAAGTTTTGAAAAAACTTTTTATAAAGTAACAATGCAAATATTGAGTCAAACAGAACGAAAATAAACCACAAATAAACAACAGCCGTTGGCATAATTACCTAACAAGCTTTGCGACAATGTCACAACACATAAAACTGTTACCAACATAAATGTAGCCGGAAAATTCAAACTATACATACCAATTTAGGATCTATTTTGCATTAAGTTTGGCATTCAAATTTACTAAATATGACGTAACTGCTTCGTTTCAGTGAATAAACTATATACGAGAAGTTGGCGCGTGTAAGGTCCTACAGGGTGGTCACTCTTGGCAATAACAATCTTTTTTGAATGGGTGTATCTGCCATTTTGAAACATAAGTTTATATCCTAGGATTATAAAGTACCAATAAGGAGCTTCAAAACGACTTATCGCATGTTTCCCCGTACGATTTAAAAAAAATTCCCGGTCAGGCCCCCATCTTGAAAATTTTAGTTGTCACTTACGTCAAAATATAGTATTCATGAAACTTATATTTCGAGTTTGCGTAAGTGCTTTTTTAAAAAGTATTTTATTTCCGAAATTACAAGTAGTGATTGGCTGAAGGCTAGATTCTAACTGAATTACAAAATGTAAAGAACAATGTTTATTTGAATGATAAGACAAAGGAAAATATCATATTACATTCTCGCAGTTGCCAGGCGCTGCGTAAAGGTGCTGAGTTGCATCTTCTATCTTCTAGTAGGATACAGGGTAGCTCTATAACTTGCATGAATTTCATTACCCTACATTTCAGTTTTCTAACTTTATCCGTTCATAAAATAATTGGGCGTGGCTCTTTTTGAAAAGCACTGAATATAAAAAAGGGTGCTGACTTCTCACTTACTGACCTACATATCAACACAGTCGAAACAGCTGTAAATTTTGTAGAGATGTTCTTCCTACAGCGCAAGGTAATGTCTGAGCCTAAAACTGACTCTTCTTTTTAATTCTGGTGTGAAAAACGAGGGATCTATTTGAAAATATTCACTTCACCTTGAAAGGATCTGGTCGTGGTGAACTTTTGTTTCAAACTATTTTTCTATAATGCGCAGTTGATGGGTCCCTGGGTGAGAAGAACTTGTCTCCGTGTCAAATCCTCAACATTAGGATCTTATACAAGGAAGGTTTTATATAACCCCAAAGCGGAACCTTGGTGTCACTATTTCAAGGGGTGATATTAAAAGATTATAAATGCTACACATACTTATTTTTACCTTTTCATTTTTATATCCTGATATAGTTCTGATATAGTTTCTGGCTAATAAGACTATGGATTTTTAACCACGTATATATACAGTGACAGTTGCATTTTAAGTTACCCTATCACGCCCTGAAAAAAACAAATACGGCGAATTACCAGTAACCCTTTATAAGATCTACTAGTGATGTTTAACCCATTTGTGAACTGATGTAGTGCCGTCAGTTGTAGTAAATTAGGATATCTAAATAAAGTACTACTACAGGTCCACCGAAGCCCAAGACGACCGTGTCACCGGTGGTGACGCCTGTTCCGGATAAGGCTGCTTCAGTACCGCTAGAACCACCTCCACAAGCGACTGTACCGCCACCTCGCCTTCCAAGTAAGCCTAAAACTCAAGCCACTCCTAAGCCTCCCAAGGCACCCAAGCCACCTAAAAAGACCGAACAGACGTTCAAGAAGATCGATGAGGATGGAAATGAGGTATGTGTAATCAGCAATAGCTGGCCATAAACACACGCCCTTTCGCGCGGAAAGACCAGTGGTATCCAAGAAATATGTGTGTTAATGGGTATTGCTACAAGCCATGCTATGACGGGAAGGCAGTTTAGAATTTATTTCCTCTGGCGCGGCGCGTATCTACTGACAAAAGTGCAGTGCTAGAGTGCTAATGGGACCAAAAAGTGAGGGTTTCCGACGAAGAACTGCAGCTATCAATTTCTCAGAAAGTAGTCACTCTTCAAATCAGAAAATTTATGATCATAGTAAAATTTATGGCAGCGGTTCGGCTAAAATATCCCCAAAATGACGATACTTGCGGTGATACTGGAAGTAGCTAGAGGTGTTTTAAAACGACGTGGGCCGTGGCCGTTACATTATGTGGATGCGCAGATGACATATATTAAAACGGCAGGAAAAGTATTACCCTAATCACAAATATAGACTCTTTCGAGGCAGACGGTCTGGCATACTGGCACTCGGCTTTGAACATCCAAGGAGAACTATCGGTATTCATTGGCGTGCGCGTATAGATTACGATTTTGTATGTTGGATTTCCTTCATGTTAGACCAGGGTTGTGAAGATTGTTTTTTATATTCAATATGTGAGTGTAAAAGTTTCGTTTGTATGAAACAGCGTTAGCATTGAAGTTGCTATTGTTCTTTTTTATGTATAAAGCTTTGATAATCTGAAATGTAACGTTATGCGTTTAATTATGTTAATCAAATGTTGCTCCTAGATCGATTGGAACGTATTACCACACGCTTCTATTCACATTTTATTTGCGAACCTTTTCAAAGAAACATGACCTTCAGTATGATAATTTTACTCAGATCTATGTTAATATTTTTTCTTAAAAGAACCAGCACATGGTTGCTCATAGCCAGTGCCGCTAGATTGTATATGATTTTCAACTCATGAGCCGTGAAAAGCAGGCAGGGGAAGTCATTTTACCTCTAAATCAGCTGATGAATCGAGTACCAGAGGCCACAGGTGTATCACTCAATACAGTCAAACGCATTGTGAAAGAAGGTTCGATCAAACCCACAGGCAATAAATTTGTCTCCCCAAGAAAAACTGTTTCTAAACCAAGTCCGAAATCAATAGTGGACAGGTTTGAGGCAGAGATAAGGGAAATAATTTATAAATTTGTTCATATTTATAAGCGGCGGTCTACCATTAAAGCCGTTCATGAAGCTGCAAAAAATGAGTAAACCGTGCGGGAAAAATCGGATCCTGCAGAAAAAAGTTCATAAATTAGGTTTTTGCCGGAAAAAAGTGGAAGATTGATTGAAACAAAAGACATTCGTTTAAAACAAATTGAGTTTTTAAGGAAATTGAACAAATACAAGGGAATGTTGTATGTTATGATATGTTTTCTGTCCATTCAGCAATATCGATATCTATCAAAAAATTATTATAAACCTTAATAGATGAGTTAAATTAGTGTATACTGTTGTATAGGTATGCTTTAACAAACATGTATTGAAAAATGATTTCAATGAAAGACCGCATACTTAACGAATGAAGATTTTTGTTTTCAAAATAATTTCCTTAAAGTTTGTAAAAGTAACAATTTGCTCTAGAGGAGACCTTTTCGCAGGTAGGAACATTGTATACAGCGATGAGACTTACATTCACAGCTCTCATACAGTGCCAAAGTCCTGGGACGATGAGACAAATACCTGTCTGCAAGCACCACTGGTCACGGGAAAATGACGCGACGACGGCGAAACACACACAATGAGGAATGATTATAAGCCAGTTATATTAGCTCTAAGCACATCTTTGAACACTTGAATGGTAGGGAAACAACGTTTCGTAAGGAAATCAAATTAAATGAATATCATTCCCAATGTTCCGTTAAAGAATACGCGTTCTGTAATTAATTTATGTTGTATCACCACACCAAATTATTTAATAGATAGAAGTGTGACAAAAATTACCGAAATAATTTGACTGACCTTCAGCAGACCTAGTATCAGTTATTTTTTCAGCAATGCTTGTATTGTGACGCGTCTGCTTCTCCACAGATTTGAATCCGCGCATGTCGGCTAATGGTAATGGCTCACGACTTTTCAAAACAACTCTACCACTCTATAGAATGTAGTGTCATTGCTATGCGATTCATAACCGTTCCCTCATATAAACTTTATTCACTATATTCATGAATAATACAGGCTGGTCAAAAAATATTAACATTGATTTGAAAAAACTCAAAAATCAATTTATTCAAATTGAGTTCACCTATTTTTTAGAATTTTATCGGACTGAGCATTATAACTAAGGATAATTTTGTATAAGGTTCTCAAATCAATAGTTTCAGAAATAGTGAGAATTACTCGTCTCCGCTGGCCAGTGTTTTTATTGATACCAAAGATTGCAATGTTTGCAACCTTCATCCTCATAACTTTCAATCGTTCATTTGAAAACTCTCCGAAATTTTTGAAATGGTCCTTAGAAACGCCAAAAAATGAAGTTCCTTTTCTTTCACCACCACTGGACCGAAATTTAAATCCTGTAATACTTCCTTCATAGTTTTTTAGTCCGTCTTAAAGTTTGTATCGTGAATGTATGGGTTTTCCACATGTATGCTTGTCACTGTCAGTATGGCAAGTTGCGAAGTTATAACTACAACGCCGACAGGCTGTGTACTGTCTATTGCTGATTTGTATGTTATTTACTGAATTTATACTGTTTATTATAGGTGTGGATTTGCCCTGCGTGTAATCAGCAAGATGACGGTCGACCGATGATTGGTTGCGATGGTTGCGATGCGTGGTACCACTGGGTGTGCGTCGGCATACAGGTACCACCCGATGAAAATGAAAATTGGTACTGCAAACCTTGTCTATGCAAGAAGAATGAAGACCTGCAGAGCGACAAGAAGCGCAAAAGAAAGAAGAAAGAAAAGAAGGATCATTAGGTATTATAGCATAGTAGCTAAAAAATACTCTCGAGGGGTTTTAGGAAGAGTAAAATATTAATTGAAACAATATTTTTCGTCTATTTACTGATGTATGCAAAAATGATATATTGGAGTTCAGCCAACCTAGTCATGGAAATCTCTTGGGAGTAAACTATTTGCTCGGATATTCTAACGTACATCTCGTCAAATGTAGCTAGAGACTTGGAAATGTTGCCGACTGCGTAGAAAATTAAGTGAGAACGCATTCGGAGAAAAAGAGATACATGATGCGCTGTGTCTCGTCGCCTCGTTGGTACACTCCGTGCAACAAGTTTGCAGAATGTGATCTTAACACTCTCGCCGGCGCCGCCACGTGTATCGCTGTCAATATACCGGGCATCTCAATATTTTAGCCGGTGTGTATGGCTTGCTATACACGCTGCTAATATTTCTTATGGATAATTGTTTCTAATGGCCTAGAAGCAACAAAGTTTGGTACCAGTTTTGGCCTATAATTGAAAATGGTGCCATAAAAACTAACATGTTTTTCTTAAGTGTTTTCAGGATAAAACGTAAGTATTAGTATCTGAAACTGTTCGTGACATATGGAAGTCAAATGACACAAATATCAGTGGCAGCGAGAGTGTTAATTTGTAAACAAACCTCTGAAATCGAACTTATTTGTCAAATTACATATTTGTTGTAGGCAAAGATAAGTATGTATTTTTAAAAAGTGTAATGACGAAAACATTTCGATAGTTATTGAATAACAATAAAGTTCCTTCCAAATATAAACAAATTACTTTGTTAAAAAATAAAACTTAACTACACAAAAAACTTGAGATAATTCAATTTTTTACGTACCACAAAAAACGAGATTACAATTGGCGTTCAAGAGGTTCATCTTCTGTCTCGGAACTGCTATTTTCCAGAGAATCCACGCTGTCATTGTCAGTATCTTCCTGCAAATTTATTATAACTTCATCGACAATTAAATCTAGAGCTGGTTCCTTTTCCATGAAATAATGCTCGAAAGAAATAGCATGTTCACAATATTTTTTCCATTCCTCTTGGGTAAATTTGGAGAAAAATTCTTCACAATATTTCTCAACATTTTGGAATTTAAAGTCCACATTTTTATCTGCCACATATCGTTTTAGAGCAGCCCACACTAATTCAATCGGATTTAAGTCCGGATGGTAGGGTGGTAGTCTTAAGACAGAGTGACCTGCATCATTCATGATCTGATCTATCTCATAGGTTTTATAACTAGGTTTGTGCATGTTTATTATGCCAAATAATTCTGCTTTTATCATGTCTTCCGAAAATGGAATGTTCCGCTGTCTCAGCCACTCCTTCATTTCATCTTTTCTACACCCCATTGTGGGACATTTTTGTAGTTGGACATTGTGATACGGTGCATTGTCTATAATCAATACACTACGGGCTGGTATGTTAGGAATAAGTTTTTCCTGAATACACTTTTTATAATTACTATAGTTCATTTCGCTATGATAATCTCCGGACTTAGTACCAGATTTGAATTGTAAACATGCGTTGTTTATGAAACCCATTTCGCCGCCTGCATGAACAATAATTAGCCTCGGCCCTTTGGACACTGGCTTGTGGAAACCTTCGATGGTATTGTCTCCCCAGTTTTTGGCATGGGTATGAGAGGAATGAATATAAGTCTCATCCATGTAAATTATGGGCCGATTTTCTTCCCTATAATGTTTAATATTCCTGAGAAAACTTCTCCGAAGCGCTTGTATATACGGTTTTTCCATTAGGATTTTCCTGTTATTCTTCGTTTTCCTCCATCGAAATCCCATATCCCTCATCACTTTTCTCAAAGTTTCATGTGACCCTGTATAAATATTGTTTTCTCTAAGTTTGTGTGTTATGTGTCGCAAGGTAGGGACTCGTTTTTCGGTGACATAAAAATTGATTATTATACCGCGAAGTAGACTTCTGTCAAGATCATCCAAGTTTGATTTTGGGGCACATTTCATTCGTTTGTTGTTAGGCGTCGAAAATGACGTAGCACCACCTTCCTCCACATTTTTCATTTCACGAGAGATCCGTTTTATAGTGCTTAAGCTTACTCCCGTAGCTAGGGCAGCGCGCTCCTGTACTTTTTTTAAATCCTTAATAGGCTGATTTTGTATCGCTTCTCGCTGCATAAAAAAGATTACATTCGCTATAACCTCCCTCGTTTGTCCAGACAAAACTTTGCCTTTTAATCTTGATTGAAAATCCATGTTAATTATTTAAACACTCAAATCAGTAACAACTTCCTTCCAGTACAGGAAAAAGAAACTCAACAGAATAGTTTTTGTCGCAGACTGTATAACACCTTGCGTCCAGTTGTCACGAAATACTAGCGTAGTATCGGGAAGACCAAGTCTCTAGCTATATTTGACGGGTTGTACTGACGTCTATTTGACGTAAACAGTTGTTAATCCTCAAGTGGCATCTAGCGAAAAGTTTTACATAAAGAGTTTGATTCTAAATGTGTATGTAAATATGCTATACAACTGCGAAAACGAATAGAAAATGCGGTAATATTATATAGGGCTCAGATTCCATAAGATTTTATCCAACTCGATAAACCCACGTATCGGATGTAGTTTTTAACATTAACATCGTTTGTGAAGAGAGAAAAACGTTAAGCGATGGTTGCCTACCGCTAGCATATCGCAAATGCTTTTAATTTCAGCCCGAAAATAGGGTTTTTGGCATAATCTCGTCTGTCACTTCAACCGATAAATGGCAGTTGACCAGTTGTTACTAGCATTGAGTGGGCTAAGTCGCCACGAAAACGTCGTAAGGGACAAGTTACTAACCGATGTAGATTCTTCTGAGCTCCCCGAACCATGTACATACCTTCAAACGCATTTGCGCTAAGCTGGTGATATGCAGCTTTTGCTTAACGCCTCCCTCCGCTATAGAAATTTGCTGTAAACTGCACTTGAACCATACGTTTACTGAAGCAGAAATGGTGCTGCATGATCTGGGAATAACAGCTGCTTTATTCTATAATGCATATATTTGTAATCCTTAAAATGTATGTGATAGGGGTAATTATTGCCTGATTATTGTGTGTATGGTATGGATGACGTCGCAATGAATTTATTGATAGTTGTTTCTTTATCTAATTTACCTGATTCGGATTATTTTTAATATAATGCCCAATAAGATTTCATTATACACTTTTCGGTCCTTATTAAATATTTTATATCATTACTTTGTAAATATGATTAATTGTACAATATGATATTGTTAGATGATTATTGTAAATTATTAAAGCAAATATATTTTATCGTAAACGACACTTTATTTATAAATTGTGATATGCATTGCAACAAAAGTGAAAAAATGCTGATATCTATGAGGTTCTTTGTAAAAACCCAGTTCAACCTCTACCATAAAATAAAGAACAACACAAAAAATGGGGATTTTTTCCATCCTTTTGCGGCCTACTATTTTTTATTATATTTTATTTATCCGGCAACGCTGGAAGGGATAGGAACATAAAACACCATTTCTCGAATTTCATATTTTAACCCACGACGTTTTTTCGTACCAAAATTTTGGTTAAAAAAATTATGTACAGTGTATTACTAATTCATGCAATTTATCGTTTATGATAAAAATCTATGCTTATTTGAACACTTGTTCATATATATCTTCCAGAGCATATTTTTGAAATTCCAGTCTATACCTGGAAGATTTATAGACATTCGCATTTCTATTTTGAATTTGCTAATATGGCGTTTGAAAATTCTTGTGATGTTAAAGAATAACCTAATGTTTTTGAGAAAAATGTTAAACACACAATCTTTATTCAAATTTAATTCCTTGAGCTAATGGCAGGTCTTTGGAATGGTTGATGGTGACGGTGGACCTTCTCATGTACTGTTTCCATGCGTCACTTCCGGATTCTCTGCCTCCTCCGGTTGCCTTTTCTCCGCCAAATGCACCTCCGATTTCTGCTCCAGATGTGGGAATGTTAACGTTGACTATACCGCAGTCTGAACCTTTCGGACCAATCCACTGAAATAAATCAGTATAATGATTTGAATTGAAATTAAAGTTTATGGGTATTAACAGGTGTAAAACCATACATATCAAATGGTAAATGGACAAGAAGCATTCTGGCTAAAAACGAGAGGAAAGTGATACCAAAAAGGTATACCAAGACAAGATAGGCAAGGTTTATAAAATGAGAGAGAGATAAACTGACCAGATCAACGCTGTGCTGCCAGAAAGATATTTTTTTTATTAATTTATTCAGCATCACTTATAGCGACAGATCAAGCATTTTTTGTTCAAAATTACTTTTGTTTAAACATTGATTCATGATGATGAAATTTATCATTCTTTTGCACTGCCTAATATGTTTTTAATTGTCCGTTCATCAGTGTTTCATAAAGTCTGTAGGGCATTATAATGATTCATTAACGTCTGCCAGTGGATCTCATAATGTATTCTTAGAAGCTGCATTATACAGGGCGTTCCTAATTGCATGTCAACATTTAAGGGATCAATTTTTGGGTCCATTTTTCCACCAGTGGCGTTCGCACGGAATTTCAACTGCCTGCTTTGGCAGACATTGATGGTGCGACACTGATTTCTCTTATAAAAATTATTCTTGGAATCCCTAATCGTTCCTAAGTAAATTTTATGATCATAATATCTTTAATTCGGTAAATCGTCATGCAGATAAATAGATTTTATTTTTTTAGGCAAGACTCCTGCGTCGGTCTAAAAAAATCTGAGAGTTAAAATCTGCTCATGAATGGATACAGATTATTTTTTTTTTATTTTACTAAAAGTCAGTGGCGTGCCAAATGATTTATTTTTGAAAACTTTACCACCCTATATATAATAATAATAAAAATCGGCCCCCTTATATTTGTTATATGATTATAGTCTGTTGTAGGATCTTCAGTTTGACACGAATTTGCTGTCAAAATAGTGGTTGCTATTTGAATTTACAAACTTGACCTACTTCTGAGAGATGTCCTAAAACTTTTCTAAAAACCTTTTTTGCAAAAAAATAATGGCTCCAAAGTTTTCGGGGTGTTCGTGTATTTTTCAGACGTTACAGTAAGTCTTACTGACTAAACCACTTATGACCACTTGTATGAAAATACACTGTGATATAAAATCTCGAACTCGACACGAATCTGCTTCCAGATGTCCTAAAACTTTCCTTCGAACATTTTTAGTCAAAGAAAGCGTGGTTGCCAGGTTTCTGGGTGTTGCGTGTACTTTTCGAGTCGTTACAGTAGATCATACTGATTGAACCACTTTTAACTGACCACACTTGACCACATGTGCATTCAGCGGCGGCCTTACCCATTGCGAGGCTCCGGGCGGCAGATCTTTGCGAGGCCTTTTGTCCTTCTTGGAAAGTATGTGATGCGAAAGTAGGTCTGGTTGTTTATTTTGGGTATTTGTCATGTTTGACGAGAAATGCTTCAGTTATACAAATAAATAAAATTTGTGTTTTTACACTTTTCCAGCTCACTCAATACTTTAAATACTATAAGAACGTAATATTCAATAAAATTGAAAGATACGTACGGTACAGCAACGACTTCATAACTCATATTGCAAGCAAAATAATTCCAAGGTGACAAGAGTTGACGAACGAAATGAAACACGGGGATTCCTCGAGCGATAGAGGAACAGAAAATCATGTCCGGACTTCCGAGCTGACCTGAGTGCTATGCGATTAAAAAACGATCTTGTGTTTCGTGGCGCGATATTCAAGTGTATATGTAGATATTCAACGAATTTATCGATTATGTTTTGAATTAATGAATTAGTTAACTAACTTTATTTTAATTTACCGCTATGTTATAACCTCAATAAATAATTAAGGATCAAAATCAAGTTTTAAATAAAAAAATATAGTTAAAAAATCTATATTTTTTTAAATTTGCTCGGGTTGTTACGCGAGACCCCTGCAAGAGCGAGGCCCCGGGCGATTGCACTGTGATGTAAAATCTCGAGCTTGGCACGAATATGCTGACAAAATGGTGGTTGCTAACTGAATTTACAAACTTGACCTCCAAATGTTCTGTGAAGTCATGGGCAAATTCCTTTTCAGATATCCTAAAATTTTCCTTTGAATCCAAAAAAAGCGTGTCTGCCAGGAGTTTGGGGGTCTTCGTGCATGGAAATGCAGTCTGATTTAGAATCTCTAGCTCGTTACACGAACCAGTTATCAAAAATGGCGACTGCTATTTGAATTTACATATTTGACCTCCAAATCACCTCTGAGGTCATTGTCTAGATTCTAGATCATATTTGAGGGCATCGACAAATTGATTTTCAAACATTCTAAAACTTAGAACCTTTTTTCAATATGTTGAACCAGTCACAAGGCAGATACATAAATAACTGGGTTCAACAACTGCTACACATAGGTTACAGTTGTAGGTCTGATTTTTGAACTGCTTAAGATTTGTAGAAGTGGGAAAAACCTTTTCAGGGAGAGTAGTAGTAGTATTTCAACATTCGAGAATTTTGCGGTTTCACATATTACAGTTTTTTGAAATTACCTCAAATATGGCTCCAAGATTCTGAGTGAATACACTAGAAGACAATCCTTGGGGCACTTCATTGTTCCAAGTGATGGCTTCCTGAACACTTTCAGTTTTCAATATGTAAACAATTGGAGCAAAGCACTCACTATGTACAAGTGGATGATCATGTTTTAATCCTGTTACTATCGTGGGTTCTACGAAATAGCCTGGTTTGTCTAAAACCTGAAAATATTAAAATATATATATACAAAAACAAATAAAACAAAACTCAGGTTGCTCTACTTAGTGATTAATTATTGTCAAAGTCGTGCTGCAGCGCTCTATGAGGTGTCCATTTGATTAGTAATGAGACTGCCGCAATGTGCCGCCCCAATCTCTTGCATTGTGGTCTTTGGCAGTTAGAATTAGATCTTAAACGTAGCGAAGGTGCACATAAAATAACGAGTACTTGACTGAGGGTTAGATTGTGTTCGCGCTTTGAGCAATAGTCGCTTTTTGGACCAATTTACGAAAGCTAAAAAACTTTTTTGTTCTTCTGTGAAAATTAATTCAAAATACCAACAGTCTGAAAGTTAGATTGACCGACGGAAATGAGTGACATGGGTTTTCATAATGTATGTACATGCCATATAATATGCAAAAAATATAATATCTCAATTTCGCGATTATATTACATCCTCGCCAGTGGCGTAGGAATTAAAAGAGCTGAATATTATTTCGTTCTGTGAAACTTCTCAATTTACAATGAAGCTAACATCATTTTTGGATCCAGCGTACGACATAATATAAGATACACCACCGTTCTTGTATATCCGCATTGGATCCAAAACGCATTTGGCATCCATTTTAAATTATGTATTGCTGTCCTAGTTAACATTCCATATTCGATGTCTCTGCAAATGTCACGAATTGGCACACAACTTTTTTTAACTTGGACCCCCTAACGCAATTTTAACCAAAGGACACTGCAGGAAGCGATTAGGATGCCACATAGCGGTCAGTCTCATTACTGATGAAATGTAAGCGCTGACACATAACGCTACAAAGTTGTCGTTCAATCAATGTGTTCGTTCACTTCACTTCTAATAAATAAGATGCTATTCACAGTATCCATTTATGTACCGACCTTTCCTCCAAATTCAATGGTACCTCCCTGCTTTTTGATTTCATCAATGGTATGTTTATATTTTTGCAGTGACAGCTGACTATGTAGTGGACCAACTAGTGTATTGCTTTCCAGGGCATCACCAATCCTATTCAGTACTTGGCTATATGCTTTCTTCAATCTTCCTAACACTTCATCATGGACCTGAAAGCAGTGTTATTTGTACTGATAATAGATTCAAGTATGAAAAGGCGTCCGTCGGATTCCACTGCAACTCTGGGGTTATTCAGTATTCAAATTAATGTCAGGATAAAGTTTGATTGATTTGACTGTCTCAGTGAAACAGTTACCGACATCCCGCGATCAAAGCAAAACAACTATGGACAGAGACCTGAGTACAAAAGTTTCTCATCGCTTAAATGTTTGGCTACCAAAATACATATTTTGCCTATGTATAACATAAGAAATGAAATTAAAAGATCAGTACCATTGAGATTATTAAAACTTACGTTTTTGTGTAAAATGAGGCGCCTAGTCGTGGTACATCTCTGGCCTGCAGTTCCTACACAGGCAAATAATGTAGCCTGTACCACCATATTAAGATCAGCATCATCAGCTACAATGAGAGCATTATTACCTCCAAGTTCAAGCAAGTGTTTCCCGAAACGTTTTTGGATTTCCACTCCGACCTGTAACAGATTTTTTACTAGAGCTAAGTATATTTGACTTGTAACTTGCCTACATTGTAAGTTGTGTAAACACTCGCTGTCTTATTTCAATGGATCTCGCACTTTTGATAGTGTATAACTGCTATGCTTTCGTTCGTTGTCCTAGCGACTCAAGCCTAGACCATGCTGAGGAGTAGCTAAAAAGCACGAAAAAGCTGTCCATGGACCAAAGCTTGGTTGGACGGTTGAAAGCAGATCATGTTTATTTTGTTATTTATATAGTGTCCAGAAAGTAATAGTTAATCCTGCACCTGCAAGAGATTTTCGGAATATCATTTTTTTGTTTATAAAGCTGGTCTGAGTTCAGTTAATCTCGAGCCGTTTCTACAGATATTAGCTTTTGGAGCAGATCTGTTTTGAAGCATACACAGTTCAATATGTTACTAAAATGACAAGAAGCTCATACAAAAAATGATTCTAAACTCTAATTTTAATGAAACATAATTCTACCTTCTGAATTTGACACCCTGTAATCAGAAGGAATTCTGTATGGTCACGGTGCCAAATAGTCCAAAAATTGGCTTGGTTAATAGCAATTTTTGAATAATACTATTGTTTCTCGCTTGCACGTTGCGGTGATTTCCTTCTAATTACAATTATATGGATGATAGTTAAATTTCAAAAATATAAAAAGTATGTTTTTTTCAAAAATACAAATAAAAGACAAGATTGCTGTTAATGGTTATTTTGAATTTACATAATTAGAGTGTAGCCAAAATAATAGCCACCATATGCTCTTATACACGCCTCACACTTGTACGTCAAACATGGATAACCACTAGGGTTCTCGGGGCTCACCCAGTTTTGGCACTCTGTTGTGTTACGGTTATTAGTTTAGTATATCAAGTACAGATACTGGGGTATCGTCTGAAAGGCTAAGCGGTCGGTTACGTAGAAAATACAGATGCATCTCTTGGCCTTGCTTTGGTCGGTTTCATTTTAGGTGATTTATGTCAGACCGAAGCCACTTCATTCTCATTAATAATCGATCTGCCGCCACTACTCCATGGCCACCCGATGGCTGGACCTAGATCCAATATTTTTTTATTGGTGTTGCTTCAGAAACTTGGTGAATCAAACTGAGCTGGCCACCGCAACCATTCTCAAAATTGAACCAACCTAGTCCATACCACTAGTCATTATTGTTGATTTACATGACCTATTTGCAGATGCTGGAATATCCTTTATTATCCGCACACTCTATAATATATGAGAATATATTTTTTCAGGTGTTCGTCTGGCGAGCGAAATAGTTCGCCCACAACTCATTTAAAAAACTCTGGTAGTAATATCCCTATGGGCATGTATTCTCCTTGTTATCTAAGCATATTGTTTTCTACAAAAAATTGCGATACCATTTGCGGCAACCATGATAATTAAAAGGTTGGTTTTCAATGTGAATAATGTTTATACCTTCAAAGTTATTTCTAGGAATATTGATGACTTTTAGCCATAATAATTGTTATTAGTACAAACTTCCCTCTTACCTGTTGTCCAATGTGTGTACTTCCAGTGAATGATAACAGCTTCAACCTGCTGTCGGCTGCCATTGCCTTACCAATATCGGCACCACCACAACACAATGCAGCTATTGCTCCTGGCAACTTATTTCTTTCTAACACGTCAGCCACAATCTTGGTAGTTACTACAGACACCAAGGGAGTGGTTTCTGAACCTTTCCAAAGCACTGTGTCTCCACAAACCTGAAAAAAGGATTGACAAGTGACTATCGACCTGCCTAGATCAGTTAGTGCTACCAAGTAATGAGATGTTTTCCAAAAATTTTAATTCGATAGAATATAGATATTTTGACCACAAAAAGTGTATATTCTGAGAAAGTTTAACTATTTTCGTTCACCAAGCTTAAATTGATATTGAAATTTAAACAATAAAGACGTTTTATTATTGTTTATTATTATTAGTAATCATTTTATCAACTCGACAAAACATTTAGAATTGTGCTTAGTTTGTAATTTTTCCAATTATGCCCACTTTTAGTTAGACGTTTTCGCAAAATTGTGGCTCATTTTTGCTACGCGCTAACAGAAATAACAGCTTATTCTTATTGTCGTTTTTTTGAAACTGCCCGGTCTTGCATGAAAGTCAATCAACTACAGACAATCTTTCAATCCACTTGATTAATTTTTCTTCAAGAAAATAGCAAAAAATCAGCTGTTTTGTTAGTGCGTATGAATGTAATTAAGTCTTCTCTGGCATCTTGCTGATTGTAAAAATACGTATAACAGTTACTCGATATCATGCAAAATTTGCGGTTTTAAAATATGTGCTTCCACTTATCAATATTGGTGGCACATATTCCTACGTACCATAGCAATAGCACTGTTCCACCCATACACGGCAATGGGGAAGTTGAATGCAGAAATAACTCCGATAAGTCCAAGTGGATTCCATTTCTCTATTAGCACGTGCCCTGGTCTTTCAGATGGTAGTATAGCACCAGCTAATGTTCTTGAAAGTCCCACTGCATAGTCGCAAATGTCCACGTATTCTTGAACCTCGCCTATACCCTCAGACAATATTTTTCCTGCAAGGCGAGATTCACTTCATATTTAAAATATATAATATTCAAAATAATATTGTTTAATATGTTTCACTTGAAAACACACAAACCTTCAGATAGAAATGTCTCTTATCCAAAAATAGGTGTTTTATTACTACAGAATCATCCGATTCGGCTCCAACTGGAACAGCGCATCCCATTTTCTATCGATTGTTATAGAAATTTTACATACATACATACATGATTGGGATTTTACTTTCATAAATAATATTTGGTTGTGGTTCCTTTAAAGACATGACGGGGCAATAGCGAATGGGGAGCTTGACAGTTGACGCGATGATCATGATGTTGATCAAACTATAGCGTTATCGTGTTTGTTATCCAACTGTCGTGTCCATAGCTACGACCCTAACAGGGCATCATCATTAAAGTGCTTATAAGATTAAAACGTGCCTCCTTTTATCGCTCGCTTAGCATCACGTTTTCAACATCCATGTAACATGCCACACTTGGTTCCTGAATCGTCTGATTTAGATCCAATTTGGGTCGGTAGGGCCCGTCCCCAAATGGGACGTCCCGTTGGGGTCGTTCCTGGATTGTTCCAGTCAGTTAGTCCCGGGGACGTCATTGGCGAAGCATTTTTGTGTTTTACTCGCTCATCGTTGACAGATTTAGGTACTATTTATTCTTCTTACTTACTTCTTTCAGGAAATTGAATACAGTGGCGATATCAATCGATATAGTTAAAAGTCTATTGTTGTACGGTTATGTTTATTTCACCTTTACATAGGTAGGTAGTAAGGACCACATTAAAATATATAGGTGAATAATATTTTGCTTTAAAACTGCCTATAATGTAATTATAGTTTGTCGCCTCTGGAGACAAAGAAAAGGGAGACTCAATAGCTCATATTATCAAAAAATAAAATAAGTTTCCTCTATAACACTGCAGCACGGATCACCGTCTTTTTCAATGTTACAGAAGTATCATTTATCATTTTTTTGTTGTTTCAAAGCTTAAAACATACATGTACTTCATTTTGATGATAGGTTCAATAGAGCGTAAGTCTAGAGCTAAACCAATCATTGCCATTTCTCAGAGATAATGTTTGATAAGGAGCAATTAGTATGATTTGAATTTCGACTAGCATGGAAATTCCAATTAGTAATTTGACTACTAGGCGAAATAGTTCAATGTCGAATTACGCCTTGCCTTTTGAAATGTGTGCTGTGCTGTGGCCGCCATTTTTTTCTTCGGGTTGTCAAACTTTTTGGCTTGTTGCTGTTGAGTCGAATTTTGTGATTTTTGCAGCTTCTTTCGATTCATGTCGATTTTTAATGCATTTGGTCTCATCAGATGATCTTATTAGTGTCATAGCTTACTATTTAGTCTGCTATAATGGGTCAAGAGAAATGAAGATTTTTTTGGGGAAAGATTATTAAACTAGCTAAGCTCGGCACGGCTATCACGTATCTTGAAAAGTGACATTATGCCAATTTTTTTTGACATGCTGGTTATTTTTTGACATTTTGTAGGTTTTTCAACAAGATAGCACTTAGTTGTACGTGTTGCCTAAACGTCATGAGGCTTGTTATCAATCTTTGGCTCTGATGTGATGTAGAATCTGCTTCTGAGATGGCATTACTGGAGGTCTAAGCTGTAAGTTGTATGTATTGATAATTACATTGGGTTCTTGTCTCAAATATACTTAATTGAGATTCAAAGCTATAAATTAGTTGCGCATCCACTTTTTCTTATCCATTCTGGAAATTTACATTACAAATTTCCTGAATTTAAAAAATGAGAGAGGTAAGTAATAATTATTCCCTGTACACTGTCGAATTACAAGCCATATACATGCTAACAGAAATTACACACAAGGAGGGCGCAGTGATGATTTCCCGTAATTCTTCTGTTTTTCGTAATTTATAACTTTGAACATAACCTCTCTTCAGAAAGCACAACATAAAAATAACCCGTCGGGCACAGCCAATAGACATACTTCATTGGCAGCATATTCAGTAATGATTTTCTCACACAGCAAATATCACTGATTTTATACACATGCAGGCCTATATACACATAATCATCCAGATGCGATTTTGCTATTTAACCAACTTTCTTCTCAGAGATAAAAACTACAGACAAGGACCATTTGGCCTCACAAAACATATGCAACCAATAATGCGTTGAGTTTAGTTGAGTGATTCCTCCTTAGATGGACGTTCACAACGATCATAGTGAGCAAAAGTGGAATGACTGTGTGCGCCCTAAAAACTACCTATACTCTAGGCGCTGAAGAAAGAAACTAAACCCAAACAAATACACGCATATTGCTCGTGAGTGAGTGTTTAGGCGCAGGAGACATTACAGGACCGCATCAAGATATTATGGGTAGTCATCAAAAATTTCATACAAGATAATTATTATCTTTTACAGTAAATTTCAGCTAGAGATTCACAAATGAGTTAACTACACTATTTAGTTATTAGTAAGTAAGCTGCGCGCACTCATTCAGAAGAGGAACTTGAATCTTCTGAATCGTTTAAATGAATTATTAGAGGTTCAATTTGGGTATCGATGACATTGTCCAAATCCCACATTTTGACCTCAACCTTCTCCCGAACGTGGCGGATACAGTTTTTCCATTCCTCTGCCGTAACTCTATTGACTGCGATGTGAAAGAGATTTTTAACATCAGAAAATTTATAAGTATTATTATTCGACGCCACGTATTGCTTTATGTTGGCCCAAATCAGCTCAATAGGGTTCAGCTCACAATGGTAGGGTGGCAGTCTCAAGACAGTTTTATTTTGTTTTTTGGCCATTTCGTCGATCATTTTAAAATCGTATTTGTATTTATGTCTATTGACTATACTTATCAATTCACCCTTGACCATTGTTTCATCAAAATCGATCTGTTTTGAGGCCAGCCATTGTTGTATGTTTGCTTTTTTAGTTGCCATTGTGGGAATTTTTTCTATTTTTCTAGAATGGTACGGGGCATTATCCAGTACAATAACAGCGTTATTCTCCAGCTTTAGTAACATTTTGGAGAACCAATTTTCAAAGGAATTGCCGTCCATCTCCTCATAATAGTCTCCTGTCTTTTTTGATTCAAAGGCCCACAGTGCTTCGGGAACAAAGACGTCTTCACTACCTACGTGACAAATGATCAGCCGTTTGCCTTTTCCTGGAAATAAATTATTCCTTACACTATGGATTGATTAAATTTGAAGGAATGAGGCAATTGAGTTCATTTAGCTGAATTTAAGAGTCACGGAATGCTGATCAAAAACTGAAAAACGTAGAAAATTGAAGTTTGCAACTTCTCAAAACCCATTCAAAGCAAATTGACTGCACCCAAAAATGATAATAAATTTCAAAATAACGCTTAAAAGAGGGTCGAAGTTTTTTTCCTAATGACTACACTGCGAATGCACCATTTTTGGAGAATATCACACGTTATCTGCTATCACAGCATATTATTTGCCCGAATTTATCAAAATTAAATTGCCGGATAGATGAAGGAGCTTACCTGCAGGATTTTTCAATCCAGCCGAAAGACCGTCTAGAAAAGCCTGCCTTGATGATGTTACTGATTTGTCGACCCAAACTTTCGCTTGAGTATGTCCACCATTCACCCACGTTTCGTCCAAATAGTAAATTTTTCTTTTTTCATCGCGAAACTTCCGAATCTTCCTAAGGTATTCCCTTCTCCACACAACAATTTCTTCTTTCTCTATTAACGTACTATTTCTTCCCCGTTTCAAGAATCGAAAATTAAGTTCCTTCAAAAGTTTTCGGAATGTGGTTCTTTTAAATGATGGAAGATCCTCATCAGCATTAACTAATCTTAATATCTTATCTACTGTAGGTATCTCATTTCGGAAGAAAAAATTATGCACTTTCCTCCTGATGGCAGTTCTGTCAAAGTCATCTACTCCGTCCGTTATCCTTTTTCTTGCAGGATACGGTTTTGGCTCAGAAAGTGAGTGAGTGCTCCTATATTCCTTAATGATCCTATAAACACTGGACCGACATACTCCAGAAATATGTGCTACCTTACATATAACTTCGTCCACGACCAAATCGGGTTTTTCTTGAATTTGGTTTTTGTATATATTTAATATTATTTGTTTTTCATTTGCACTTAAATGTAGCTTCTTAGCCCTTTTTTTGGGTGGGGTTGCGCTGATGTCAACCACTTCGTCGGCTGTATCTGTGTCAGACATCGTATCTTAGGCAATATATAAACAAAACGTTCCACTCGCGAAAAACGAGTATACGCTACTGAATGAGTAATGCGTATGCAATGCAATCCTGTGCGTGAATTAACTGTCATCTACAATCACGTTTACAAGTCCAAACCTGTGCAGATTCGTAGAGCGCCGACGACTGCTAGTGACCTTGAATTTGTCTGTAGATCGATGTTACTCCAGTCAATTTAGGTTCAAAGTGGATGTTTTCTAAACCAATTTGTTGTTCCTACATCAAAAATATATCGATGATGTTTTGTACTGGGAGCTCATGAAAGATCAAGGTAACTTATTTTAACAGTCATCCTTTTTCTAGTCTCAAGATGACACGAAAAAGGGTCTGTGGATTCACTAGAAATACACTGCCGAGGATGTTTAGACCTAAAGTGACTGGAGTATATCCGTGGATGCTTTCGAGGGATCTGTTCACGTGCTGATCACTGTTTACGTTTAATGTCTTTCTTCAGCGCCCAGAGTTTAATTTGCAAGATGACATCTTATAGGTTTTTTACATGATACCCATGCCGGTTATACACGTATGAAAATCAGCGAGAATCAGTCTACATGAATCAAGTTCAGGTCATTTTCATTACAGCACTGTTTTCTGTTGAATTTGTTTGTGCATTATTGTTGATTAGAATTTTCCTTTCGAGCTTGCAGATATCCACATTATTCGGCGTGAAGGTGAAACTTGTGTTTCATTTGTAATGGGAAAAATATAATTTTCCAGAAATATGACTTCAAAAACCTTATTAAATTTTTACATTCTATCCCCATCGCCCCCTCACAGACATACGGCACTGGCAGGGCCATTTCATTAGGTCCTGGAACCCCCAGCGGCTACCTACATGGAACCGATTTTTTTGTGACAAAGTTGATTCCAGGGACATGCCTGTATCTTCCGACTTTAGGCGACCTATCGGGAACGTCTGTCAGGTCACACGGGGTCGTTCCGGGAACGTATTTGTGTTATTAGCTAGCATTTGATTTATTTTTTCGTGTTACCATTTTACGTCAGGATGCAGTAATCTGTACAGCCAATAGAATTTTTATCGTACAAAAGAGGATAATAAGAACAATGTTCAAAATGAAACCTAGAGAGTCATTTAGAAGTATAAGTCAACCGCTTATTAACATTACCGGGAATTTATATCTATAACACTCTACTATTTATCTTTAGCCATAAAGAAAAGTTTGGAAAAAACGTCTTCAACCATAGTTACAATACTCGCAAAAGTCAGAAATACTTCTACCCATCGCATAAGCTAAATTCTACCGAAAAATGTCCATATTACTCTGCACTGAAACTTTACAATGCTTTACCTCGACATTTTCAATCCATTTCAGCATTCACTATATTCAAAAAAAGCATTCATAAATATATATGCGATATGGAACCATATAGTATTGAAGAGTTCTGTGCTCTAGTGAAACCGTAAGCATTAATACCGCTGTTGTTGTATGTTGTCTATGAATGTTTGTTTTGTATGTACTTTAGAAAAATTGTGTGTTATTTACACCGTATCATAATGATCTCTGTTATAAATTTCTTTGTTTTTTGTTTATAACTATAAACCAATAAATTTCTATTCTATTCTATTTTATAAAAGTTATGGCTGAAAACCGAGGCAAACTGCAGGTTTTTTCACTTTTGTTGGTAATGCGACGATAATTTCACACAAATAGTTGAAATTCTTCAAATCCGTAGGATTCAGACCAGATAGAACATAATGGGTTTAAGGAGCAATAATAGAATAAATTATAGAAGTTCCACTGAAGTTGAAAAATTACCAGCGTCAAATATCGTTAGGCCCCCCCCTAGACGAAATCCTAAATCCGCCCTTGAGGTTACTTTATTTCCAAAAATGGGTGAAAGGCGGACGAACTGACAAATATCAAAGGAAATAAGCTCGTCTAAATTACAATAGTGTTTTTTAGTGTGCTTTTTTGGTTCTACATCGTTCATCACTTTTCCAAATATATGTAATTATGCGTATTTACCCATTTCTGCTGACACAAGTTTCCCCAAAGGCACTAGCTTGTCTCTGAGAGCATCCCCAATTTGTCTGACAATTTCTCCTCTTCTTGGAGCTGGTAGTTCTGCCCAAATTTGCCATGCTTCGGTCGATGCTTTCACACAAGACTCGTAATCGCTCAAATTTCCTTGACTTACCTCTGCTAACACTTTCCCATTGCTTGGACATATTGACTGTACAACCTATGGAAAATAAATCCTGCTAATATAATACAAACGATCCATCCGTTATTATGAAAAACAGTCTCAGCTCTAATTAGTGTTGTAATAAATATTTAGCGGTAAGACATTCTCCCATTTCATTAGAAATTTGAGAGAAGAGATTGCTTTTTATATCTCCAATAAATAGATATGTCGCAGATAAATGAACGTAAGCATTGTCTCTCTAAAAACCTCACACTTAGGCAATGTAGAAAAGACGCCTAGTTTGAAAAAACGTTCCGTAGTTACCTGCGCAAGTTGTTAACAAGGACCAACAGGTTACCCTTGCGAAAAAAAAGGATTAGATTAAAAGTCATTTCAATGAATCAATAAAAATTACCTTTTGCTTCCAACGCCTTCGCGACAAATTTCGAAAATGGGATATGATGCCTTTTGGATGTTACATGATATGTACATAACGAAAAAAAGTCACTCATTTCCGTCGGTCTGTCTGCCTTTGTTCTGATAACTTAGACAAATAGTTAAAGACGTAACACGCGGTCGGTCGGGACGATGCGATGCAACGGCGACTTTCATACTTCGAACCATGTCTTACGTCTGATGGCAGGGACCAGGAATGTTATAGTATCGTGGCTGGCGCTTATGACGTGTTTGACTGGTGTGATTCAGCAGCCTTGCCAGATGTAGTCGAGACTTAGGGCAGGGAAGAAACTAGCGTTAGCGTTATCAAATGAATGGGGTCTATGGAGTATGTACTAATTGTATATGAGCCTCTTTGGCTGACTTGACCAGTTTATTCAGTTTGTTATGCATGTTTGTAGCTAGCTCAAAGGGACTACTTGACACCATTTTTCACACAGGTAAATGTTTTTATTCTTTGTTCATTCTAAATAAAAATGGCCATCAGTGCTACGAATTTTTCCTCAAAGGCTGATAGTTTTTGAGTTTAGTAACAAAAATAAACAAAACAATTAATTAACTTCATTTAAAACTTACTATGGACTATTAAGAACAAGCGGAATGATTATAAAATTGTGAAGTGGAATAGATATTTAATTATTGATACTTTTTTAAAATACTTTCCACGTGGGTACATGACAAACAAAAATGTTTGCATTATTTGGAATAACCAATCAACTTTAATGGAAACTTACTGAGGACTGCTTCGTTCAGGATGACGTAAAGAATCTCAAGAAAATTGACTGGAGCGATAAAGTTGATTTTTGGTAATTGGTTAAGTTGTTAACTGATCAGTTCTCACACGGGCGAATTTTTTCTTCTTTATTTTTATTCAGACAGACAGAACACAGTATTGCTCTAAGAACGAAAGATGCCGTCCATCATCATAAAATCAATGAGAGGGAATATCGAGTGTCCACCGCGGCAGCCAGCAATGGCATACAATGCCAATCTGTTTTCCGTCATTGTAAACAACCGTATATGACATCATCTTATTCTTGCTGGCAATCATCAGAACGGTACAGGTTTTGCCTTGACAACAGACAAGGATGTGGTCTACCGACTAACTCGGTAAGTAGTGCGTGAAGAGGTGAATGCTGTCACCTAGTGTGCCATCATTGATAGATCACGACCCATAAGGCGAAAAAAAACAAACATTTTTTCGCGCATACTTTTTGTGTTATATTTTAACCTCTAAGTATCTATTAAGATATCATTTCCTTACCTGTCCCGATCCCTTCCATTTACCATCGTACACGCCTAAATTCGTCTCTTGTAAACCCAGTTCTTTCAAAAACGAATACTGCTGGCTGTTTATCAAAAATTCAGACTTAGAAACAGACATTGCTCTCACAATTATGTTGTAAGATTTTAAAGATAACTGTTTATGCCGGATAACTTTACTTAGAATGCTCATCACAGCTTATTTAATATACATACACTTAATGCGCGACCCTTAACACAACTTTATTCTCTTGTTTCTACTGAGGTACTGAGGGTCATGAAAGGTTGCTTTATCGCTTCTGTTTTGTTTATTACGACTATAGATTAGCTCATACTGCGATATTTGTCGTTTAGACCAACATGAAGATCATATTTATGTAATATAGTAATATAGATCAGTAAATAATTCTTTCGAACTGCTTTGCGATATCAAAGTACAAATATAGACGTTTATCAGATACATGTACAATATAGAAAAAAATTACCCATAATAATTTTGAAACAATGGTGATGATTTTTCGGATCTTATGTCGGTTTTCAGATTATAGCGTAACTATGAAAGATGCTTTCGTAGCTTTGGTTGTGTTATGGTTATTCTAAAGAAAATAGAGCAAAAAAGTTAACACTAAACGTAGTTCTATAAAAAAATGGCAAAAGCATTAAAAATCTGATTTTGCAATCAATAATTATGTGCTTGTTTTCGTCATACGAGCATTTGATCCATATGCTCGACATCATCCATCATCAATTCGGTTGAGCAAAAAGACATAACAAAATGGCTGCAAAAACTCATCAATATATTTTGGCGACTATTGGAGGGTATAAAACGCTGATGGTGTTGAGATTTCAAGTGTAGAAAGACTGGCATTCGCTATTTGCCGTCTCTGTCAAAAATAACGTAACGATTAGCTCAACGTTTCGTTATTTTTGTTGCACTAAAATTCTATATTATTGTAACGAAAACACGGTTTTACTGTTCTAATTTATTATTGCTACACTAATTTATAACACTAGCAACTGATTTATAAAAAATTTATAACCATGTCGATTGGACCATTATTGCAGCTTAATTCGGCGTTCGCTGTCCACTGACTCGACTGAGTCTCGATTTTGACTCTCGACTCTGCCAAGCGACTCCCTGCCTCTCAAGGTCCCAGCAAGAGCACTACACTGCCCCTTACTTATGACGGTATCGTCCCTAAATGGGTTCCCTTGATTATGACTAAATCTCAGGAAGATGTCGCTGCAATCCAGGATGCTGGAACAACACATCCAGCTTAGTCTGAACTGTCCTCCAGTCCAGTCCACCTTCCTCACATTCCAGCATTGGCATCGCCAGTTTTTAGACGTCAGGAGCTGCCGTAGGGCTTCCAGGACTTCCCAGATTGCTTGATAGGTCAGCGGCTGATGATGAGCCAATGGAATAGACAAGCTACACTGCTTGAGGTGTTCAGGTCTGTATGTCAGTATGCCAGCGAGTATCGCGAGGCAGCGAAAACAAATCTTTCTGTACTTTCCGCATTACGCCATACGAGCTTTGACGCTTCCCGAGTAATCTCCAAGGAACTCTTCCAACGAGGGCTCAGTGTCTCCTGCCCGAAGGCGGTGGGCGCATGATGCTTTGTTAGTTCCAGCCAAGGGGGTGAGTCGGTTGTAATCTACCATCACTCTCGGCTTTCGTTTGGCGCCCTTCTGGATTCAATAGGCCGAATTGTTAACCTTTTTCAAAACCTCGTCGTAACGGTCCTCGCAATTTTGATTTGACTACGCACTTCCTCTCTCTGCAGGGTGGATACATATTTGTCACCTACCACCTCCAAACTGCGGGACACAAGGTAGCCGGAGCTCACGCCTGAACAACACTGTCGCTGTCATCTCTGGTCCGTTGACACATTCTCTGCAGCCTGATATACCATCAGGAACTTGGACAGATACCTGAACCAGTCACACTGGTGGCTGGACACCACTTTTGACAGGTGCTTTCCGATGTTCCGGCTCTTCATCAGCCAATCTGATTAGGGGCGCAGCACCGTAGTTCTGATCTTTCTGATGCCCAGCTACTCGCAGACCCTTTTGAAGAGCTCGTTCGCGAAGTCCCTTCACTGGTCGGAGTGCAGCCCTAGCGGGACTCCAAATCGGCTGATGAGTTTGACAACCAGAACGGAAACTGCGGTAGCTTCTTGATTAGGGATTGCTTACGCCTAGTTGTTCCCATTCTCTGATTATGGAAATGGTCTCGAGACATCGATGGCTATTCTCTGGAATGGGCTGCCCACGTTGTACTGCTTCACTTTGGCTTTCGGCTGCCGCAAAACTCCGTTCAACCAGTAAAACCGCTCTCGAACATTTCCAAGTGTCTTCTTGATGCTCATATATCCACTTGACGCTCCATCGTGTAGCTGACGGAGAACCCCGGGAACCTGGTTCCTTGGCATCACTAGTTGTAGCCTCCGCTGAGATCCATCCAGCATCAAAGAGTTCCACTGGGCGCAGTGTGACTGGTGGCAGTGGGACGACTTCCTACCAGGTTGTTGACGTCCTTTTCCTTCCACTGCTTCAGCCGTTTGATGACAGGGTAGCGCTCCAGGTCTTCACGGATATGGTCAAGCGACTAGGAATCATGCACTACCGTCGTCTTGCAGACGGTCGCTGTCCTCTCCTCCAGCCTACTGCAGTGAGAGCACTTCGATGGACACGGCCTCCAGGACAAGGCGTCGGCGCTGCGATGGCTTAATCCAGCACGATGCTCAATCTCGAAGTCATACTCGGCCAGCTTCGTGATCCCTTCCGCCAGTTGTCCTTAAGATACTTCAGGAGCCACTTGAGTGCCGAATGGTGCAACCGGATCAGAAATTTCCCATAGAAATATTTGTAATAGTACTCCACTGCCTTGACCACCGTGAACAGCTCTCGTCTAGTAACGCAGTAGTTTCGTTCCGTCTTCGATAAGGCTTTGCAGAACTACCCGTTGACACGATCCTGACCTCCTTGGACTTGTGACAGCATTGCACCATCGACGCTGCTTGTGTATGTATCTAGGATGAACTTCCCTTCCCGAATTGGATATACTAAGATCAGGCACAGATCAAGTTCTTCAAAGACGCGATGATAGTTTTCATCTTATGAACCTCCTTGGTGAGGCGAGTCAGTAGCTTCGCAGTATTTGCTAAGGCAGGAACAAACAGACTGTGGTACGTCCACAGCCCAAGGAATTTTCTCAACTGCGACTTGCCTACAGGGATTGGCCATTCCTTGATCGCACGTTATTTTCTCCGGATCGGCTGCAACCCAATCTCGGCTGACCACGTGGCCCAGGTAGTAGACCTTCTCCCAGAATATACTGCACTTCTTCGGATTCAAGTTTGCACCTCGTAGCCTCCGGAAGACCTCTTCCCATCAGGTGCTCGTCATACGTCTTGCCTAACACGATGATTGTAGATAAGGCATGTTTTCCAGGTCAGCCCCAACTCGACCAACCTCTCGAACATAGCAGGTGGTTCGCACAACCCGAAAAGGCGGCTGCTACCTTTCTTGAGCGTAACGGGATGGGAACTAAGATTCCTCAACCGCAGTGGAACGACGTCCTTAGCAGTCACCAAACCCCCATCACCAGCACCCCCTTGCTCGTGTGCTCCACTATGTCGGTCTCTTCCGTGCCGTCGTCTCCCTCAACTTAGGGCTTCACGATCATCTCGACGTTCACAGGTACCGCGGTGTCTCCAACAATGATCACACGGGCATGTACGACTATGTCTTTCTGGTTATATAGAACAGCTTCTTCGGATCCAAGTTTGAGGATGCTGCGGTCCAAGACCAAGAATCCATGGCTGCTCATCGCGTCCATTCCCATGATCATATGCTCTTCGATACCAGATTAAGGAACTTGTCGGAGCCGACCTGTAACGTCAGGTCCGCTTTTCCGTGTACATCAACAGCAGCTCGGGTTGCGTTACGTAATTTCCAGGTGGATAGAAGTAGCTCTTGCGAACTCTTAAGCAGACCTGGCCTCATGATTCTTCCATCCACATACAAACGTCTATTCTGGTATCGTACTAAAGCAACTAGCACAGTAACATGATGTTGCCGATGGCGGCGGGATGTTGCCCCCTCTCGACGACCCATTCTATTATGTGTGTTATGTATCGAAGAAAGAGACTGAACCAAAACAGTGATCATTGCGTAATCAGCACACTGATATATTTCAAGAGAGAGGGAGCATAACTGTTATTGGGCAGAATAGGTCGAGCCCTTACACAGAACCAATGGCAAACCAGAGGGTGGAGTGGGAGACCTTGCACGCAGCCTGGCCCGGTGTTTTTTTTTGTGAGGGGGGAATGCATTTATGCACCATACCATAGCCCGAGCTACGGCGTGTGTGGGACTCCAGGTTGTCTCGAGGAGACCACCTAATACCCACTAAACCCTAACCTCCGCGTGGCCCGACTCATCAGCGTCTCGGTAGGCCATGTGTTGTGCGTGACCTCCGGTCTGCTACAACGTCTCCTCATGTGTTTCAGTCTCTGGGAACGCCGGGTTGGTTCCCTTTACCTCGCACAGTTCTATCGATGTCGTTAAGCTAGCATCGATATAGGGTTCGCTATGTTCTCTTGAAACTCTTGTTTTCGAAAAATCAAGAGTTTCAAGTCCTCTACTACTTGTATGTTACCTGGTCCTGATGGGTCCTGGTCCTGGTTGGTCCTGGTCCTGATGGGTCCTGGTCCCGGTCCTGGTGGTTCCTGGTTCTGATGGGTTCTGGTCCTGGTCGTCCTGGTCATCGTCCTCTGCTTCCACGCCGTGGGGGGGAGCAACCGCGGGTTCTCCTAGTCTCCTAGTCAAGGTTCCAGTTAACGGATGCCAACTGGGACTTGGGTCTAGGGCACTTGGCTCTGCGGTTGCCAGGCCTTTCGTCCGGATCGTAGTCCATGAGGAGTCGTAGCTGCTCGTTCTGGTGGTCCTGAGCTTTCTGGAAGGTCTTCTCCGCTTTTTTCCTCATGTACTCTGGCCCGGTGGCCGGTCGTTAATGCTATATATATATATATATATATATATATATATATATATAGGGTACAAAATACAATTACTTGTTAATTGGGAAACTGGCAAAACTTTTAGGCTTAAGTTGACTCTTTTGACGATAAAATCAAGCTTTCGGCATTCTCTATGGAGCAATCATCAGGATTCTGAAAACACAATTGTGATGCTAGCAAAGAAGACAGATTTAAAATGTCAGACAACTTACTCGTCGGTGAGGTTGCAGCCACAAGGTGTTTCAGAAAGAACGTAGAGAAGATCGAACTTGTGTTCAGTATAAAAACAAAAGGAATATAATACCAATTTCCCAATTAACAAGTAATTGTATTTTGTACCCAACTAGTCGTTGGCTTTGGCAATGACTACTTCTCATATATATATATATATATATATATATATACAGGGTACGGCACTGGAATGTGACACATTTTAACGCGCCACTGCCTGACACATGAATGGGTGGGGGAGTTCTGTTTATGACTGATGTGTTTGTTATTGTATGCAGTTTAGCAGCTATGGAGAATTGGCCGGTTAATCAACGCGTGTTCGCCGTGACGGCTTACATTGAAACAAAGTCTGTTATTACGGTCCAAAGACGAATTCGGGCTGAGTTTAATATCCCAAGACGTGGTCGCATTCCATCGCGGAACATTATTTTGCAATGGTTTAAGAAGTGGAATGCGCATGGAACTGTCTGTGATAGGTTTGCTGGTTCTTCCCGTACTGTGCGAACGCCTGAAAATATTCGAAGAGTTGAGGAAGCAGTAACAGCCAGTCCAACACGTTCAGCGAATAAACATGCAAGGGCTCTAAACCTATCAGATCGTACAGTGCGCCGTATTTTGCATGACGATCTTAAGTTTCATCCTTATAAAATACAGATTGTGCATCAATTATCCCCACAAGATCCACCTAACAAACTTGCATTTTCCAGGGAATTTGTAAGATTGTTGCGCGAAAGACCAGATCTGATGGATAATTTAATTATGTCTGATGAAGCTCATTTTCATTTATCGGGTTTTGTTAATAAACAAAACTTTCGATATTGGTGTGCAGAACAACCAATGCAGTTGCATGAAAAACCTTTACATGCTGAAAAAATTACGGTTTGGTGCGGTATTGCAACCTTCGGGATTATTGGGCCGTATTTTTTTGAAGAGAATAATCGAACTGTAACCGTTACCTCGGAGCGATATTTGCAAATGCTACAAACATTTCTTACTGCCGAATTACGTAGATTGAGAGTTGAAGATCACGAAATATGGTTTCAACAGGATGGGGCAACTAGTCATACCGCTAGAATAGTTATGCAGTTTTTAAGGAATAAGTTTCCTGGCAAATTAATTTCCCGAAATGGAGACCTTGCCTGGCCAGCACGTTCTCCTGACTTAACGGCTCCAGATTGTTTCTTATGGGCGTACTTAAAGTCTAAAGTGTATGTAAACAAGCCCCGCACACTGGATGAGCTAAAGAACAACATAACTGAGGAGATAAGAAGAATTGATGGAAGGCTTCGAGGCGCAGTTATGAACCACGTCCGAGAAAATATTGAAAAATGTATACAGTTTAATGGTGGAGATTTAAAATCTGTAATTTTTAAAAAATAATAAACTGTTAAGAACTGCATTCAATGAGTATTATTTTTCAAATTTTTACTTATTTTTACAACAAAATTGCTAATAAATACAGTGTACCGAAAAACGTCACATTCTATTGCCGGGCCTTGTATATATATATATTATATATATATATATATATATATATATATATATATATATATATATATATATTTATACAGTACAGAGTTGGCATCAAATTTATACCGGTATTACTGTGTGCTTATTAAATTTGTCAGTTTAATTTTGTAGAACTCAAAATGTCTGATACGGATATAGCTGATGAAGTTGTTGATATTAGCTGCACACCGCCTAAAAAAAGAGCTAAAAGACTTCATTTCAGCGTTAGCGAAAAACAACTGATTCTCAACATTTATAAACACGAAATGCAAGGAAGGAGTGACTCAAGTGTTCAGGACATTGTTTGCAAAGTAGCAAGTATTTCGGGCGTTAGTCGTGCAAGTGTTTACCAAATTGTTCGGGAGTACAGATCTAACCATTCACTGGTCGACCCAAAAAAAGTATCCGCTAAAAAAAAAATCAACAATGCCATAGACGACTTCGACGGAAACTGCCATAAGGAGAATTATACATAATTTTTTCTTTCGTAATAAATCACCAACGGTGGATAAAGTGCTGAAGCTGGTTAACGAGGATAATGACTTGCCAAGTTTCAAAAGATCTACCTTCCATAAATTATTAAAACAAATATTGTTCCAATACAAAAAGCGGGGAAGAAACAGTCTTATTGGAAAAAGACGAAACAGTTATCTGGATAAGGAATTATCTAAGACAAATGAGAAAATTTCGTGGAGAAGGTAGGAAAATATACTACCTAGACGCAGGACATACACAGGCGAAGGTTTAGATGGAGTCTTCCATAAAATCTTCAAAGCAAGCGTTCTTGACTGGACTATCCACTGGATTAAAAAATCCCTCGGGTAATATTTCAAAGCACATACGTACGTATTTCTGGTATGATTGCACAGACTGACACCTACATATTTTTTAATACTTGTAAATTTCAACTAAAATCATATTTTATTTTTGTTTTTGTACATGCTTAAACTATATCGAGATAAGAAATCAAGTAATCATTTTGTTGGATTTTTAACAATGCTTTCAATGAGAGCGGTTTTTAAGTGTTCAAAATGAATTATTTTCAGGAACAGGGAATCGATTGATAATTTGCCACATCGGTAATGAAGATGGATTTGTGTCCGATGCTTTATGGGTATTTGAATAAAAAAAAACGGGAGACTACCATGAGGAAATGGATGGAGCTTCGTTCGAAAATTGGTTCTCAAATACTCTACCGAAGCTTGAAGATAATTCGGTTATAGTATTAGATAATGCTTCATACCACACGAGAAAATTAGAGAAAATTCCAACAACGACAACAAAATAATCAGAAATTCAAGGATGGCCTAAAAGTAAAAGGATTGGTTATGATTATACAATGGTTAAGGCAGAATTGTTACAAATTGTCAAGGCGCATAAAAATAAATATAACCTGAACAAAATTGATGAAATGGCCAAAAAACACAATAAAACTGTTTTACGATTTCCTCCTTACCATTGTGAGCTCAATCCGATTGAGCTCATTTGGACAGACATAAAAGAATATGTTGCAGCAGAAAATAAAACTTTTAAATTTTCTGAACTTAAACATATTTTTCATGATGTTATACAAAGAATAACACCGAATAAGTGGGAAAATTGTATTCAGCATGTAAAAGAAAAGGTCGAACCTAAAATGTGGGAATTAGACGGTATCATTGATACGCACGTTGCCCCTTTAATCATAAATCTTGATGACAGTGTGAGTTCCACGGCCTGAGATCTACAATAATTTTTATTTTCAAATATATGTATTTGCGGTTTCAGATTTAAAATGTTTGTGCAATAAATTAGTGTATACTATTTAGTATTATTATGTATTCAAATCCTTTTTTAACCCCATCTATCTATTCATTGTTTAGTCTAATATTCAAATTGACTGTTTGCACACTGACGTAGGGGAAGGGTGGGCAAATCGACATACTCGAAGGTAAAATCGATTTATTTTGAAAAATATAAAAGGTATCATGAATTAAAAAGCGTCATAATACAAATAGAACACCCTTTTTTAATATTTATCAAGTAAAAAACAAAACCATTTTAAAACTAAAAATGTAAAATAAAAAGAGTCAAAATGTCATCTTGCTCTACCCTATAGGGTAAGACGGCATATATACGTGGATTTATACATAAAGTGATCACTTATCAAAACATAATTCACAAATGAAGTTCTTAGCCTTCATTGATAGTCCTGCACACTCTGCATGAGCCCACATATGGCACATTTGGCAACGTAACCAGCCTTCCTGAGATTTGGATAGGCTATACAACTCATTGCACTAGAGGCATGCGAAATCATCGTCGTCGTCCTCATTAAAGGGTTCTTCACAGTCTGATTCGTTTTCATAGATTTTAACTGCACTTCGTTCACTTTTTCTTAATTTTCCGGTCCTCTTTTCTTGACAATCATTTTGAATACCTTTATCTCCACATCAAACACATTTTTCTTCATCGAGTTTCGCTCATTCTTTCTTACCTCTCTCGCTTTTTTAATATTCTCTTGCTCACGAAGACTCTGCGTAGGTATGGACTCGTAGTAAGAACATCTTGGTAACTTCACTTGGCCTTCCTTCTTCTGGACTTTCTTGCACGGACGACTTGGATTTTCCTTCAACCATTGAGTTGCTGCTGCATCGTAGTACTTACTTAGTGGTCCAAAAAACACCCATCGAGCGGATGGAGCCGATGTGTGCAATGTGAGGGCAAACAAAATAGGACCACTGCATTTTTGCTTCCAATGCTTCTAAATTTGTATGGCTGATATGCCCGTCTAAAATTAGCAGGGCTTTGTTTTGCGGTGTTCGGTCGAACATGTTTAATAAAGTGTTCTGTCCACTTTACAAATAGTTCCCCTGATTCATTGTACAAACATAAAGTCCCAACGGACGCTCCGTCGTATAATGTTGGGTTGAATTTCTTCCGAGAGAAAATTATAGCAGGTGGAATATAAGTTCCCCCAGAACTCATGCACGCCACTACAGTTGAATGCACTCCCCTTTCCCCGTTGGTGATAGCACCCACTTGCTTCTTTCCTTTTAACGCAAACATTTTAGAAGTATTTTGTACAGTTGCCAACCCTGACTCATCCATGTTCAAAATCATACTTTTGTCGATTTCTTTATTATTTATTACGTTACTTAGATTTTCAAAAAAGGTATTTGCTTGTGGTTTGTTAAAACTTTCAGCGCGTGCCATCGATGTTGCCTCTGGCTGACGTAAAGATATATTGGGATTCCTTAGTTGAAAAGAGCCTAGCCAACCTTTGCCTGCAATTTTTTTCGTGTTAGTGAATTGATGTTTCAACTAAATGCTCACTGCAAATTCATATGCCAAAATACGGACATCTACGGTCGTTAAGCCAAAAAATCTAGCTTCCAGTGCTAGCATATGCTCCACTAGAGCCTCTTCTAGTTCTCGATTTAAGGTTGTTTCATGTCTGCCAAGATGCTTTCTTGTACCAACAGCTATTTTATTTAGATTCATGGCCCGGCGGCGAAGTGTTGCCTGGGGCACTTGGAAATGCCTGCTAGCCTTTAACCAACCCATGTGCTTTTCTGCTACAGCCTGCAACGCTCGCTCCATGTTCTTCTCATTCCATGCACCTCTATTGGTTTTTCTTTTATAATTGGAAACCAACTGTAAATTAAAACAGTAGTTGCAAATTTTAGGTCATGAGGACCAAGGACGGATCTATGGAGGGGGGAATAATGGGGATAACAACATTAACCGAGAATTTTATTTTAAAGGAGTTTTGGGTAAAAGTTGGTCCCAGATTTTGTTTACTCTCCCCCAGAAACATTTCATAGATCCGTCCTTGAGAGGGCAAGATGACACAGCTATGTTTCAACTTGTCCGCTAGCGTGTGTGATCATAACATGAAAATATGGCCGGTTAAAATATAACCTAAAAACAGTTGCAATATCTTAAAGTAAAGCTTAGGAACACCCTTCTAATCTCCAAAATAAATCATGACAATAAATACTATAATAGCATAAATATGCAACAAAACATATGGTAGTTACATTGGACCAAAATGCAACAATGACACAAAAACAGAAATATTTTCTTAAACGTACGGAGTATCCACAACCAAAGACTATCAAACGATTACTGCACAGGAGTCGATTGTAACGACGTAACGAGCGTATGAACTGAACCAATAAGGGGTTAGTTTTCGTGGTGGGGGCAATATGTCGTCTTGCCCGGCTATGTCGACTTGCCCACCTTTCCCCTACCTGTTCAAGCAGTGGTAAGGTATATGCATATGCAATTATTTTTTTAATGTGTCAAGACAATTTTTAAAAGCCTGCTTTAAAAATGCGCCTTACGACACATTTCGAGTATACTTTCTTGATAAAACACTTCTACTGAAAACAATAATAGACAGTTTTTTTTGGCATGAAAGTTAAATTAAAAAAAAATATATTGATTCCAAACTTTACGTTTCGACCGTATACATGCCTGCAATAATTTTGCATACTTTTTGATCCTAAAACCACAAATCATTTATTCTTAGTACGGCCCTGTAACGTGCTCGGCTTTCTGAATCGCGATGACGTGGAGTATATGTTTAGGTTTAGTCTCTTTCTTCGATGGATACATAATAGTTTCCCTAAGTCGAAACTCCCTTTTATCGGTTGTTCTTCTCGGTCGCTTGCATTCTCTTCAGAGGTGACCCAGTACCCACATTAACGATACCGGATGCCTCGCTGCGAGGCAATCCAGAGCCTCCCTGCATTGCAATACAAGACTCGAAGTAATCTTACAGGCATTTAGTGCTTTCATTGCAGCCTGGCTGTCGGATAAGATTTTTATTCTTCTCCTAGGCCCACCCTCCCCCAGAATGTGAGATACACAAGCCAGAATCGCAAATATTTCCGCCTGGAAAATAGTGGTGTATCCACCGAGAAGCAGAGGTAGCCTGGTTCTAGGCCCAGAAACCCCAGCACCTGAGCCCTCTTCGGCGACCGAGCCGTCCGTGTACCAGACCTGCCCGCTCCCTTCGGAGAGTCCCCGGCTACCGGCGTCCCACTTCTCCCTCGTTGGATACTCCACAATAAACTTGCGGTCGAAGCGATATTCAGGGGTAATACGATCACCCCTGCTTAGAGGGACGGGGTCCTCCCTTTGCAATTCGACTAAGATGGCAGTATGCCCCTTGATAGGATTCAAGAAAGCCCAGCTGCCCTGACTCCACAGTCGATGAGCGCGGATCGCCAGACGGCGGTGAGAGATCCAACAGAGCTTCCATTGCGCTCAATGGCGTTGTTCGCACTGCGCTTGTAATGCTAATATAGGCCAAACGCTGAATTTTATTGAGTTTGACCTTAGTTGTCTCAGTTCTAATGCAAGGCCACCAGAACGGGGAGCCGTACAAGAGAGATGGACGCACTATCGTCGTGTAGAGCCAGTATACCACTTTGGGTTTAAGCCCCCACCTTATACTGACAATGCATCTACAGGCCCACATTGAATTGCGAGCCTTGCTAACCTTATAAACATGCTCTCTCCAGTTCAGTTTGCGATCCAGGATAATTCCCAGATATTTCACTGATTGGGATAGAATTAATCTAGTCCCAAAGAAGGTCGGCATGACCAGCCCGTCAAGCCTTCTTCTCGTAGTGAATAGGATCAGCTCGCTCTTTTCAGCATTAACAGAAAGATCGGCTCCCCTACACCACGATTCCACAGAGCGCAGAGCGCCCTGCATAATTTCTGAGACTGTTCTACAAAAACGTCCCCTAACTACTATGCTTACGTCATCAGCATAGGCTTACACGTAGACACCCACACTGCTGAGCCTAACTAGGAGTTTGTTCACCACGATGCACCACAGTAGGGGTGACGGAACTCCGTCCTGAGGGCAGCCTTTAGCTACTCTGACGCTGCAGCTTACGTCATTCAGCATAGCTGTTGCTATAAAGTCGGTTGTGGTGCAATTAAATGCACCTTCAATGTCCAAAACGGCCACGAGTGCCACTTCTCGCTGATATAGAGTCTTCTCCAGCCTACCGACCAGATTGTGTAAGGCCAGATCAGTCGATTTCCCAGCTTGGTATACAAACTGATTTGCATGAATGACACACCTTTCCAGCGGGCCATCCCTTAAGCATCTATCAACTATCATTTCCAGTGTCTTAAGCACAAAAGATGAAAGAGTAATCGGACGAAAATCCTTCGGGCCAGTATATCTATCTCTGCCTGGTTTAGGAATGAATACCACTTTAGCCTGCCGCCAGCTTCTAGGTTTGAAGCCCGTGACCACACATGCTCGGAACACCTTCAACAGGTGAGGAACAACCGAACTCCGTCCCTGCTGTAACATGGCCGGAAATACGCTGTCCAGACCTGGACTTTTGTATGGAGCAAACGAATGTACGACCCATACTGTCCTTTCGAAGGTGACAATCTCCCTTGCTGTGCGCCAGTCCTCCCCTGAAGGCCTGCGTAACTGCATGCACTCTGTGATTGATCGCGCTACTGTAGAACCGGGGAAGTGCGTGTCCATCAAAAGCCTCAGAGTACCTTCCTCAGAAGTAGTATTCCCCCCCGAGCGATCCTGCAGAGATCCCAATCTTGCTTTAATGTCTTTGCATAGGACCATGTGTATTCTCGCAGTATCAGGAATGTAATTTATGGACTGACAGAAGTTCCTCCAGGATTCTTTGGAGGCCCTTCTAATCTCCTTTTTGTACTCCTGCAATGCCTTTTTGTAGTCTTCCCATAGAGGAGAACTTCTCCTGTGCTTAACTCTACTAAGAAGTTTGTGCACCGCTCGTTTTCTATCGTCTAATTCTTTGGACCAGAAGGTTGCCTTGCCCTTACCTTGAACTTTGCGTAACTGGCAGTTTTCCTCATATGAAGCCGTCAAGTCCCTGCTCAGAGACTCGACGGCTTCTATGTCAGAGCCCCTACAAAGTCTGTATGGGACCGCTCCAAGCTTACTGTCAAGGTCTGCCCTAAAGGACCCCCATCTAGTATGCCTAGGATTCCAAGCATATTTATCTGGAATCTCTCCATCAGTCTTAAACTGTATATGCCTGTGATCCGATAGAGAGGGTGTTAGAGACACTTTCCAGTCCCTAATGTCCTGAGCTAATTTAAGCGTGCTCAGTGTTACGTCGATAACCTCTTCTCTTACACTATTACTGAAAGTGGGCATGTTACCGACATTCAGAACCTCAAGGTTCGAGGCCCCTAGGAACTCCATGAGGTATTCGCCCCGACTGTTGGTGTTCGAGCTGCCCCACATAACGTGATGGGCATTGCTGTCACATCCAATCACGAGGTCGAGTCCAGAATCCCTACAGAATGCGTCAAGGTCCCCCATTTCCTTGGACGGAGAAGGCTCTCTTGAATCGTAAGGAAGGTAAGCCGAGCATACGACCAGGTCCCTGTCAGCGCCTTCCTTCTTATATCCAATTCTAACTGCAACTAAGTCTTTTGAATGTAAATTCGTTAAGTTGCCATGTGTTAACGGAAGTCATTACGCAAGCTCTGGGCTTAGTGTCCGGAGTATCGCTAAAAAGCGTATAGCCCGGTATACTAAGCCCGTTTACTGAACCGTTTCTCAGCCAGGGTTCCTGGATGAGAGCCACCTCATGTCGGCCTCGAGTGATCTCCTAAGGGCCCTCGAAGCCGCTATGCAGTGTTGTAAGTTAATTTGAATGAAATTAAGAGAGGCCCCTCCTACACCTTCCCGAATGACGGTATGTGTACCCTATTCGGGCTTACCGCCGTCGCCGCCGCAGTCTTCACTGTCGCAGCCGCCTTCATCTCCGCTTTCACGGAGGAGTTCTCGGACTCGGTTCAGAATTCCGCCCTCGTCCGAGTCGCTATCGTTGCCCTCTGGGGCCAGATCCGTCGCAGGGTCCGCCGCGATGTTTTCTGCGGATATCCCGCTGGGACCCGCCGCCTCCACGTCCGTCACTTCTGGTGGTACCAGCGAGACCTGCCCCCGGCCAACCCATCTCCTGTGAAGGAGCCTGGTTTACCGCCACAGCTCCCGTCGGTCTGGACTGGTCCGACTCCTGGTATGGAGCCAGGCCAGTTCCAGCAGGTGTCGCCCCAATGTTCTTCTTCTTGCTCAGTAGTGTAAACACCCCCGAACTTCCACCGCAACACAGCCTGTTGCCGTTCCCTTCAATGTTCCTCCAGCTTATGGAATCCACTGAGAGAGCAAGTCAGACACCTTTGTGTTCCTCCTTCCTCTCCAGTAGCCTCCACGCGCTGGGAAAAGTCCCAGGATTGTGCCTCCTGAGTCTCCTCATGGTGACCTCGTTTCCCAGGTTGGGACCCGGGAACCAGGCCATCACGCGGTGGTATATGGGAAGGTCTCCAAAGCTCATCGTAATGAGCCTTGCGCCTTCCCACGGCCGCAGATCCTCCACGTGGGCCTCCAACCATGCCCTAGAGGATTCGTCCTCCCAGACAAAGATGGCTGCCCCTCGAGAGAGGTAGCAGTCAATGTACCTGGGAAGGGCCGCCTCATCTGGGAGCCCATCTATCAGCACACTGACCGCCTCCTGGACCTGCTGTACCTGTACTTCAGTCAATTGAGTCCCAGGATAAACTTCGGATACGACAGCCACCCTGAGACCCGCTTGGGACGCACGCGCTTAGCTAATTTGCGCGTGCGTCGCAGGACGGGGCTTCTTCCGCGAGGATGCGCCCTCCGGTGTCCCACCGGCAGACCTCTGCCGCTTCCCGTCGCCAGGCCGCTTTAGGGCCACCGCTGACTTCTTAATTTTTATAGAGCCCACCCTTTCTGCTAGCTCTCTCGCTAAGTTTCTGACAGATTCCTCTGTCAGAGTACGATCAGGGTCCCCTGGTGAGGGGTTGCCTGGATGTTCGGGGTCCCCTGGTGAGGGGCCACAAGGATGTTCGGGATCCCCCGTAGGGGGGACCTCGGGGTTTTTATTATTTTCTCCGCTTAACACCTTGAGTTGGGTAAAGTACCATTGCCCATGAAGACCGTTCAGCTGCAGGCGTCCATCACTAGTAGTTTATTGAGCAATATACAGGGTTCGTTCAAAGAGCATTTAATAGCAAAATACACTTGTTTACATTTTTTATTTGTAATTGAACAAATGCGCTGTGATATTCAAAAAACATGCGTTACTATACACATTTTAAAACAAAGCGGATGTGTCTACCATCTTTTGTTGCGAATTACTCACAAATACGAAATGTTTGAATTTGTTTATAAGAAAAAACGTAACCCATCCTTTTTTTGTATAAAAATAATATTTATCTTCCGGAATGGTTTGCAATTCATATCGGCAAGGTAAACAAGTGTATTTTGCTATAAAATGCCCTATGAACTAATCCTGTATATTGCTCAATAAACTAGTAGTTATGGTCGGAAAACAGGTGTTTTGGGATAAACAATTAGAAATTCTCAAAAACTACTTGACCAATCTACTCCAATTTTGTTGTGGTCTTTAGAACTACGAATCCTATCGTCGCATTACTAATAAGTGCCAAAACCTGCAGTTTGCCTCGGTTTCCGGCCATATCTTGTTGGCCATTAGTCGGGTATTTTTACCTGTGGTCTCATTTTGTAGGCATATACCTAAAAATCTTATATGGTGAGTTTTTTCGTTCCTGCCAACACTTTCGATTGAAGCCCAAAAAACACGTTTTCTCATTCTTTGTTGTCGAATAAAAAGTTTTCCCACAAAAATTGGTGTACCCATTTTATGCGTCCATGTTTTCAGTGCTGCCTTGAACAACTTGCAGCAATAAAATCAAACTTTACAATTATTGGAATATTTTCGTCTACACAAGCTGACTAGCATAGTGTAAAAACAAAATATTGCAAAACTTATTGACAATAAAATCAGAAAAAAATTTTAGCGTCGTTTTCTGGTGTCCTAGGAGACCATAACACAGATTATACAGATGCGACACCTGCTGTCGGTCCCTTTGATCTTCGTGTCTCCAACTGCTTACCACCCTTACCAAATTTCCCGCTGATGTTCATTAGCGCCCGGAGGATTTTTCCTAGGGGGTTGATACGCGTTATTAGCAAGACGGCACGAATGACATATGTCAAACAACATAATCAAGAAATTTATTTGTGTTCATTTACCCAAATGCACTTTGGCGAGATAATAATTATTTCTTGAAAAGCTATTTATATATTTATATATAGCATTGATCAAACTCAATGTTTTTCATAGCCCTTGAATCCTAAATATCATAGCAATACGAATCCCATCAAACGCAAAGGACTCAAGTTGGCGTTGATAGAACCTGATTTTTGACAGTGTCACCTCTGTATAATACTCTATAATCAAATTCAAGCGGATAATGAAATGGAAATGGTATTTACCATTTTGGTTTGGTATTTACCAATCCGTTCAAGCGAGTGTAGTGTGATTCTTATGTAATTCAAAATTACGCGTTTGTGTTTGGTAGAAATTAAGACGAGGGTAATAGTCAATACAAAAAGCTCGCCAAAAATTATCTTGACTAAATTTCTTAATTTTTTAGCCACCGTTCTTGGTTTCTCCGGACGCACATGACATGGACAGGAATATCAAATTAGTAAAGGGACTGACTCTGTAATCTGTTGCATTTATCTGTGATTTGGCCGTTTGGCGTGAAAAGTGACCTTGAAGCTTAACGAAGTGAACCTAACCTCAATACCTCTAATAATTCTATTCATGCAAAAAATAAAAAATATACTGATTCGGATACTGATACGCCTTGATTGAGGCGCTGGTCGATCAGGAAACCAATGGTGCTCTAGGCATCTCCAGAATCAATACACTTCAAAGTAAAAAAACAAATCCCCTATGTCTTCCAGTAGCAGCTCCAAATTGAAGAAATCCAAAGAACGAGAGAAACGGAGATCCCAAGTGAATAATGAATCCAGTTCCAGTGACAAAGGGTCTCCTACAAAGGTGCTGTTAAAAACTACCTACCTATTCAGTGACCTAACCATGCATTTCGTGTTTTAGGAGTTTAAACAGTCTGTAGGGATTAATTCCGATCCCATCCACATATATAATGAACAGAATTCCAATGAACACCTGTCAGAAGAAGTGTGTAATACTCTCAGTGAAGACATCAATTGTAGGCTCAGATATATAATACATGTGAGTTACATATAGCTAAAATAAAATCTAACAAATAAGCAATCATGTCAAACAATTAAGAATATTAGGTCTCAGAACACATTCGATTCCCAGGGGAGGGTTGTGTTTCAAGAATCATGTTTCCTTCAACACTGATACTTGTAATTTTATTTACATGTATACTCTTAAAATCGTATGGTATTACATTTTAGTTAAATTAGATATATCAATGCCTACATAAAATTATGGAGTTCTAAGCCTTTTTTTCACAAACCCACTTGTAGCTAGAATCATTTTAAATAGCATTTATTGATTTTAGGTCAATTTTGTTAAAGTATACACTTTAATGTTTATAGATAAATGGTCAATTCTCAGGATCCAAACTGAAGAATAGGGGGAGGGGATGTTATGTGTCTGTGCCTTCTTAAAAATCTGCTAGTAGTATGAATGACTGGCCTGCCCAGTAAGACAATATTTTCTCCAACTTATTTGTTCGAGATACTCCGGTGGACAGTTCGCTCAAAGTAGGACATATGGTCACATAAAGCAATGCTAATATCAGTGATTGATAACTGTAGTATTCTGATGATTGTGACTAACCAAGTTTTCCACTTTGTATTAGTATTATTACAGCCATAATTATCAAAAAAGTTATCATATTTATGATTTTTTCTTGTCACTGTTTCTTCTCAGTTGTTCAAAAGACCATAATTTCAATAATTGCATATTCAGCAAACAACATAAAGCTTGCCTCACTGCTGCTGTTTTCTGAAAGTACACAAAATGTCTTTTTTTTCTCCTTTATTTGCATTGTGGTGTGCAGCACACTATATAAAATAGGTATATGTTCTCTTTCCAGGATTCTTTAGTCAAAGCAAGGCTACTGGGCAGAGATGTAGTTAAATATAAGGACATTGAGGAGACTTTTGAAAATCTATCCATAAGCAAAGTATATGGAGCAACAGCAACCCCAAACTGGCGAATTTTTGATAAACAAAATCTGTTATTTTTGGATGTAAGCAACTTTTTTATTTTACATAAACATAGTATGTAGGGTTTTCCACAAAGAAATGTGGTGATGAGTTACTGAGGTGTTATACAATTACAAAAATTTGGGCTTATAAAGGACTGATGTTGATGAAACACAAATGAACAGTTTATTACATGATAATTACATAATAATAATCTTTATCGATCATAGAAAAAATACACAAGTAATCATAGCCATGTCAGTAATGAAAGAAAAAAAAGTGCAGCATTGAAGACATAAAAGTTTACTAACTATAATAAACTCAATATACAAAAAGACACTAATATTTTTTTAAAAAGTCGAGCAAAATGTCAAGAACATTATTAAATTATTAATTCAATTTAGTCAAGAAGGCCTGTCCCTTGCCAAAGCATAATAGTCCTCAAAACTGTAATTACAGGCACTTGTTAATACAGATTTTAATTCACATTTAAATCTGCTCAGCTGAAGTGAACTCACCTCATCTGGCAGTGGTACATTGTAGAATATAATCAACAACTATTACATTGACCGTAGATTTTATTTGCCTTAAAGCATAAATTGCCTTGTTTAATTTATTACATAAAATGTTTACTTGGTCAGTATACAACAGACTAGTGTCCAACATAATACCCAGAAATTTAGTTTTAGTTGTTTTCCCAACCGTACTGACTGGTTTAGTTTCAAAGGACTGGCTTATACAATTGACTGACATCTGTTGTCGTTTTGTATTCCCTAAAGCCAAACTGCCTGGGAACAATGATTTTATTTTTATCAAAAAATGAAACAAGCTGATCAACAATAACTGTTTCCAATACCTTTGAAACCACAGGTAGAATAGATATTTGTCTAAAGTTTTGAGGAAAGTTCAGCTCTCCTTTTTTGTGGAGCAGGATTAATTTGGATTTTAAAAGAGATGGAAATGAACCTTCCTCCACATTCATTCCAAAAACATCCTCTGTTTTTTTATTTTTTTATAATACATCTCAATTCATAAAGATCAACTGGCCTAAAAAACATAACATAGGTTTTGGCTGTTCCAGAGGCTATGTCATATATAAATGGACACTGTAATTTCCACTCTGCAGATTACCAGTGAGTGTTCCAACATAGCTTACATAAAATGCATTTAACTCACTAGGAGTAAAACCTTCAGGATTTATTTTAATCTTGCTTTTCCTACCTGTTGTTAGATTTATTATGTCCCTGACAGTTTTATTACGATTGTCAGTTTCCTCCAATCTGCTTAGATTGTAATTTTGTTTTGCATTTTCTAATATCATATATATTCTCTTTTAAGTCCCAATATATTTGTTTGTTTCCTTCTGTAGTAATCCAACTTTTCATCATGGGTTTATTATTTTGAGTATACTTTGGGAAACATATTGTAATATTAAAAAAAAGTATTATGGAATGCTGTATATTTAGATTCCGTGGAATGTGCATTTTACACATTGTGCCAGGTTTCTTTTGAAAGATTAAAATACAATGTTATATTCAGCTTCATCATATATTCTAAAGATCCTGCCATTTTCTTGCGAAGTGGTTTGAACATCAATATTCATTTTCAAAGCACAATGATCTGAAAATCCCAAGCACTCTACTTTAGCCTTACTGGAGGCACACATACTAAATATATTATCTACGAATTATGTTTGCCAGCGGCGAACGAGGATTTTTAAAAAACTAACTTTTATTTCCCGCTGATGAATCTAACTACCATTACAATAGTTGATAGCTATGTGATTACCAAATAAAAGGTACAGTGGTCATATAATAGGAATACACACATAAGCTAATTCTTAAGAAGCATGGAGGACATATCAGGTTGCATATATGAGATAATTCTAAGTTTTCTAACAACGGTAATAGAATGACACAAGATAACGCCAAGATGATGCAATATAATAATTATATTGTATAGAGTGAACCAAAGTACATAACTCTTCCCCTCTTAGATCGAAACGTCCTCGTTTCGGTTTCTTTTAGTTTCAGAAATATTTATTTCTCTTACAGGAGGATCAGAACCCTTTCCAATGAACAAGGCTTTTAGACAACATTTGTATATGAGATAAATTACTCCAATAACAATGATTAAGCCAAATATGGAGAATCCGCTAATTATTGCAGTATGATAAAAATTTAGGTTTTGATAAGGAATTGGTTTCATTTAATTGACAGGAGTTTTCAATGCTTCCAAATTCAGTAAATCATAGTTGCTCAATTCAACTGTCATATTTAGTTCAGGTAACCAACTAGAATTTTCATTAATTGTAAAATTTATATTTGATAGATAAAATGCCTCTTCATGAATTATTACAGGTATATCACATATGCTGTTCAATATAAGGAACCTTTTAGGTTAATTTCCTTGACGTTCTCTTCACATTTCTCTACTAGGGTTCGAAATGATTTTGAATAAAAAATTAGAGCATTTTGTTTCTCAATTTTTTATAAAGGAAATAGTCATTTTTGACCTCATGGAATACACAATGCGTATAATTATTTTTTAATGAGCTTACATTGGTGCTCTGTGAAGAAAAGCAAACAAAATTTTTCAGTTTTCTTGCAGGGTGTGTCAGTCCAAGCTTCTTTTACATCATTACTTAAATAAAATGTAGTAGGTGGTTCTAATATAATATTTTCGTTATTTGGCAATGGATGTACATAATACAGATTGAATGGGAGTTTACGAAGTATCGGAATTTTCAAGATAGATGTCATCATTGATGTGCACAATGCTTAGCTTACTCAGTTGTAATATTTGAAATGGCCGGTTATCTCCAACATTTATCAAAGCCTTTGGAGTATATATTTTTGAAAGGTGATTTTGTATCAATTCTAGTTCTTCACTGGAAAAGGTATTTAAATTTGGAATTCCTTGCAAGGTTAAAGTTAATGATACTTCAAGACTTCGAATATAATTGTATAACTGACTTGCGACAAATAAAATCCTTGTAATGACCATATGTTTATTGGTATCTTCCTTAAAATTCCTGATTGCGGCATGTGTATTTAATAAACGCTTTTCAATGATATTCATATTATTTTCCAATTTTGCTGAAATTACATGTGCAAAAGATATTTGATTATTTACTTGCTCTATAAATCTGAGTTTGCGTATAGGGCAATTTATGAAAATTATTTTCTATAGTATTAAGATCATTTTGATCTAAATTTCCCGATATATATCTAGTAACTGTTCCAAGACCATTGACCAAGCCACGTTTAGATCGTCTACGTGTTGAGGTGATTTTTTTGTAGTTCTTCTTCAATAGAACTTATAGTATGTCCCAAATCTAAAAGTAAAGCGTGCCCAGACATATCATCATTTTTATTTGGGCGGAAATTTTCTTATAGCTATCTATAGCTAAGTAGTAATTTTGTAACGTGTGCGTTACATTATGGTAATAATATATCGAATGGTAATGGCTGATTACCCTCGCTGGACCTAGTGATTCCTTAAAATATCCATGATCATGGTCAATTCGAGATGCGTTTTAACCGCTAGTGCCAGGTTGTGGATCTCGATCCTGTAAATAATCTTTTCTTAATCGTTTAACATTTTTCAGTGGCCTTTTTATAATATGTTTTTGCTTAGCTCCTATAAATTGGCCTATTATCTTTTTACCCTTTGATTTATCGACTTTTAATTTTGTATATTTCTCACGAATTTTGTTTCTACGTGCAGTTTTGATAAACATTTCATCTCCTTCTCCAATACTCCAATCACTTTCTTTCATTTTATCCACAATAGTCTGATAAAGGACATTAAGTTCGTTGATACGTTTCTGGTTATATGCTTCATATACAGTCTTACTTGGTTCTAACTCATGAATATCTTTTCGTTCGAATGTATTATACAGTAGCTGATGAGGGGAAAAGTGTGTTGCAGAATGGATACTTTGGTTGTAACAAATCAATGCAGTCTGCAGAGTTTTCAAGAGATGTTTGCGGTTCTTTGATAGATAAGGTTGTTATTTTCTCTGTAAGAGTAGAATGAAACTTCTCGACTGAACTATTGGAGTTCGAGTTGGTGCTTGTAGTAAAGTGAACCTTTATTTCATGTAACGAACAAAATTCTTTTAAAAAGTGAATTATTGAATTCCGTACCTGGATGACATACTATTCGTTTAGGAATTCCGTGATGTGATATATATTTCCGTAATGCCTTACAAATTGTTGGGCCATTTTTGTCAGTGATTTCATATGCTTGATATATACTTTGTAAATAGATCAATTATTGTCAAGAACGATTTACCTTTTACAATAAAACAATCAATATGAATGGTTTCAAATGGATATTGAGCTAGCATAGGACCTTCTAGTGATTACTTGTAAGGATGCCTTTCATATTTGGAAGCTAGGCATACCTCACATTTACTGATAAAATTTGAGATTTGATTTTTCATATGTGGCCTATAATATTTTTCTTGCAAGTGCTTGACGGTTTCTAAAATTTCATTATGACCTTTGTTATGATAATTTTGAATATTTTTTTTTGTCTTTCCTCATCCTCTATATCATTAAGAAGTTTTGTACAGAATACAGCTTTTACGGACGTATCAAACAGGGTTCTAAATACTTGTGTGCTATGTCTTTGTTTAGCTGATCATTGATATTTGTGTATATATGAATACCATATGTACGAGTATTTTTGGGATCTAAATATTCTAAAAAAAAAACACGGCTCAATTGGGAATGAATGGAATCTGGGCATAAAGTCACATATAGCCGAATTTTGTTTTTAAATAATAGATATCTTGTTAGTTTTTACTGAGGCAAAATATTTGAATTCTACTTGATGCTTAAAATAGTTCAAGGGATTCTCGGAATAACTTATCAGATTTATTGGATCCTCATAATCAGGATTAATTGACAAATCTGAATCTGTTGGTTCCCGACTTTGCCTATCTGTATTGATTTCGTCACTCTGTGAATTTACAATTCTATGGTTTGCTTTTTGAAGAGAATACACGCTTTGACTAATGGATTTTTGAAATAATTGATTTTCGTTCTTATCTATTGCGTTAATTTCGACTCGAGACAAAGCGTGTGCTACTTCATTGTCGTTTCCTTTTATGTATTCTACTTTGTATTGAAATTCATCTAATCTCAATTTCCAACGATGTAAGCGACTTGACGGCTCCTTTAGGTTAAAAAGCTAAGCGAGTGATTTTTGATCGCATCTAATCGTAAACGGCCTACCAAATAGATATGGAGTAAAATGTTTACATGAATCAACGATACTCAATAACTCTTTCTCGACAGTTGACTAATTACGTTCGGCAGTATTAAGACTGCGACTGAAAAATGCAATGGGGTGATCGTTTTGAGATAGTACTGAACCTATCGCAACATTCGAAGCATCTGTCGTCAGCGTAAACGGTTTTGAAAAATCTGGATACGTTATAATAGGTGCATTTGTAATCAGTTCCTTAAATTTATTGACGGCGTCAATGAGCGGCTGTTCATTATAGCATACCTTAGCATTCTTTTTCAAGCATTGAGCTAGTGGCTGTGCTATTTTTGAAAAGTCCCAAAAAACCTTTGATTTGTTTAGTGGTGGTAGGAATAGGAAATTTTTGTATCGCACCAACTTTGGCGGGGTTTGGCTTAATCCCCTGGGGAGTGATAACATGACCAAGAAATCCCACTTCTTTACAAAGAAATTCTGACTTATCTAATTGAATTTTATGGTTAGGTTCTCTTAATTTTGGGAATAGCATTTGTATGTGCTGTAAATGTTCCTCAAGTGATTTAGAAAAAATTACAACGTCATCCATATAGACAAAACAACATTTATACAATAATTCTTTAAGAACATTATCCATCACCCTTTGAAAGGTAGATGGAGCGTTTTTTAGACCAAACGGATTTCTTACATATTCATAATGTCCGTGGTCGACTGAAAATGCAATTTTTTCTATTGATTGGGGGTCCATTTCAATTTGATGGAACCCCTGAGCCAAATCTAACGTTGTAAAATATGAGCATTTGCCTAAATTATCTAAGATTTCCTCTATCCGTGGTAGCGGGTATTTATCCTCTATTGTCTACTTACGATAGTCTATCACAAGTTTCCATTTCTTCCGACCTGTAGCATCTAATCTCTTTTTAACTATCCAGCAAGGTGACGCCTACGGTGAAATAGACGTCCTACTAATTTTGTTATCCAGTAATTTCTGAATCTGTTTTTGAATTTCAACTTTCAAATGATGTGGATACCTATAAGATTTTTGGTAAACGGGAACATCGTCTGTTGTTCGAATAGTATGTTTAA